TATCATGGGGACTTCACTTGAAAGAAAACATATTGTTTTAATAAAAACCACTGTATTTATGCCCAGAAAGTACTCATGGTGAAATATATGACCGTCTTAAATCACTTGCCATAATGCACATGGACCTTTTTGAATATTTCTGTCATTCCTTTTCATGTCTATTTGCTAATAATCCCCAAAGTGCGCACTTTATTTCAGGAAAACTAAAGATTTCTACAATAATGTATTATTTCCATAAGAATGGTTACCGTTCTTATTATTTTGAGAGAATTTTAACATTATACATACCTGAAATTCGTTAATGTCAGAAGATATGATATTGTACAATTTGTCAAGTTTTGAACAGGTTTTAAAACCTTTAACCTCCTTAAAATCCATCTTAATTATGTTTTACATATTAGCTCCATATTACAAAACCATATAATATTATGTTATCATAGAGAGATATATGTAAAAAACGAATAAGGGCCATCCACAGTTATACCTAAAATTAATAAATTCCAGACCTGTTATTGTACAATTCTTGAATTTTTTAACTTGTTTTGCTTCTTTAAAACCTTAAATTATGTTTAACATCTTAGTTCAACACTACTAAAGCATATATGTCATCAAAAAGGGATAGATGTAAAGAACACAAGGCTCACCTTAATACCTAGAATTCATTAATATCAGCTCTGATATTGTACAATTTGTCAAAATTTGAACTTGTTTAAAACCTTAAACTTCTTTAAAACCCATCATAATTATGTTTTACATATTAGCTCCATACTACAAAACCATATATATCATCATAGAGAGATACATACCTGGAATTTGTTAATGTCAGAAGATATGATATTGTACAATTTGTCAAGTTTTGAACAGGTTTTAAAACCTTAAACCTCCTTAAAACCCATCTTAATTATGTTTTACATATTAGCTCCATACTTCAAAACCATATATGTTATCATAGAGAGATATATGTAAAAAACGAATAGGGGCCATCCAGAGTTATACCAAAAATTAATAAATTCCAGACCTGTTATTGTACAATTCTTCAATTTTTTTAACTTGTTTAAACCTTAAACTTCTTTCAAACCTGTCTAAACTTTGTTTAACATCTTAGTTCAACATTACTAAAGCATATATGTCATCAAAAAGGGATAGATGTAAAAAACATAATACCTAAAATTCATTAATATCAGCTCTGATATTGTACAATTCATCAAAATTTGAACTTATTTAAAACCTTAAACTTCTTTAAAACCCATCTTAATTTGAGCTCCATACTACTAAACCATATATATCATCAAAAAAGGAGAGATGTTAAAAATAAAAGGGCCAAGCAAGGTTATACTTTAAATTCATTAATTTCAGATCTGATACTGTACAATACGCTAAGATTTTGAACTTGTTTAAAACATTAAAGGCCCCATATAAAGTTTAAACCACTTTGGCTTATATTGTAGTCTTACCCAATGTTATCAAAGTGTGATATGTGAAACTTTTTTTTTAAATTTGAAAAAGTGGTTTTTGCATAGCATTCATCCTCCCATGTTTTTTACCGAAAAAATTAAGAAAATCGGTTCATAAATAAGCGAGAAATGAACTTATCAGTGCATGAAAATGGTTCTGAGAAAAATGCATTTCAAAATATTAGTTCTCATAGAAACCAATGGTACAATGATATCTAAAACATAATTTATTCTTCCTTTTAACCTGGTTAGACAATCAACATTGGTTTTTTATGAAAGTCTAGCATATTTAGGAAAGTTTGACATCGAAAAAAAAATTTCAATTTTTTTCAAAAAGTTTTTGGTACCTTAGTGACATCACTAATGTTTCAAAATATTTTTGATATGCTAAAACATTGAAGTGGCCCATTAAATATGGCATTTTATTATTGAAATAGTGTGTCCTTTGTTCAATCTTTGCATTGTTGTTAAAAAGATAATCTTTTTTGAAATGCATTAAGAAATATTTGATGATTAAGAAATTTCAACTTTTTTTGAAAAATGGCGGGAAATTTGAATATTTGAAAAAATGAAATGCTCACAACTTTTTTCAAAAATGTTTTTTTGTTCAAAAATCTCTAAAATCACTTTTTAAGTCCTGACAAATAGTAAATGAATGATAAAAAAATATTTTCAAACTTTAGACGGGGACTTTAAGCTTCTTTATAACCGATGTAAATTATGTTATACATATTTCCTCACAACTAAACCAAATATATCATGAAAAAGGGATAGTATTAAAATCATATGAGCTAACAAAGGTTATACTTGAAATTCATTCATTGCAGACCTGATATTATACAATTCTTCAAATTAAAATCCTCAAACCTTCTTAAAATGCATCTAAATTATTTTTTACATCTTAGTTCCACACTACAAAACCATACATATCATCAAAGAGGGACAGGTGTAAAAAAAATATAAGGCACATCCAAGGTCTAACCTAAAATTTGTAAATTCAGACCTGATATTGTAAAATTCTTCAAATTTTGAACTTGTTAGAATCTCTGAACCTTCTTAAAATTCATCTAAACTATATTTTACATCTTAGTTCCACACTATAAAACTATAACTGTCATTAAAGAGGGACAGATGTAAAAAACAAAAGAGTCGTCCAAGGTAATACCTATAATTCGAAAATTCAGACCTGCTATTGTACAATTCTTTAAATTTTGGACTCATTAAAATCCCTAAACACTCTTCAAAACCATCTAAATCATTTTTAACATCTTAGTTCCACACTACAAAACAATACATATCATCAAAGAGTGACAGATCTAAAAACATAAGAGCCATCCAAAGTCTTACCTGAAATTCGTAAATTCAGACCTGATATTGAACAATTTTTCAAATTTCGAGCTTGTTAAAATCCTTAAACCTTCTTAAATTCATCTAAATTATATTTTACATATTAGTTAAACGCTATAAAACCATAAATATCGTCAAAGAGGAACAAACATAAAAAACAAAAGGGTCGTCCAAGGTCATACCTGAAATTCAAGAATCCAGACCTGATATTGTACAATTCCTCAAATTTTGGACTCATTAAAATCCCTAAATACTCTTCAAAACCATCTAAACCATTTTTTACATCTTAGATCCACACTACAAAACAATACATATCATCAAAGAGTGACAGATGTAAAAACATAAGAGCCATCCAAGGTCTTACTTGAAATTCGTAAATTCACACCTGATATTGTACAATTCTTCAAACTTTAAACTTGTTAAAATCCTTAAACCTTCTTAAAAACCATCTAAATTGCTTTGTACATCTTAGTTCCACACTGCATACCCATAAATATCATCAAAGGGGGACAGATGTAAAAAATCTAAGGCTCATCCAAGGTCTTACCTAAAATTCGTAAATTCAGACCTGATATTGAACAATTCTTCGAATTTTGAACTTGTTTAAAACATTAAACTTCCTTAAAACCCATTTTAATTAGTTTTTACATCTTAGTTCCATACTTCAAAACCATATTTATCATCAAAGAGGGATAGATCTGGAAACCATAGGCATCAGCTATAGTCATATACAAAATCACCCCTCTCAAAAATGTCAAATTTTTCAAAAAATCAACAATTTTTTTCTCAGCTCCTACTGATTCAATTAGTTTGACTCTTTCAGGGCTTATAGTCCTGCTACTGGGCACTTCACATGAAATTTTCCAATCTCTTCCAGTATCTGGTTGAAAAGTGAGGCTCTAAAAAGTAAGAAAATGGGTCACGAATTTGCCCCCTGGGGTACATACTTTGTACTATTTTTCAAATTCTGTAGGAGTGATTGGCATTATTTATTTTGCAAATGATTCAAATATATAATGTACATGTATGTAACTTACAAACATCAAGATATTTAAAGTTATTGAGAATGAAAAAAATATTTTCCGGGGGTGGGGTGTTTTTGGGGGGTGGGGGGCTAATCCCTGAAAAAAAGAATTATGTACCACTCTGTGAAGCTATCACCTAGGTAGAATTTTCATCCAAGACTTCCCTCTAACTGAAAATGCTGCCAAACCAACTATACTCCATTTATTAAGAATTTTCCTCCTCGCTCTTAGAGTAATTGTACAATCCACTGTTTTTATATTTTTTGGAATGAAATTCTTTTTCACTGACAGCAAATCATAGATCCTGAATATTGTTTATTGAACATAAATAAGGAATAAATAATTAAAATACAATTTATGACATCCATTCATCCATTTATCAACTAATCGTAAATAAATAATAATAAATTAATAATGCATAAAATGTTTACACATGTATAGTATTCTGTTCACAACTATTGTCTGGAGACATAAATATAGATTACTTATAATGGAAATCACTTTTTAATTTCACTCAGATGTATACAGTATTACATATACTGAGCGTAATGCTGTCATAACAAAAGCTATTGGAATATAATTGTAAAACTTTAATAGGAACACTCAGGGTCTGACCTAAATAATTTATAGGAGAGCTCTTGTCAAGTTTTACCCTGAGGTCATTGGCTAGTACTTTCCTCTGATTGGGAACAATAGTTTAACATTTTGCAGTTCAACCAATCAGAGATCACCACGGAACCACTATTATATTCAAATATACTGAACATTGTTTGAAAATTGGTGTCAATGAGCAATGGCAGGTTCCTATTGGCTCAGAGATTTCAGAAGTTTATCAGAAATTTAGAGTGATAGTGATATAGAGGTTGATCAGTGATCACAGTTGCAAAGGGTAGTCAAGTTAAACTGTATTCTGATATGTCAAAAACTCTAAGAAATGAATGAATGAATTGCTACATCACAGTCAATTTCTAAACTGTTTAAGTAAAATATTTCTTTAATTTGTACTATCATCTAAGTGTTATTTATCTGACAATATCCATGTCAATAAGAGCTTAATTAATTCTCTGAATGAAGTTCTATTGTGACAACTTCTTTACAATTTAGAGCCCTGAATGTACTAAAATTCCCCCCTCTTCAGCTTGTTACATACATTCAGCATACTAAAACATCATAAGATTTGCTTCTATGTTGTCATGTCTAAAACACCCAAGAGTCATATGTGGCTGACCAGCCTACAGGGTAGCTCCAGTCAGGTAGAGTGTCTATGAACTCTTGCATTGGTGCTGTCATCTTGTACGGTCCATAGGCGTAGTGACCTGCTAAGGCCAGCTCAAGAATACCGTTAGATGTGTCCACATCAGGAGAAACCTTGAAAAATAACATCATGCATATTAGTCTTTCCAATAAGTAAATGTATGAAAGTTTACAACACTCTTAATATCTTTAGACAAGGCATTAGTGTGCAAAATTACACCATCTGCCATTTGATACATCCCACTTGTTACAGACGCTGAACTCCGAACTCTGAAAAGTTGGAGATCATAACAATATGTCACCAATTGTGGCGGTGACAAAGATGGGCATACTACATCTATAATGAGGGGAAAAAAGTTGGTCTACATGGTTCTTGCAGACTTTTAAGAATGAAATTCACAGGTATGGGAAATCATGGAAATATAATTCCTATCATTTACTCTACTGTTAAACTGTTTGATATCTGACATAATAAATCTATTCCTCTTCTGAATGTGTTCATTAACCTGCAGTAGCACTCACTTGAACATCTATCCAGAACTTCCAGGGTCCCTGGGGTTTACTGCCATATGAATAATAGATGAAATAGGTTTGTTCTTTGATACCATCTGGTGTCAATGTGGGGGAGGGGTGACCTGATCCTATAGACCACTCAACAATAGAAACACCATCTCGAAGTTGGATGAACACATTGATGTGATTGGGCCCTGGAAATAATTAATTATAAATGTACATTGCGATATGTCACATATAACATTTTACATATGATGAGAGGAGTAAGTGTGGACTGGATTTTTCTTGATTCATTTGCTATATCCAGGAACTAACCTTTTAAAGTACATCCAATAAGCAGTTTCCTAGCTTCAATATTTTGATGCAAAGTGTGATTTAGAATAAAATGCAATGACAAGAGACATTTAAAATGACCTACAGTCAGAAGTTAATTCCAGCGCTCTAGAACTTACATCATTTAACATCTGTAAGATGAGGGGTTTTCTGGGAATCGGGGTGGCAAGAAATGAAGAAAACGAAAAAAATTCAATGTTGACAATGAAAAGGCAGTCTGTTTCACAGGTCGGTGGTTAAGCATTCAATATTGAAAGGCCATGGCTTCAGTTCCATCAGGGGTGGACTAAATCATGACTTTTGAAAATAAATTGATGGAACCGTCCTACTCTAGGTTTCACAATGTGAGAGAGTTTCAAATTACCTGTAGCTTCAAAAGTGAGCCTCTGCCTGTTTCCATTAATCTCCCTGTTCCAAGTCATAGCCACTCTAGGTTCTGCATTTAGTTTGGGAGCAGGCAGGTAATAGGTAGTTCTGAAAGTATGTGTAGGATTTATTCAAAGTATCCTTCTTTTGCTGACTATATGCATTATGGAATGAAATGCATACAAAAACATTGTGATCTGATTTTAAGAAGGTTTAAATAAAATAAGATTTTATCAATGTAGAATGTATAAATAAGGTTTTATATTTGAAATCATCTTAGCTAGAATTGTTTAAATATGAAGAATAATTGTAAGTTAATTTATTCTAGTTGAAAGCCCATGATTTGTACAAGTAAGTAAAATCTCAATATTAGAATGCATTGGATATAACTATTTGTGCATGTACATAATGGTGTAACAGAATATATAACAAATTTTATGTGTGTAGGGAAGCTCAATGTAGGTGCAATTGTTTACAATAAATATGTATATCATATATGTTTAGAATTTGAGGTCAAATGAACGATGCTTTCCATAGCCCAAATGTAAAACTTAGATACATGTATTAAAGGTATTTAAGTAAAATCTGTATTCGAAACACCTCTCTAGTTTGAACAGCTTTCGATGTGAACACATCTTCTCAGTCCCCAGTATCTCCCACTGACTGATGTATTATGTAACCAGTTGAAATATAGAACACTTGTCAGGCCCCAGTGGCACTCAGATTATACAGGCTTTTCTTTAAATAGGTCTTAAATACCCTCTCCCTACCCATTAACTTCCCTTTGTAGAAATGGAGACTTCATTTCAAGAGTCATATTATATTAGAAGATGTCTAATATACTAGTATACTAGAACCAGGTTGTTTTGATAATATGAAAACTATGGTAGATCAGGAAACACAACTGAATGATCAAAAATGAAATGTTAGTGCAAGGAAATTGATCTTCTGAATTTGTAACATGAATTTATATGAAACAGAAGGGACTCTTCTAGCATACTAATACACAACATTAAAAGCCATAGAAACATAGATCAAGATGCCATCAGAAAAATACAGTTTCTTTGATGAAGCAATAGTACGAAAACAAAGCAATTAAATAATAATGGCAACTCCGCGGAGTAGAAAATCCCAACGAACAAAATATCAATTACCGAATTCCAATCAATTATACTCATTACTTTGGTTAAAATTGAAAAATTTAGATTTTAGAATTGCTAATTCATGCAAAGCAGCCATTTTGAATTTTCTGAGGTACAAATCTGAAAAATAATACCATAATTATGATCTACTCCAAAATTCCTTCAATTTGAGTATTATATAGCCATACGTTGAAGGGATCGAAATTGTACATTAGACGGCCATTTTGACTTTTACGAGGCATGAATCAGAAAAAAGATACAATATTTGCAATCTACTCTTAATTGCCTTTCATTTGAGTATAAAAAAGCTATACTTCAGAAAGATCTAAAAATTAGCCAAAATTTCTGTTTTCCTGACCCCCCATATACGGCCCCTGGGGGTCAGGATGGAAAACACAGAATATATGTGAAATAGATAGATGTTGCGAATATACTACCAAAATTTCAAACAATAATATTAATTACTTTGGTTTAGAATGAAAAATTTATGATTTTTGCAAAAAAGCCCCGTCATTTTTTTAAGCGGTGGCCATCTTGAAAAAATCCATTTTGAATTTTCTGACGTACAAATCTGAAAAATAATACCATAATTGTCAAAATTCATTCAATTTGAGTATTATATAGCCATACTTTGAAGGGATCGAAAAATTATTGCGAAATCGTACATTAGACGGCCATTTTGAATTTTACGAGGCTCGAATCAGAAAAAAGATACAATATTTGCAATCTACTCTTAATTGCCTTTCATTTGAGTATAATAAAGCTATACTTCAGAAAGAACTAAAAATTAGTGAAAATTTCTGTTTTCCTGACCCCCCATACACGGCCCCTGGGGGTCAGGATGAAAAACACGGAATATATGTGAAATAGATGGATGTTGCGAATATACTACCAAAATTTCAAACAATAAAATTAATTACTTTGGTTTATAATGAAAAATTTATGATTTTTTGCAAAAAGTCCCGTCATTTTTAAAGCGGCGGCCATCTTGAAAATTTTTTTTTTTTGCGTAAAACGTTTCATCAATATACATCTTTCCACCAAATATGAAGAAAATCCGTCAACTAATATTTGAGTTATCTTCCGGACGGACGGACGGACGGACTGACTGACTGACGGACTGACGGACGGACGGAGGGCTTCACTATATCCCTACCGAACTTCGTTCGTTGGGATAATAAGTGTTTAATGATAAATACATTAAGAAGGATTCTACATTACTTCATAACATTTAATTTCTTATTGAAAACAAACAGAATATCCGTAATAGGTGTCCTCACAAACGTTTACAACAACTAGACATTATAAACAATATAAAGCACAATGAACTGACAACATTTTACACTGTTAATCAACATGTCATTAAAACACATTTTTAATGTTGTGGTACATATCGTTAAATGTTACAAATGGACTCCATTAGTTAAAATGTTTGATGCGACAAAAGCTTTTCAATAATACTGTATAAGTGGTAATTTGGCCTAATCATTTAATTAGCCTATTTCCTAATTTTTGCCAGGTTCGGAAAATTAAATGTCGGAAATATTGTCTTTATAATGTTATCAAATGGGAGGTTTCTTGTAATTAGGAAAATTAAAATTAGGAAAATGATGAAATTTGACCATTCGAATTAACCACTCGGATGAAATACCACTTATACAGTATGCTGCAATTATATTTAATTTGCTTCTAAATAATTAACAGTACATGTATATACTGGTATATAACAATTTTTAGCAAAAAGGCACCACATTTCTGAGATTTTTGCGACTGTTGATCAATTCTGAGAGATTCTTCTATTTTGCATGGGAACCAGATTTAAAAAATTCAGAGGGGTATAGGCAACTGATGAAACTTAGGTTAAAATAGTTGTATATGATATACTGTATATCATATATATGGATTTAAATTTCAGTAGAGGAAATGTCTTACTTTTTTCAACTCAAACCAGAACAACGGCAACGCCAAAGCGTAGCGAATCCCATCGAACAGAAATGGCTGGCATTTTTACAAACGAATAGCAAATATCATAAAACAACACACCAGAAAGGCCACCATTTTCAAAATGGTTGCTCACTAGCCAAGTTGTCATCAGAAGAAATAATATGCTTTTAAGTAGCCACCTCTAAAATTTTTGAAAATCATACACGTACTTGTAAAATAACACACATAAAAATGGTGGCCATTTTTCGAAATGGCCGACTACTCCCCAAAGTTTAATTAGACAATGTGCCATGCTTAAAGCATTCACATATCAAATATGAACAAAATCGCTCCACTACTTTTCGAGTTATAGTAAAATACGTTAAAATGGCGGCCATTTTTCAAAATGGCCACCTTCTACCAAAAGTGTCATTAGAAATAGACAGTGTGACATGCTTATTGTATTCACATACCAAATATGAACAAAATCGCTCAACTACTTTTTGAGTTATAGTAAAATACGTTAGAATGGCGGCCATTTTTCAAAAAATTTTTCAAAATGGCCGCCTTCTACCAAAAGTGTCATAGGACAGTGTGCCATGCTTATAGTATTCACATACCAAATATGAACAAAATCGCTCCACTACTTTTCGAGTTATAGCAAAATACGTTAAAATGGCGGCCATTTTTCAAAATTTTTTTCAAAATGGCCGCCTTCTACCAAAAGTGTCATAGGACAGTGTGCCATGCTTATAGTATTCACATACCAAATATGAACAAAATCGCTCCACTACTTTTCGAGTTATAGTAAAAATCGTAAAATGACGAGTAAAGGCCGCCATTTTTCAAGATGGCTGCCATGTGCTTCTTTAATATCTACATTTGTAGCATTATTAATGTCCTTTATAATTTTTTTAAATTTAAAACATATTGCTATTACAGTTTTACATATTGCACCTAAATTACTGTAAAATCGACACTAAAATGGCCGCCATTTTGAAATGAGCGGCCATTTTGAAAATCGGCTTTCGAGCAGAACTTCTACCCCCATAGGGTATATGTGTACAAAATATGAACAAAATCGGGCCAACGGTATTTGAGTTATTGCCCGGACGGACGGACGGACGGACGGACAGACGGACGGACGGACGGACGTACGTACGGACGTACGTACGGACGGACGGACGGACGGACGGACGGACGGAGGCGTTCCCTATATCCCTCCGAACTTCGTTCGATGGGATAATGATTTCGAAAATTCAGTGGATTTATCAACAGGACGGTGTTATTAACAGGACATGTTGATTTTCAGCCACCTGATGTTACCATACCAACCTAAACATGCTGTGAATTGGGAATATGTAAGGCCACCCACAATATGCATTATTTGTGCATTCTGTGGGTTGGATATTTTCGAATGCAGGGACTTCAGAACGCATTGGTGAAATGCCATAATTGTCAAATGGAATATACCAGAGGCCAGAATCTACATGCTTTAATCGGCCGTGTATATCATGGAATCTCCGATCAGTATGCTGGAACCATACATTTTGACAACATTCAATATGCATGCCATTGTATTTAACAATATCGACGCTGATGTAGGTTTGGACTATGGATGGCATCATAAACTGAGGGAGGAGATAATTGTACCATATATACTGTACATGTACAGATAGGGATATCATGACAAAACAAGTAATAATGCAATATACAGGCCAATCCAGGAAATATGTCACTCATTTTGAATTTAGAGGGTATCTATGTAAGTATATGGGATAAAGAATTATATACAGAGTATATGGGATAAAAGAATTTCTAGAGAGTTTCGTGCCTTTAGTGAGGGGGAAGTCTCCGAGTACATATACCTGAGTAATCTATTTTGTGATTGCAGTTAGAGAGCAGTACTACAGTGCCCTAATACCATATTTTGAAAACAACATGGGCAATAATACTGGCAAGCTCCCTCCTCCCTGGGGAATACATTACTTAGAGGTGACCTTGTACAAAATACAATACCCCTTATACAACCAGCAAAAGAAGATATATTTACTGGATAGGCATATTGCATACATATGACTTTCATGTTGTTTCTTACCTCATTAACATTAACATAGGGAAATAGTATGGTACACCACAATAGGGACCTGAGCATTCTAGGGGGGTTACATTTTGTAAAGCAGAGACATTAGCCTGCTTTAATGGTTCTATAGAATACTGGTCAAATGGAATCAGCCAGATCCCTGAATCTTCTTTGGTGATTTGGCCTTCTAAATTATGGATGCGTCTATCTATATGCTATAAGACAAATTTTATGATGACATTAAAATACAATATGGAACTTGATACTGTACCACTAGGGTGCGAAAAATTAACAATAGGCTTTCTCTTGAAAGACCATGTACACTGTATTTGCATAACAAAATTAATGTAATTGTTTGATGGGGAAAAAATGAACAATAATTTATTTTAGTACTTCAGTAATGACTGACAAATAATTGGGTTCATCCATACTGTGGATTATAATAAAACGTGATAGAAAATAGAAATCAACACTTAATTAACATCAAATGAATTAATCTAACATTATATTTGATTTTATACAGAGATAATAAAGAGTTTACTCACATGAAGAATGGATCGTTGTTTAGTTGGAAATTGCTCATTGGCACGATATGGAAAGCCTAATGGTGTAAACAGCATCAGGGCAAGGAAAAATAGAAAAATTGCTAACAGCCCTCTGCGTAAAGTAGAGAGATTCTCAGTAATATAGATCAACCCAATCTGCAAAACATAAATAGAACAGGTCAAGGTCACCTATAAGTTCAGGAAAGGGATTACATAAGAGGAGGGAAACCCCGAGAGCTTTAGCGATGACAGACGAATTAAGTCTCTTCCGTACCACCTTCGTTTGCGCAAATTCTCTCTAGTTAGTTTTTGAATATAACACGTCGTTGTGATGTTTTAATCGATGTAAGCATATTCCTTACATCTTTCTTTATCTTGATGTGAAATAACAAGGTATGATATTGGTTAACACGCCAGGAATTAACATAACATTATTCAAAGAGAAAATTTGGAATACATAAATGGCACATGTCAAGGTCACCAAGTCAAGGACACCTGTAAGTTCAGGAAAGGGATTTCATGAAAAAATGTCACTACCTCTATGGAAAGTTTATTCTATCTTTTCATATTGACATTGCTTTATTGCAAAAGAAAAATTTCACATGAGAGGATTTATATGAATACATTTAAGGCCACATGTTCCTATATCCAACATTGAGATTACAAAGTAGCTTTTCAAATTGCAACAGCAATAGTTTAGGATAAGAAGACAGGAAAATATTATATGAATTGAGGCTTCATTTGTATGACCACAAGTAAAATAAAATGAGGATAAAGAACTAAAACTAGAAAAACAGCAACTCCAAGGAGTAGCAAATCCCACGAAACATATTTTGATTATTAGTGGCTATCTTGAAAATTCTTGAGCAGAGCTTGTTTGTCCCTAGGCATCAACATATAAAATGTAAACCAAACCTTCAATAAGCATTTGAGTTTCATTAACTAGCATTTCTTTTTTTATGAAAAATGGCAGCCATTTTGAAATTCAGGCGCCATTTTAAAAATCTTTCTAGAACAACATAGCTCCTTTGTCCCTAGGCATCAGCATATAAAATTTGAACCAAATCCGTCAACGAGAGTTTGAGTTATCAAAGATTGGCGGTCATTTTGAATTGAGTGGCTATATTGAAAATTCCTTCTTGAGCAGAGGTCCTATACCCATAAGGCATAAGCCTATAAAATTTGAATTAAATTCGTCAACCGATATTTGAGTTATCGCCCGGACAGACAGACAGACGAACGGATGGACAGACGGATGGACAAATGGATGGACGCCTTTTCTATATCCTCGAACTTCGTTCGGTGGGATAATAAAACATGTTGACTAGAAAAACTACTGAGACTACAATTTTAATACACTTACATGGTATCCCATATGTGATACAACTGATACTGCCATAAGGCCTGCGATGAAGACATCTGGGATGGCCTCAGTGCCTACCCTCCCCATGACAGGCACAAACATTTCAGTTACCCCGTATATAGGGTACATTCCTATCAGACTAGGGAATGCCAATGAGACTAGATGAACTGTGAGCAATTTTGTTGGATTACCTGGAATTACCCATTTAAATTGCAATCGTTTTCTAAGACAAAAATAGAACAGTATCATAGGAATACAATGTAGAATAAAAGATGACAAAATTTAATTACACAGAAAAATGACTGAATCTAAATCCATTCATATTAAACAATATACAAATGTAATAACATAGAGTGAGTAAAATTATTCATAAAAATAAGACGTACTGACCTGATAATTTAACATTGAGAAACTGACACCCCCTGTCCCTGATACATAATGGGAACAGGACCCAGACTAGCACAATAACAGCAGAACAGACTCCCTTGTATGTCATAAAGCCAAGTAGGAGGGATACCATGCAGATGTGTGCATCAAAGTAAACCCTCTCAACATTGTATAAATCGAATACATTCTGAAAAGCAAATTGAACTTGAATGGTTACATTTACCTTTTCATTATAAATACCATATGGAACTTTATGGTTCTTTATGGAACTTATTGATACTTCTAATTATCATTTCATAATATTTTGAACATGTGAGTAAAACAAAATATTGTGGTTTTGATTTAGCTTTGAGAAAATTAATCAAAATAAATTACAATTCTTAATAAAAAAAACAACAACTGAGAGTTTGTTAAATGAAAAACATATGACAAACCAGTGCACCTTATAAAACTTCTCCTTTATAAAGCTATGTAGAGTGAGGGAGAGCAGAACTCCTGGTACTACATACATGGGTACCATGAACAAATGGTGGGAAAACCAGCACATGGGGCGACCCACTGTATACATGAAGAAGCCCAAAGCTAAAGACGTCAAGATCACTAAGGTCCAGTTAAACAGCAAGAATCCAGCAGCTATCATCAAATGTTTAATATAAAGTGATCCTTGGAATCCTGAAAATAGAAAGTACATGCAATTTTTATGACTTTAATGATTACTAATTGAATTGCAATTTAATTGAAACAAGTGTAACCTTATGTTTTCATATTCTCTGGATCCAAATAATATTTAACCAATTATATTTATCAGTTATTAGTTTATGATACATTTTATTTAGTCTGGGTATTACTAAGGTTAAAATATGATTTTGCATGTTATAATATTGATGTACATGCTAAACTATCAATGTGCATGTTAAAATATCAATGTGCATGTTAAAATGTCAATGTGCATGTTAAAATATCAATGTAATAACTCGTGCACATGTTACATACCCTGTTGTTGCATCTTGTCTCTTCCCACTACTTTCCTGAGTATCCCTATGAAGACAACCAGGACTGTCATACTGTTGAGGATGATTCCCATTCTCTCAGGATACAACACCAGGAAATAACCAATGAAATCAAAGAACACCATTGTTCCATGACGATATTCACCAGGTTCTGCCAAATATGGAGAGGAGGCAAGAGCCTTGATACTTGACAGCAAATTTTCACCTGAAATAATGTGACAGTCGTTAGCGAAATGTTGATTTTTTAAATATTTAAAGGGTGACGCATATCGTTTAGCAAATCGAACGCTCGTTTCTGGTGTTGCTCACCGTTTAGTATAAAAGGCCCGATCCCGGAATAATACTCAAGGGTTCACAGGTTCGAGGTCGTTGTGTCAACACCTCTAACTGTTATATAGCATAAGTATATTATAGATCGTCACACATTTATAAAAGGGTGATTTTTATTTTGACAAATCAATTCCACATTTATGGGTGAAGTTTCAGGATCTTCTATTTGTGTATAATAAGTAGCCTTGCCCAAGTCGGTCTCTTTTACTAATCTTGATTTCTATTATGACCGCCTTGTACCAAAGAGAAAGCCACGTGCTTTACCGACAGTTTGTTGATGTCGGTAAAATTTGACCAATCAACGACGGCCCTGTAGCGTTAGCTCATCGTTATGCACGGTCAAAAACAAGTACACTTTTCACCGGGACTTTTCACGAACAAATCTTGCACGAATCTGAGCACGAATTCATCATGAAAATACAAATATTTTATCAGATAAATATCAATGAGAGTTTAGTGGATGCCGGGGCATCGATCGGATAACCAAAGGTGAGAAGATTTCAACAATAAACGTTGAAACGATCGCTGAACATGTAGGCTGAGATTCAATCACCGATCGACGACAACATGACCCGCTACATTGAACTAGGCCATTCGTGCATTTTCATCGCGAAATCAGTTTTAAATCAACATTGAATCGCATGATTTAATTTATATTAATGACTCTTACCTTACAATGTACATTTAATTACATAATATATTGTAACTCTAAAGAAACACTCGATCAGATCATTGAATTTCAAGTCGTAGATGGGAAGTTTGTTTTGTTTATGCAGCTCAACCTAATAACGTTTTGATTGGTCATTCAGCCTGAAGTCACACGTCGTGTCCACGCGATATCTGTCAATCAATAAGGTTTCGCGATACCCCTGATAGCGTAGGTATTATGGAAATCTCGAAACCGTTGAATATTTCAGCATAATAACAGCGGAGATGTATTGGATTGTACAAGGCGGTAATAATTCAAGATCAGATAAGTAAAAAATACCGACTTGGGCAAGGCTATATAATAAGGAAAAATTGGCATCTAAATTTCCCCATAACGTAATAGCACACAGCTTGGCATATGAAATATCCTACAAATGAAACAAAGCAAGACAAACCGGTTTATAATACAAGAATTTATATTGGCTGTTGTACATGTATTATTTGAACGCAATCACTCTTTGGATAACGTTTTCAAAATCATTATAAACGGATTACTTTATCTCAAAGAAAATTTCAATAAACTGGATTTTACAGAACTCCCCTTATTTCTTAAAAATGGACTGATCCAGTTGATTCGCCTGGAGCCGCCATATTGTTTTTATACGGGATGCTAATCGGAACCCTTTAAGTGAAAGACAAATAAAATTTTTTTTAGATATAGGGAGGGTCAAACCATGATGAAATTACAAACCCATCTCACACCCACCTTCTGTACATTCTAAACATTTTTTGTCATGAGCTTTTTCAATGGGACAAAAATTCATACTCCCATCTAGATGTTAATTTGGTTTTATCCTTCAGGATTTGATATCTTTCCCTTAGTCAGATATCATCCTTCATGATAAAACCCATATACAGCCTCTCCCTAGGAATAACCTCCTTATACATTGGAATATTGTATTCCTACTTATACAGTTGTTTAAGTATTTCTAGTTACCTCCTCTCTGCATGCAGCCTGGTGGAATTCTATCTGGGTCATCATACTTGGTGTGGTAGACATAACCATTGGACACATAGGCTACATCAATACCTAATTAACGAAATCAAAATATTATGTTAGCAATGTGATTGGGTAAACTGAATTTGAAGATAACTTGCAGTTTTTTTCATGATATACCATTTATTTTGTGGAATAAAATAATCATTCAGATGAAAAAGTACCTGGAACACCTCCATAGTCACGGTATATCCTAAAATCTGTATCTGATGGAATAAGTCCACTCTCGAATACTTCCTGACCAAATATGGAAGCAAATGGATATTTTGCTGACTGTGCATACGTCTGAATCAACCAAGGATGTTCCGGACCTGAATATACAGCAATAAAAAAGTAAATAATTCAACTAACAATGATTAATAAAAATATGGAATGATTGTTTTAAATATGTGAAAATGTTCTTGTTATGATTGTTTTAAATATGTGAAAATGTTCTTGTTATGATTGTTTTAAATATGTGAAAATGTTCTTGTTATGATTGTTTTAAACCTGCACATCGCTCCAAAACGCAATATGTTGACATATATTGTTTTTACATTTTCAAGTTCTAATACAAAGTTTATGTAAATAAAAATTGTTTTTTTCTGTGTAATATCAAAGAACAATCATTTAGTTAAAAAAATAAAAAGGCGAATGCGGGATTCGAACCCGGGCCTCCCGCGTGCTAAGCAAGGATTCTACCGCTAGACCACCGTGTTATTATGAATGGTGGAAGTAATTAAACGCTACTTATTTTGAATGCTATGATTCGGAAGTGACGTCACGTTCTTCATTTAGAAACCTTTCCAAAATCATATCGCCGGCTCCGATCGAATCAATTCAATGAAAAATCTTTGAAATGACACATTTATCGTAAGTATTTCTACACAAGATTTGCCCCATTTGTTCATCATTCTATAATCTTTCATTAAGCTCAAAATGATAAAGTTCACCCCCGAAACAACCCAAGATTGCGTTTCGGAGCGAAGTCCAGCTTTAAATATGTGAAAATGTTCTTGTTATGATTGTTTTAAATATGTGAAAATGTTCTTGTTATGATTGTTTTAAATATGTGAAAATGTTCTTGTTATGATTGTTTTATATATGTGAAAATGTTCTTGTTATGATTATTTTAAATATGTGAAAATGTTCTTGTTATGATTGTTTTAAATACATGCTATCTTTGTTTCGAGATGTTTTACACTCTGACATATTTCTCATGGAACTCCCCCAGGAAAAGTTGTAAAGTTGGAATTTTCAAATACTAAAAATTTCAAATTCTTAAGACAATTTTTCAGAATATACTTTACTTAAATACTCAAATATAAAAGCAGATATTGCATATCATGAACCAGCTTGTTCTTTCATACAATGAAATATTAACAAACCTGTCTGAAAGACTAGTTCTCGTCCTCCCGCCCCAGCTGCTTCGAGGTTGTAGAATGCACGGACAGATTTAGCCCAGGGGTGCTGAGTGATGAATCCATGACTGGCCTGGAGACAAAGTTATTTTAAGCAAAGTGAAATACAAATGCAGCTTTTCCTGCAAAACAAATATTGTAATAATACTTTTTATATAACGCATATGCGAGTAGGTTGTTACAAGTTTCACCACCAGGTGGCTCATTTGGGTCAGATAACATGGCGGGTATAGTAGAAAGTTCCCTTTAACTTAAATTACAATTGTTTTAGTGGTTCAATTTTCACATTACCCTTATGTATCTAATAGTTGTGCAAATTAAAATATGTCCTGTAAAATAAAATATTATCTGTCCAATACAAGAAAAGATATTTCACTTTTTAAGATTTTGTAACATAGGGTCTATGGGGAATCAACCCAAACTAAAAGTCACATTTTCAAAGAAATTAAATTTTCAAAGTTGATAAACGATTTTCAAAACTATATTTCTAGATGTACTTTTACATGTAGATTTCAAATATGACATCACTTTGACTGAATTTTGAATACTTAATGACATAAATCAAAATTATTTCTACTCGCATTTAGTCTATTAGAAATGAGTAGCAGATCATATAATTGATTTTGTTTGACTTTGAACTTTATAAAACCTACTCAAAAAGCGCAACCTATAAATAACAGGAACACATTGTAAAAATGTGAAAACATATGGAGTTAATTCAATATATAGGCAGTCATCAGTATTTAAGAATGTACTCAGAAATTAATTTGAATATTTGAATCTCATCAATTGTCCATTAAATCCTGCCTGGACACTGTATTTTTACAATGTCGATAAACAAAAGCATTACTACATCATATCAAAACAGTAAGAACAAAATCTGTGTATAACTAAAATAATGGGGATATGTGGTAGCTCACAGAGTTAATTATTGATATTTGATAGAAAGTGTATTTTTTAGATTTGCACTTTAACCAGTAATTATATGGACCACTTGTATTTTCTTTAACAACTCAGCCAATCAGTTCCAGTTCAGACAACTTCCTGGTCCAAAGTATTACCCTACAACACACCCCTTAACACACCCCACTTTATCTAAAGTCTATCTAATGATATCTGATATTTACCCTAACAGGTATAACAATAAGTTGGAACAAGCTTTATTGTAGAGCTTTATATTGATTAACTAGTCAATAAAGCACTCAAAGCAAATATGCTGGTGTATTGATTGTTAAATAAAATGTCTATATAATATTCACAGTTCTGTCTTGGATAAAATAATAGATTATCAATGAAAAGAAAATATAGGAACCTGTCAATGGTAAATAATTTCCTTACTTGATATTATCTAAAAAAAGATACAAATATGCCAAGTGTGTCTAAGCCATTCAGTTTAGAGTATTTTATTTTCAGTTCATTAATAAGCAGTGATCTCCCCAGTATTAAGGCAAGTGGGTGCAGCACCCAACTGAGATTCTGATATTAGCCTAGCACCCACCTGAGAATTCATTTGCACACATTTGAAAATGAGAAAAATCATGAAAAATAGGCATATTTTCACCAATTTTGGTCTGATTATCCTTCAACACAGGTCCAGGATCTCAGGAGAAACAGATTTTGGGGAGAGGAATAATGTAGTACAAGACTAATAAAACATTTATTTAAAATGTTATTTAACAAGATTATTATGGCACCCACATATGCAGACAGATGCATACACCATTTTGATTCTAACATAATCCATGCTGAGGCAAAGAACAGAAGGTATATGCGCAAGGCCAAAACAATATAGCACTTGTGATAAAAATAGTTGAAATGAAGTAGATGAACCATAATAATATATAATAATCACATATGTAAAATTTGCAAGGTATGAAGGTGTGTGTGTTTTAGAGTATCTAGATTGATGCATGAACCTTTGGTACCTAATCTAAATGAGTATTAAGTACTTATCACTGATTATGACTATACTGTGTGTAATATTAGATTGAACGTCATCAATAATGTAAGACAAAATCCTATATTTTAACAGAATCAGTAAACAAATACAACCGTAGAGTTTAATGTCTTTAGTAACAGGCACATATGTTATTGTACACTCTAGCATAGTATGACAACTAAAACTCAGTAAATATTCAGTTTTAATTGCAAGTTATTTCATTCATGAGGATTTGGGCTCAAAACATAAGAATACATTCTTCATGAAACCTTCTTGAACTAGTTCCTTTAAAAAATGATGGTTTGAATTTAGTCTCTATCCTTGACTTTGACTATCAAACTGATTTTATAATTACTTAAAAATTCCTCACTTGACCAGTACAAGTTTTAAAACCGAAAACAATACTTGCACCATTTTCAATTTTAAAAGGCAATTAATTTACTTTCTACATGAACAATTTCTTCAAGCTTAGATTTTTCCCCTGCAAGATTCACTAATTTTAATTGCACGAAACATTTCTTGTGATAATAAATGGAATGTACAATGTTACCTGTAGAATATTTTCTTCAGCCCCGTTGAATATAAAGATAACATTGTGGGGTAGGGCATAGGGCCTAGTGGCTAGAACGTTGAGGGCTTCCATCATGAGGGCGCAACTAATAGCATCATCACTTGCACCTTAAATAACAAAATGTCATTATACAAATCACTAAATATCAAGTTGGTGACTAGTTCAAATTGTTAATCTAAATTTATTGGAGCCAGATTTGTTATAACTTCCTTGCAATATATTCATGGTCATATCAGAAAGAATCAGATGCATGAACAAAAAATCATAATAAACGCAAATAATTATCTCATCCTTACCACCATGTACCAATTGACAAGTAATTAATACTCTGGCTTAATTATATTACAAAGTAATCTCTATGCTATAGGTTTATTACTTGTCTATACAAAGTTGTCTTTAGACGGATCCATCAAGATAAGATATGATAAAATGATTAGCAAGTCAGTTTTTGCCAAGGGGTGGGGTTCAGTTTTAAAAAAATTCCAGGGGGTTCAAATTTGAAATTGATTAAAATCACTTGAAGTGCTCGAAATGGTATAATTTTAAACACATTTTTGGCCAGAGGGAGAGTTTCGAGCTGGCTATGGGCTTAATAATGTTGTACCATTTCTTGATTTATATCAAACCCCAAAATAAACCCCAACATTTGAACTTGGATTCCTACTTTTACTTAGGTGCATTCATGCACCCTCTGGGTCTCTGAGGATCGCAAGTCCTTACGACAATCCAACGCATTAGAGGCGGTGTTCACCGTCTAACTTTTACTCAGACATCAGCAAACATAAGGTTTGGGCAAAATAAGTTTAATTCTTATGCCGAGCATACGAGTAGATCTATTCTTATGCCAGGCATTAGAGTAGAGCTGTTCTTACACCTGGCATTTAAGAGCAGATCTGTTGTAATGCTGGGGATTAGAGGAGACATGATCAAATGCAAGATTCAGTCTGGTACAACGGTGGCAATGTTAACAAATTCTGCAGATAGGATCTGGTGCAACTGTGGCACGTTATAATTTTCTGCCACAACCGTAGCTATGCATGAGACAACATTATTTAACATTGTCACGGTTGTACCAGCCATTGTCAGTGTCACATTATTGAACATTGTATCTGTTTGTTACAAAATGTGTTTCAGTTTTTAACATTGTGTCACGGTTGTACAAGACATTGTTACATTGTTTAACATAGTATGTGTTGTTAAAGAACATGTTACAATTTATGACATTATCACGGTTGTACCAGACATTGTTACATTATTTAACATTGTATGTGTTATTACAAAACTTGTTACAATATCTAACATTGTCCCGGTTGTACCAGACGGAATCCTGCACTTAATCGTATGTGCATTAGAGTAGATCTGTTCTTATCCCAACTTACCTGGACTGTCTATCACAGAATCATAATGACAGTTGACAAGTAGACTGTGCTGTGATCCTCCCTTAGGGCCAAGTTTTGCAAGGACATTGTTCACATTTTCGTAATAGCTGGAGAATTCCCCCAGAAATTTAAGCGTAAACGAGCCTGTTACATTTTGAACATCTATTTCCAGTTCACTGGCTGGAGATAATCTTGATTTAATTTGATGAAGATGTTCAAGAAGTATTTTAGGTGCCAATACTTCGTTTGCATGGCTACCTACAGGTCTTGGACCTAAGTCTGTTAAACTAAGGAGATACTGTCTTGCCCTTTCCTCAACAAAATCCTCAGGGTTTGCATTGGCAACAGTTTTGGCTTCAGGGAAACGGTTGTCCTCAAAGTGAATTATTGCAAAACATGAGCCTACAAATAAGAAAACTATTAGCCATATATATTCCTTGAGATATCTCCTCTCTCGACCGTTAGTTTTGTCTAGATCAGCATCGAAAAAGTGATTATTTTCAACGTTTTTTGACTGTCCATGAACGGTCCTCTGTCTCACATTTGCAGCCATGTTTTGAAAATCAATTACGAAAGGCTCCCTGGCGCTAAATTTGGTAAATTTACATTTTTCTCATTTATTTTCTAATTTCCTCTAAATATTGTGCTTCATGGGTATTTTTGAACAATGTTTTAGTTGACGGAACATTAGAAGATGCAAACTAATTTTCATTTTGGTCTTATATTTGACGATCTATGCAGATAAACGTCTGTTTACTTGTAACTACATAAAATAAACATATTATCGCCCACACTAAATTGTAAACTGTAGACATTTACTAGACAAGCCTTATTGCAAATAATTCGAAAAATTTCAAACGGAATGCGTGACATATCCGTAATTCGCGTGAAAAGTCCGAGGGGGGGGGGGGAGATTCGAAAAATTTCAAACGGAATGCGTGACATATCCGTAATTCGCGTGAAAAGTCCGAACGAACTGCGTACGATTTTTCCCGTCGTTCGTATTTTTGCTGTGTAGACGATCTTTTTTAGAAAATTTTCTACAGATATATTTTCGCTTGACAATTACCAGGTAAAATGCGTATTTGCGTGACATTTTCTGTCACGCAAAAATAACTGGCGTGACTTCAAATTCTTCAGCAAATGCGTGACAAATACGCAAATTGCGGGACAGTTGACAGGCCTGTTATTGTAAGACATGGTTACAATGCTATATATGCAATTTTGGTGTGGAAAACCCAGTCGGCTCCATAGCTCAGTACCCTCAGTGGTAGAGCACTCGTTCGGCAAGCAAGGGGTCAATCCCCATTAGGGTGGACCCTAGACTATATCCTATTTAGTCTGAATTATATTCAGACTATAAGGCACCTATGTTAAAGTTTGGTAATTTTAAATATTTGTTTACATAGGAAGTGCTATTCAAAATGTATTGTAAGACATGGTTACAATGCTATATATGCAATTTTGGTGTGGAAAACCCAGTCGGCTCCATAACTCAGTACCCTCAGTGGTAGAGCACTCGTTCGGCAAGCAAGGGGTCAATCCCCATTAGGGTGGACCCTAGACTATATCCTATTTAGTCTGAATTATATTCAGACTATAAGGCACCTATGTTAAAGTTTGGTAATTTTAAATATTTGTTTACATAGGAAGTGCTATTCAAAATGGCCGATTGGGTAAAATTAATTTACACATTTGTTACTTCAACTAGCTTTATTTCCACTTGACAATATGCTGTGTTTCTTTTTATTGCATTTCATTGTACCTTACTAATTCATTGAAATTTTGTAATGCTTATTTTATTGAAGAAATAGTTCCCCTAATTGATAATTTTGTGCAAAAAATTTCACTGCAATTTCCACAGGAAAGTAGTACATCATACTAGAAGTCAGTCTGTTGGATACATACTAGGGTGGACCCGGGGGGTGGACTGACTTTTCACATCAGCCCTTAGCGCAAAATTTCATTCTGTTTTCATTATCTGAATCCCAGAGTGGAACATTGATTTTTTGCCATGTATAGGCAAAATTCGAATTCAAACAGCCGCCATTTTGCAAGGAGGATTGGAAGCCAGAATTCCGACTCGATATTCTTTAATCTCCAAGTTATGCAATATTGCCGATCGTGCCTATATATTTCTATGGCTGCAGGGAGAATTATTGGCGATATTTACCTGCAGGCCTGTCAACTTGGGAACACCTAAAATGAGTGACTTACAAATGTTGAACACCTTCCTTCAAATTGTAAACATCTTGGTCCAAATCTGAACACCTTGAAAACTTCAAAATGAGCACATAGCCATGCTTCCCTTTTCTGATTGTATTTGTATGAGTTCCAGGGGCGGATCCAGGATTTTGTGTTAGGGGGGGTTTAATAATAACCGTGAGAGAAATGAACCGCATTAGTGAGTGCAGCAAATGAGCGTGAGAATAGAGGGGCTGGAGGATTGTCACCCCAGAAAATTTTGAAAATTGAACATCATTTGGTGCATTCTGACAAATTCCAGAGCGAGAATAGGGGGGTGCATCATTTGGTGCATTCTAACCCATATAAAATTTCCGGGTTGGATTTCAATGTATGCAATGCGTTATTGACAATCCATAACAATATATTTTGATTTCCAGTTAAAATTTTGACTTTTTAGGGGGGGGGCACGCCCCCATTCTAGACTCACTAGTGAGTTCTTGTTATTAGAATTAAAGAAAAATGACCAACAAGAAAAGAAGAGGTATCACCATTTGCTTCTTGAGTGTTGCATTACGGGTAATTCTTCAGAAAGACAGTCCAATAAAAATATTGTTCACTCTCTTGAAGGCCCATGTTTAACTGACAAGCTCAAATAAAGAGAATGGCCAAATAGTGTCTCCTGTTAACAAAAAGGCTGAAGTATTGGCTATATGGGGTAGATGAAATTTTTATACTGGAGATAGTGTTCTTTTTAGCTTAGTGTTCTCTGTTCATTATTTATACTGGAGATAGTGTTCTTTTTAACTTTGTGTTCTCTGTTCATTCATAACATAGACTGTACCAATTTGCTCAAATCGGATAAAAATCAAAATCATAACATCATATTTTTACTTCTAGTCTATTGGATATGTGAGGCCATTCAATACTGTACGCCCGGTATTATTCGCGTGCGATTAACTTTCGCGCTTTTCGCGATGGTGTTAAAATCGCGAAAAATTATCGTCGCGAAATTGCCAATTAAATCCCCGGGAATTTGTTTTTACCCGGGGCTCTGATGCATTTCGTCAACTTCTGATCCCTCCATTCCTACATCTGTAAGAAGAACTACAAAATGCATTTCGTTTTGTGTAAAACTTTTCGTCTAGTGTTATTGGGCGATAATTGGATGATTTCCACCAACATGTCTATTTTACGTTGGCTAGTCAGGCCAACTACTACCAATGGGCCTAGGCTAAATAATGACATCGACGATATTATAGAAACTGAAGTTCAAATTGCTAAAAATAACATGAAGCGTGTACAACGACGCAGAAAGGGCAAACATAGCCAACGACGCAGAAAGGGCAAACATAGCCCGGCACGCACTTCTGAACTTGTGAAATTCGCGAAAATTAATAGCCGCGAAACCGTGTTTTCGCAAAATTCGCGAAATTAAAGCTCGCGAATAATACCGGGCGTACAGTAATGATTGAGCTGTCCAAATATGTGACATGAGTATTTACTTTTTATTTCAGCCCTAGTCTTAGTACATACTGTGCAGTGATCTCCCTAGCATTAAAGCAAGTGGGTGCAGCACCCACTTGAGATTTTGAAAACGGGCTTGCAGTGATCTCCCTAGCATTAAAGCAAGTGGGTGCAGCACCCACTTGAGATTTTGAAAACGGGCTTGCACCCACCTGAAAATCCATTTGCATTCACTTGAAAATGAGAAAAATCATGAAAAATCGGCATGTTTTAACCAACTTAGGTCTGAATTGTGAAAATGGGAATTTTGATCCTACTTTAGCATGCCTTACCATCACGTAAGCAGGCGTCACCGTACAGCGTCAAAAAATAGCAGAGTACAGTTTTCTGTACGGTAACGCAAATTAACTGCTTTGAAGCAAAAACTATGACAAGGGTTTAAAAAAATTAATTTGATGAAAACTAATACGATTTCATGTGAAATAAAAACAGCATTCTCTTAGAAATGGTTTTCTGATTATGATAAACGATTTACGAGCACTGTTCGGATTTTTTCTGAGTGAATCGGCCCACATAATCGACCAGAGTGAAAAAATGTTGTTTTTTCACATTTTGTTTGGTTATTATTTTCCCTACCGTCTGGGAGTATGGATTATTTTTATGAGAATATGTATTTGTTACTTACACATTTTAGAACGGGTGAAGATTCAGCAAACAACCATTCATTTTGTATATTTAAAAAAGATCAAATTTGTACGGTGACGCACCAGCTGTACGGTGACGCTATGCTTTGATGAACTAAATGAGACTAAGATTGTATGAAATTGAAACTCTGGAGTATGATCATTTGTTCATATATAGAGCATGGGCGCTATAGTTCAACGATATCTTCCACAGCTTAATGGAAGGTTACTGGAAATGTATGATACGGTAAAGATCATGAAACCAAAAACTCTCTTGTTGCTATGTTATTGATGTTTTAAAACAAGGGATGTCACAAGTAAATCTCATCTTGCACGTGTGACTTTTTAGGATGAAAGATGCAATATCTTGCATGGGGTAAAGATGGCTGTGTAGGCTATCTTTGTTAGTCATATGAGAAAAGCCTGGTTTAGTTCAAATGATACCAAAGCATTACGTCAACTTTCAAATAGTTAATTCCATGAAAACTAAAAATATCGAAATTAATACTTCCTGTCCGCCATCTTAAATGCGAATGTGACGGCTGTAACCTTCGCTTGATACTTACCAGTGATAATGTACATGTAGATCTGACGCTTCTTTACCTCTTGTTCGAACAGTAAGCTTGGAGCACTTCATAAAATCTAAGGAAGCGTCACCGTACAGCTGATGCGTCACCGTACAGTTCTGATCTTTTTTAAATAAATACACTGAATGATTATTTGCCGAATATGCATCTGTTCTAAAATGTGTAGATAACAAATACATATTCTCATAAAAATAATCCATACTCTCAGACGACAGGGAAAATAATAACCAAACGAAAAGTGAAAAAAACACCATTTTTCTCTCGAGTCGATTATGTGGGCCGATCCAGTCAGAAAAAATCCGAGCAGTGCTCGAAAAACTTTTATCATAATTAGAAAGTTAAAACCATTCCTAAGAGAATGCTGTTTTTATTACACCCGAAATCGTATTTATTTTCATCTAATTAATCTTTTTAAAACCCTCATTATAGTTTTTGCTTCAACTCAGTTAATTTTCGTCACCGTACAGAAAACTGTACTACTGTATTTTTTGACGCTGTACGGTGACGCCTGCTTACGCGATGGTTAGGCGTGTTTAGAAAAAATCCTATTGAGAACACTCCTGTACTATGCTATACTTCACTGCGCTGTACTCTAATGTATTTTACTGCACTACAATGTAACGCACTGTACATAAGTGTACTCTACTCTCCTGTATTTTCTGTATTTAAAATTTTTTCACATTGTTTGTTACAGAATTCAAATAAACAAAGAAATAGATGGATGTCTTGCAGGTTGTTCATTCTTGATATTATACTACATGATAACATGGGCTGGTTTACAGCTGCAGTCTAAAGAATGACTAGGTAAGTTTAAATACTTTCATGGACATGACTTCTAGAAATAAATATTCAATATATTCATAGATGCCACTTCCGCAGTACATGTGTAACATGCAGAAAAAGTGGTCCACTGCCAATGATCAGAAGTGAGGTGCCATTTTTTGTAACTGATTGATTATTCATGAGCATTATGCACATCAGTCGATATGTAATCCAATCAATTTGCAGGATATGATAATGTGAATAAACACGGTCACATGTTGGCTAAGAGCCATGTATGGGCAAAGCAAAATTTGAAATCGTGGAAATGGCAGTTTAATTACTTCAAAAATTATTTCACTTGAATATCATCAATTCAAACTTGGATATTGCAGTTTCAGTGATGCTACCCAAACTTCATTAGAATATTCAGAAAACAACAGCAAACATTCTGTATGATGACATTCTGATTTTAATTGCAAATGATTCCAGTTTATAAAATTGGTCATCTAAGGTGACTATGGCATCTCTCAGCCTTGGTAAATCTCCTCTTGCCAAAGATGCTATTGGTGCTTTTTCATAAAGGACCAGGTGTAGTATGGCACCTGATTTCAGACAGTCATATCTTTCACCATGCATACTTTCTGGCCATAAATACAGTGGTTCTAATTAAAACAATATGTTTTCTTTCAATTGAAAACCCATGATACTAAAAATATTAATCCAACTCTTTGACAAGTTATATATTAGGACCTTGTCACTTTTTTAAAATGTTAGGTTTATTTTCTCAAAATAGGATCTTGTTTTTCATAATTTAAACATATCAAAAGTTTCTTCTATACAATAATTAAAACAATTTTTGAAAAGGGGATGGGTTTTAAAATGTGCTAAAGTATCATATATCATTTAGAATATCAAATATCCCATGTTATTTTCCCATAGGGAAAACTCATGCTATCCATTGTTTTCAGCATAATTTTGGTCATTGAAAATTGATATCTTCAAAACTAGACAATCATTACCATTCTACTTTTGAAGAAGTTTTAGACCTCTTGTTGAATAATCTTTTTATACAATAAATATCAGCAAAAGAAGATCCTTTTCGTGTAAATAGGGTTCAAAATTTTGAAAAAATGGATGACGTGGGGTTTCTCTTCATAATTTTTCAAATTGTTCGATCTATATTTTTATCATCATGGGGACTTCACTTGAAAGAAAACGTATTGTTTTAATAAAAAACCATTGCATTTATGCCCAGAAAGTACTCATGGTGAAAGATATGATCATCTAAAATCACTTGCTATACTATACCTGGTCCTTTTCTGTTCATAAATTCATCACATATGAGTAATTACCATGTAATATAACTGGATAGGAGGATTACATGTATGTTATAATGAAATGAAATTAGTCTGAGTGTTTTGTTCCGATCAAAAAATGGTGAATTTTATTCACTTTTTGACCTTACATAACTTGATCAAATGACCTATCATATGACGTAACATGTGATCTTGATGGGATCCTTGAACTTAGGAGAAATCCCTTCTATCAATTCCACAGCATGCACAAGTGGACTTGTAAAAACATGGCCTGATGAAATATGTTACATACATTGTATATAAAACATTAATGTTCTTCCATATACTCTTTGGCAGTAAGCAACTGAGAATATCTCCAAATTGCAGAAAACTCAAGATTGCAGCATGCCAAGGCTAGTTTGAACGATATTCAACTATTCTCACCTGAGTAAAAAACATTATCTCATGAAAAGATGGCGCTAGTGCTAGGTATAGGTGTTGGGATTATTATCCTGGCTGTAATATGGGTGCTCAGTCTGATGGTCTGCCTATTGTTATCCCGTGCTCAGGGACCCGCATCTTATGCTGGAGGTGGTATGATTGTCCTGGCAGGGATTGTGACTCTTGCCCTGTGGTTCTTTCCAAGAGAAAGCGTTACTCCGTCCGAAACTGAAGATGTGAAAGTCTATGACCAATATGTTATTGGTAGAACTGCTTTGATTTCAATCTGTGGGATTATGCTACTTGTTGCACTTATGATTTATATGATGTTCCATGTGATGGAACCAATTTATGCCACGTCAATGAGGAAAATAAGGATTTGATTTTACCAAAATATACACATTTGACTTTGATTCTGATGAAATGTGCTAACTCACTGGTGGGATTGCAAGATTTGTCTGTGATGGGTGTATATGAAGAAAAGAACCTACTCCTAAAACAGTGACCTGAAATGTGCATTTTCCTTTTTAAAGATGAACCATATATTAGGAATATAAATATGGTCCATTAATGTCTGAAGTGATCACCACAATGGACAAATAGCCTTACAAATAGAGGACAAAAATTATCATTATTTTTTGTAAAAATGATAAAAGGACCTACTATATAACTGAAGGTCTGACTCTTGTTCCCAGTGTTCCGAGGAGAACATTTGTAAATACAATCAAGTCAACGTATTGTGCTATTAAAAAGTTTAAAAGGAAAACTTACATTAAGAATATGATACACAAGTGCCATTTTCATTTTCTTCAACTCCTAGCATTATTGGACAAATAGAAGTGAAGGTTATCCATAAATGATATCCAGATTGCATGTAGGAAGTACATTTTTCTCTTCTGCATAATGAAACATATTGGTAACAAAAGATAAATTGCATAGCAGACTCATGATCCCACCCTGTGTTACTAGAGTAATTGGCTTATAATTCTATAAGCAAAGCCATTACAACAAATGTTTGATGTATATGTAATGTCAAAATAAATTCTATTTATAAAAAGTAGAAAAATGTTTTCTATAGTTACCTAATTGTACATGTACATGTATTTTTAAAGTGTTGTTAATTGATAGTGTCATGATCTAATTCATTGGTTCAGTAAAAGAGCGAAGGATATACTGTGAAGGATGATCCAACCAGGCTCAAATCTTTTATGATGATTGACTGATGTTAGAGCTCAGCAATAAATTAGTAATCGATTTTTACACTTTTATTATTTTGTATGTCATCTATTGAAGAATTTTGAAGAATACTGTACTGTATAGGTGGTATTTAATCCGAGAGGTTAATTTACCAAATGGTCAAATTTTATCATTTTCCTCATTTTAATTCTCCTAATGACAAGAAACTTCCCATTGAATAATATTATGAAGTTAATATTTCCGACATTTAATTTTCCGAACCTGGCAGAAATTAGGCAAAAGGCAAATTAAATGATTAGGCAGTTACCACTTACACCGTAATGTACCATATAAGCAGGCTTGGAACCCTTCTCTGGAGACTTCCCTATTCTGTGATGAGAAACACAACCGTCCCTGACCTTATATTTAACACTTCAACAAATCATACCATCATATTATAATATTTATTTTGATAAATAACACAAGTATATTTTATCTGTAAATAAAAGATGCACTCTGTAAAATCGTAGATCGTAAATTAATAAAAATGATGTTACATGAATATGTTTAAGCTAATATATGAGGTTTACCCATCAACTCTCTAATTATTGTGACAATTATAATAAAATGTGCCTTCCATGCAGCATATTATACATCCACCAAAATAAATTTGAATTGTCATAAATAAGATTAAGAGAAGTCAGAAAGTCAAGGATGACAATAGTAGAAATATGTGAACGCAAAATTATATATTCATATATTGATCTATATTTTATAGAATATGATCACAGCACTGTTGTCATCTCGTGAAAATTTTGAGTTCCTTCAGACTCAGTATCGGTATCAATATTTCGAGTTGCTGTACTACTTTTTATTGTGATGTGTTCTACCGGCATTTCAATCTCATTGATTTCATTTATTGTATTATCACATATCTCCCGATCACCATTTGTTTGACTAATGCAATCATTATTTACACCTCGAGCAGCAGGCGTCTCATCTGTTCGGTCTAAAGGTGCATTGTTCCAAATCTGCTCAAGTTCACCATTTGAGTTGTAGCTTTCATCAAAGGCATCGATGTTATTCACCGATGTTGTGCTGTCAGAATCCTTCGAAGTTATTTTGTTGGTGGAATCGGGGTGATCCAAGCTGGACGGAAGTCTTTCTGATTTATCGGTAATTAAATCGTTGTTACTCACTTCCCTGTGACTGGCAAGAAGAAATGCATTGTTACTGGTGTAGCTATCATTCAACGCATCGTATGGTATTTTCTGTTGTTTTCTGTACATGTGCGTCCAACTAGAGCCAAGATGGTTCAACGAACCTGACGACTCATAAAGATTCATAGATGATCCTGGAATGGTTGATAGTTCAGGGTTATAGTCATTGGACCCAAATGCATCAATTATGCTTGGCCTTTTATTACGAGACAAATCAGAGTGTCTCCTCTTTGGGTGTTTATCCCTTTTCTCTTTTACAACATCATATTTGCCTGGAAGAGAGCTTTGTCTTGTAGGTTTCATTCGGGGTTTCACATCAACCCAGAACACCTGGTTTTCCTCAGTTGTAGGTACCTCGGGTTTAATATCCCTATGTAAATCCAATTCTATCCAAAGTGGATGGCCTTTTTCAACAGAGTCCGATTTTGTTTTAGATTCTTTCCGCAAAATATTCCACTTTGGATCATTGTCACTTATGTCTTCTGCCTGTAGCTTTCTGAGGAGATTATTTTCAAAAGCTTCATCATCACGTATAACAGACATGTTATTTCCGTCTTCTTGATCATTAAAGAGTTTTGTATTAGTATCAACGTCAACATTGACACATGCGTCCTCATTAAATGGGTTGTTTGGGGTTAGTGGTCTTACATGAAGAGACGCCCCTCCTGTTGCCCCCAATGACTCATCATTGATATCATCACTTGTAACATTAATCTGACAATCTTCGGGTGATGCTACCTTTTCAAGAGAATCCTCGTAAGCTATATCTACAATAGTTTCTTTAAGTGGCATATCTAAAACGATGTTGACATCGCCAATGGAATATTTTCTGGGAGGAGTCTCACACTCATTCTCCTTATCAGTATTTTTCTGCTTTTCTAGTGTACCCTTTGGAGTTGGGACGGATAAACGCCGATTCTGGGTTATTGCATCGTGGTGAAAGTCACTAGACACATATGTTAGACTTTCATTTTTTGTATGACCCTTTTTAGGACTAGCTCCATCCTGCTTGTGATTATTCTGTTTTATTTTTTCAATGTCATCATCAAATGCTTCATTTATGAATCCAGTTTTGACATGGTTTTTCTGTAAATTTTCTTTCCATTGTTGTCTAGAACTCAATCCAGAATTTTCCTTTTTGGCAGGTGAGTTTGCATTTGGGTGCTTGTGGACACTGGCAGTCACAACCGTGTTTCCCAATCCACCAACAGCATTCTCACTCTCGTGATCGGAATCTGTACCAGCTTGTTTTTCAGCATCAGGATGCCGGATCCCATTAGCGCTACCATTAGGTCGTACACTCAATTCAATATCCGCTGTTGGTGTAGCGCCATTGGCAGGTTTTGGTTTTGTGTTGATTTCAGTGGATTCAACCAATTCGTTGGTGTCTGTTGTATGCCTTGGACTGTAACCATGGAATGTAACACCCATGTTACCTTTAATAAAAAGACAGACGTTACTTTTTAAGATGCGGTAGGCCTAAAGATAGCAGTAGTAGGCCTAAAGTTGATTTAAGTCTAGAAGTTAATTACTAAAAACCTTTTTACTATTTATATTATATACTATATAAATGCCACATTTCTTTCCCTGTCCAGAAAATAAAACAAAGATGAATTTTAGTTCCATAAATACTTACTAGAATCTGGTGAAGGTGGGCCACAACAATGGCACCTAAGAGTCTGGGCAAGAGCGTGTCTGATCCTGGGGTTTACAATCCATAATACATGGGGAACAACCAGCACTTCAATTAGAATACACCACATTGCTGCAATCTCAAGATGACTGTGATCTTGGTATGATAAAATCCCCATGAACGATAGCACCTGGAAACAACATCGGGTTAAAATAACTTAATATGTTAAAGCGTTGTACCCAAAATGGAAAGGCATATTCAGATATTTGGGAGGGAAAGCTCCCATAAGCAAATGAAATAATCCGTGGATGTTTAATCACGTGTATTGATTCAAAATTGACAATTTGTTATGATGACAATGACTTAGAGAAACCAGCTGATCTAGCATGGAATATTAAACCAACTCATGCTATTAGATATATGTGAACATAGGGATAAGTCAGCGATAATGAGTTTACCCTTTGGGATTATTTCATTGATCAGTAAGAGTAGACTAAACCAATTGATATGTTTCACCTTGAATTGAATGGGGATCAGCTACTTCATGCACCTGACTGTCTCAAAAAACTTAACAGCTTTCAAACAAAATATCAATATTATTACAATAATATAAGAATTCTATGTGGCAATGTCTGAATGTTATCATATTGTCTAAGGTATATAAGCAATTGTCGGTTATTGATTTGCTCTCTCTGTTTAGAAAGCCATTGTTTTAGCATTGATTTATGAGCCTCCCGTTTGCCAATATTTGCACAGTGAATATCAAGTTTACTGAAGAATCATCGAATATCATACGATAGACTGAACGGTGTTTATAAAATTCCGATTAGGAGCACTTCGTATAATTATTATATAAATGTAATTAGGAACTCGATTAACCCGCTCCCTAATTAACAGTGGCTAGCCTAATGCTTTCCTAAAACTTTTTATAGCTCCGACAAGTACACGATATGGTAATTCGTACGCAGGTGCTCATTTTCCAAGAGATCATAATTTGATCGTCCATTTGCACGGTTAAATGTTTGTGTTTGTGTATATAAAGAGGTTTAAAGGAGATTGTGGCATTTTGATTTTCAATTTTGCTCTTTGTGGTTTGTGAGTACTCACCCATTTAAATGAGCTAACAGAGTGTCTTATTCAGTATTGTAGGTAGAATTTCCGTGGAAAGAGGACTACATAAAATCATTTTCTGGGTCAGTTGAGGTATGAAAAAGAATATAGGGTCAAGAATAGAACCTTGGGAAACACCGCAACTAACATGATGACTATAAATCTGTATGAGATGGTACTTCCACAGTGATTTTGGTTGTATTCCAATTCCTACGTATAAGTAATTATCAATAAGGAACGATCGTTAAAGGTGCAACAATTAGTGCAATTTAACAGTTTAAGAAAATAGTATGCCAAAAAAGATGTTAAGCCTAATGTTGCCCTGATAGCTCAGAAAAAGTAAAACGTTGCCCCTTTAAATTCTCAAGATACTGACCATTGCGACTGATATCAAAATAAGTTTATAGATGATCACTGACTTTGAAGCTATGCTTTCAAAACCCAGGACCAAATAATGCATTATCTCTGAAATGTTCACTACGCTGGTATTCAAGAAAACGTCGATTCATATGAATTATGAATAACTTGAGTCTTCATCGTATGTTTAAAATGGAAGATGAATTAATGATCACTTGGGTGCTTCCTTTCTTCATAGTCCATGCTTTTTGTCTAAAAATGCAACCGACAATTTGGTAAGTTATTTAAAGAGAGGGAAGTGTCTAAGGAAAGAGACGAGTTGAGAATAAATTATCAAAACATGTTGCAATTTTACAATATTTTTTTTATCTCATCATTCCATGTCATGCCTATTTTCGAAAAAAATCCAACAGTTCTAATTTCATTTCAGGACAACTCTCCGTTTTTAAGGTTTTCCGTTTTTAAAATTACTTCCAACAATTTACACCCCTTTATCCCCTCTAATTCCTTCAAGAGAATGCTCTTAACTTTACGCCTAGCAATCTAGTAGTCTCTGGTCGGTGTTAAACATCAGTAATCACCATAATCAATTTAATGAAGCACACCCTTTTAATAAAATAACTCAACAATATCCATAGCAACTGGAATCCTGCTTGAATGAGCTGAATCAAATATAGTTCCGTACAAGATTTGAACATTACGCGTTTAATGTGGCAATAATTCTTGAGTAAATTAAATTATTAATGGTAGTATGACATGATAAGTGCGATAAGGTAGATTCCTAAAGTAATAAAGAAGATATTTCACCAATGAAATGAGATTCAGATCTTTTTAACTACTAATAAGAATAAAACATTATTGATTCTGATTTTTTCTTAAAAAACAACGCACTTTGACTTGAATGGTGAAATGAATCTGGTTCAAGTAAATTGTGAAAAATTATTCAAACTCTCGGGTTTTTCGGTGAAACAGAAAATTTTGTCCCCTTTAATTCAAGACACTGGCCCTACTAAGTATGAACTAATTAGGAAAATAATTGTAATTCGGTCACGCCGGACATTTATTCTTTTCCTTCTTTCAAGGGTTTGCTGTTATCTGTTGCAATCTGTTGGCGAGATACCAAGGTCAAGTTGAACCAGAGCGCACAATGAGCAACAACAAAAAACAACAATAGGCACGGATATACAATATAACGGTGATCTGAGTGAATAAATAATCGGCAAGAAGATCATAAATATTTAATGTTTAATTAATTAGATTGTGTAATTAAGAGAGGCGAGTGGGAATTGTCTGCTACTTAACATGAATATGATATAAAATTTACATGCTTGTTTACTCGATATTAGTCTGAATGAATTTCTGACATCACTTGTTATTCACATTGTCTTCCCCGTATTAGAGGTCTCAAAACACCCCCAATACCTAGTATGTAACCCGGACAATAAAAACGTTTTTACACTGAACTGGTATACTGTAATACTGTTTACAGAGCCAGTTAAAGTGCAATCTAGGTATTGAAAGAAGCTTCCATCTATCTGAAATTCTAGGACATGGTTATGCTGATGTATAGCCAAATCATATGATTACCCCTCTGCTGATGTACAGTCAAACCATATGATTAGCGTTATGCTGATGTACAGTCAAACAATAGGATGACCCATATGCTGATGTTCAGTAAAACCATAGGATTAGCCTTATGCCGATGTACAGTCAAACCAAAGGATTAGCCTTATGCTGATGTACAGTAAAGCCATAGGATTAGCCTTATGGTGATGTACAGTAAATCAAGCCTTATGCTGATGTGCAGTCAAACCAAAGGATTAGCCGTATGCTGATCTACAGTCAAACCAAAGGCCTTATGCTGATATACAGCATCTTGATTCTCAAGGTATTAGTTGCTCCAAAGGATTAGCCTCGTGCTGATGTACGGTAAAACCATAGGATTAGCCTAGGCCTACTGTACTTCAAAAGGGTATAAAACTTATAAATGGTGCCCCACATTATAATGATTGAGTAGAATTATTCCTATAATTATTTTTGTAGATTAAGTATATCTGTCTTTTCCGCCACTATACAATAGTTTATCACCCTATTTCAATTTCAGCTTCCGGATATATCGATAATCCATAGTGTCTTTAGCATCAATCATATCGTCCTTTAAAGCGTCCGTTGTTTTCAACAAAGTAAATATATTTAAGGCGCAAACCGTACAATTTTTCAACAATAATATGTGATGTATTCTAACTACTTTTCAGATTATCAGAGATAAAGAAAGTTGTATATATTTCCAAACATAAAGTATTACCACGCTTGTTGATATGGGGTGTTATTTGTTAACGAGGGGATAGCGAAAAGGTGCAACTTTAGGCACATAATCGAGCAAAAAGTTAATACGATGCAGATATAGTTGACTAAATCATGGTGGCTTTATTTTCGTTTTAAATGTTCTTCTTTGTAACCAATCTACCTCTGTTTTGGAACACAATAAGCTGAATCAAATTACCCCTATTTGACGGTTTATGTAAAAAAGTGAAAAAAATGTTAAGATACATTGTGTAATAACTTGAACCAAGATCAATGGGCATTTTTGAGGAGTAATGATTCTGTATGATACAAGATTATTTTTCTAAACTTTATTTCTATGATCTGATTATCCATTAGTGTACTTTTCATTGTATGTCCGACATTAGAGGATATACTTTTATTTAAAGCATGATTCATTCCAATATTTCTTTCCACTTCTTATATTGAGTAAAATTAACTATAAAATGTGATTGATTGTGTTTTCATTCTAAGCATACGCTATTAACCAAGATTACAGAAATGTTCCCTGTATCGAACAATATGCGTTGTCATGGAAATCGACAACACAATTAATTATACGTACCATATATGGTAAATGATTCAAGATGAAGGATAGCATAGCAACCACCAAGGTGGCTTTGCAGTTTACGTAGCATGTATTGAACTCGTCAGATCCCAGCAGTATTGGCTTCTTCCAGGATTCTGCATGGTTCTCTAACCTTATGGACGGAGGAATCTTGGAAGAACTTCTGTTTTTACGGTATTTCATAATCAACATGTTCTTTCGTAGGTACTCATTTGCTGAGCATGCATCCGATAAGGTAACGGTTGTCACAATGAATGAAGTCAATATTACAATTGGTACAAATATAGCAAACGCTCTGTTTATGGCGTGTGATAAGAACTGGCATTGGGACGTGCTGTGGAAGTTGATATCACTCCAGCCCAAAATGAGGGCAATCCCTATGAAACTTGCGATTATCCATAGCAAAAATATAAACGTGGCACCGGAGCATGTGTTTCCATAATAACGATATCTACTTGGAAGCCTTAGAGAGAGGACTCTATCGAACCCAAGTGCTGTTATTGACAATAACCCGGCCATTCGGAATGTGATAGTACACCAAACGAAAAACTGACACAACATTATGTGCCATTGAAAATTATTCAGCAGCATTACCAAATGAATTGGCAAAATTATCACAGCATTAAGTAGCATTGTGCACAATAATGAAAGCATGAGAATATCGTGTGTTTGATGTGACGAACGATAGTATGTGACAGACTTTAGTATTAGAATAACTCCTAAGATGGCGGCACCAGTTACTCCAGCCCAGCAGAGGGCGTTAATGTAGACTAACATAGTTACGGCCCTCTATCTACTTTATCGTCCCAATGCATCCTCCATGTTGACATTTTCTTTCGCCATGTTGCCAAACGCCATATCCTGAAATTTACAGATCTCAGATTAACAATGTTCTAATCAACACGATGACTACATCATCGTCATACCTGTCCGATTGGCTGAAAATTAATAATCATTTAGTTGTCGCAGAACAATTTCCTTAAGTTATAACATCATCATCATCATATTCCCTCTTCCTTTAATAGCTCGGGCAAAATTAAAAGTATTGCCGTTTGCAATGACCATATCCTGTATACCTTGTTTCTTGTGGAATATACACGTATGGAACATGGCATCGATCGGATTGTGTGTTTTAGAATTCACCTTAAGTTTTATTGTATTGATCAGACACCTCTCAACATCTGGTTAAGGATAAAATCAATTACAGTCAGTTTATAAATGTTGTAAAGGTTTAATAAAAAGTACGATTAGTAAAAATCCATTGATGGAAAAATATGATTTTTATATGTAACCGAAGCATTATAATTATATAATGTTCTTTACATTTTATTGTATAATCTTCATAGCATTTGTGTCACGTTAGTGTTGGCGTTTCTACTTTACCCTGCGTGCAGAGTCTAGTTAAACCATGGACTTCTAAGAAGTTTTATCTAAGAAGGTTTATTTTAGTTTGAAAGAGTGAAGACGAAGCTCTCTTTTAAGAAGTGAAGTCAAACGAATGCAAAGGGTATTTCTACTTCTACATGTACATCGATTGTTTAAAAACATGCACACATCATTCGTATTGGCACATCCGACATAGACTTTACTCGGACTCTGTAGGGAATTACAAAATTAACAAGACTCTCGATACTAAAAACCAAATATCTTTCTATCGTCGAATATGAAGATGACATGATTACATACATGTATAGTACACATTTGATATAATGAAATACTTATAAAATTGGACTTACCACTATCTATTATACCTACCTGTATGAACCTGCATGTACATAGTGTTAAATGATGAATTTGGATCAATTTATCCTATTATTATGTTCTATGCACCTTTATTGTAGTAGTTTCCCGTAAAACTATTCATGTGATCGGTATTACCTCAGGTATTACATTCATAGAGAAATTCGAAACTATTATTAATTATCTCAAATATAATACTCACGTTTTTCATGTATAGAGTTATACACTATCCATCACCCACGTGTCTCTAGACTCCCTACGTCCACGTGTCTGTGCTCCCTAGTGTCTCCACTCCCTAGGACCACCGTTCACTAGACGTTCATTTTATTCCGCTGCCTACACTACAGTTCCATAGCATTAGAATTCAACCCTGATCAATACAACATTAACTCTTGTATGAGTTAGCCAACAAATAATGAAGGTAGCAGTGAGGAACGGGCTTTATTATAGGAATGCAATCATAGATATTAATTGCATGAGTTCCATGAATTAGATATGCAAGAGCACATCTTACTTGGATTGTTTTAGATGAGAAAACTTTCAGTATTTCTAATTTTTCAAATGAACTTCTTTTCGGTTTAAACGCTACCAGAAATTCTGTATGGTCTGTATTTTTACGATATCACTTGAAATATATAAGAGGCGGTAACTTCTCTGCAGAATGGGTTCGAAGGGGGAGACCGGGGGAAGAAATACCATGGGGCGAGAACCACGCTTGGTTTTTCAAATATATAGTTTTTTCGTTTCTTTTGAAAGAAATAGTTCAAAGAAATTTTCGAAGAAAGACTTGTTCAAAAGTGGTCAGATAATCCTTTTGAAAAGGCGCTACTTTAGACTATCATTTCCCCATGACTAGTTCTATATACGTTACTTTGCCTTGAAAATGTTACTTTATTGGACTTAAACTTTTCTCAACGAACGATGGGTGTTTTTTATGCAGGCATTTCTGAAACAAGTAACTTTGCTTTTAAAACGTTACTTTATTGGAGTTTAACTTTTCTCAACGAAGAATGGATGATTTTTAAGTAGAAATTTCAAAATCACATTTTTTGTAAACTGTACAAAAAGTTTTGGTGATGGTGAAAAATACTGTCTAAAAATGGAACAAAGGTCCTGGTGCATCAGAAAATAGAAAATAGAGATCAACAAGTTAATGTAGTAATATGTAGCATACAATCCTATCAATAAATTCAACAACATGAACCATCCAAACCTAGACTTTTTATTTAACTATGAACTGTTGATAAGAAAAATGTAAAAACACTGTTGCTAAATTAGAATAATCATTCAATCATGATCAATCAATCGACTTATTACATGTATGCATATTGATGATATTTGTATATTCTCATTCTTTGAATTCAATACATGTAAATCTGCTCAGATCACAAATAATGAAAAAATCATCGGACGCTACAATGATAACACCAATAACTGAACACCACAGGCGGTGGCATCTTGGTACATCCTCCTGTACAACGCCATCTATATGCAATTGGTCTAAAATTGCAACTCAAGAACTGCTTACAGTAAGTTCCTCCCCATAGTCCGCTTACAGGATCGTGAATGCTAGCATATTTACACCACCAGAACTTTGTACAAAGTCTTTTTTGGAGATCTTTCACAACGTCACCTTGTACTCCTTTGTCCTCCGTTTTCGCTTTTACCTACATATCAGAAATGCACTGTAAAAATGACTATGCACATACAGGGTGAGTCAAAAGAGGTAACCCTAACAAACTCACCTCATTCAGCATAGGTTTAGTGTCATATTGAGCAATCAACGATGATGTAGTCAAACGCTTCATAAGTTATACTTTATACGTTTAAATAATATGTGGATAAACATAGTGAGTTTCGAAATTTCTCTAATGTATATATGGTCTTCCAAAATGACTATGCAGACAAGGCAACTTATTTTTAAGTTGTTGTTTTAGCCATAGATATACCCTGCGTGCAGAGTCTAGTTAAACTACTAAGAAGAAGACGAAGCTCTCTTTTAAGAAGTGAAGTCAAACGAATGCAAAGCGTACCATAGATATGGAACATTAGAACTGCCACAAGTATGCCAACCCTGCTCTCGGAGCTGCCATTTACATAGAGTGAAACTGAATGGATGTGTGGAATAATTTGTAATTCAAATTGTATTTAATTTGGAATGTGTATTATATATAGCAATTAGTATATACTAGTACTCACGGAGAAAATTAGATCGAAAGATGAGACCCATACACATATCACGTAGATCATTCCTAAACCTAAATTAATAAAATCATGATAAAAATCAGAAAATATAAATTATTTCTTACCATACATATACCTCCTCCACAGTTTCAAAATTAATCAAATACAAACTTGATATTACCTGAGAAGTTCATGTTCACGGTTAACAGATTGATCATGCGATGAAGAAGTCAGGGACGAGGTAATTATAAAAAGGTATTAAAATTGCAAGTTGGGATTTTACGGAGGCCCTTGATTAAAAACCGTCACTTATAGGTCTAAAAACGGTCAATTTCATATAAAATAGTTATAGTACAGGAGGGGTTTGATATGGGGAATATCAAAGGATGATATCAATATTTCCCGAGGGAGCGCAGTGACGGAGGCAAATATCGATATCATCCGAGGGATAACCAGTCAAATTGACCGACAGGTGAAAAACGACCTGTTACCATGGTCAAGAGCAATATCTACCCCAAATCTTCTGTTGAATGAGAGAAAAAAGGATTGAATCTTGGAAATATTTACGTTACACATAATTGCACTCCAAAGCACATTGCGAATTTAAGGGCAAGAAAAACTAATACTTTAAAAAAAATTAAAAGATGAAGATAATTTCAATCAAAAAATAAAATATGGAAAAAATGAAAATTTTTGAAAAATGACATTTTGAAAAAAAAGAAAATTATTTACTGTCATCCCTGCTCTTATCCTGATATCATCCGTGTCCCAAATATGTGATTTATCACTTATTATGTACCTGATATTGCTATGACCATGGTATAAGTTCAGATACCTGTATGAACTTTTTTATCTAGAAGAAGAATAAAAAAAATATGAATTATTGAATTTGAAGGTAAATTAGTCGAAATGGTATTTTGAAATTAGCTCAGTAAGTTGATCTAATATTTTGACCTTAAACGATATCCATCCGAATTATACATGAGGAAACATGAAATAACTTTAATTTGAGTTTGAATCTTCTCCACATTACCCAAGAAAACAGATTACATTTTTAAGTCGTGTGATTTTAAACGTTTTTAAAAATAAAGAAATGTTCTTTGTTAAATCTACATTTTGGCCAAGGAAGGTCAAGAGCGACTCCTGACATTGCGTCATATTTTGAAAAAAAATTGGACAAAATTTTACTCAAGAATGATAACGAGATCAAAATAATTCACCCTTTCTTTTTAAAGGATTTTGAAATATGAACGTGCCAAAACTAGATCAAACTATAACTTTATCCATCCATTTGATGGTCAGTAGGTAAAACAAAATGAATACGTACTGGGGCAATATGTATAAGATATTTTGGTGATGAGGTCAAAAGGGTTTGAAGCAAGACTTCATTTTATCGAAAAGAAATGTCATAGTCCCACAAAAAGAAAAAAGGTAAGACTCAAACAAGATGTTAACCTTTGATCGAGATAAAAAACTGATCATGCCAGGGTAAAAATTCATTATCTGATCAATCTTGAAGTCAAATGAATGAAGGAATAAATGAAAGACTCTTGCAGGGTCTCCTTATAATAACAGCATTTAATTTAATTGTAAATGTTCCATTGTTTAGTCAATAAAATATATTGATAACGATTGTACTGGGATGTTGACATTTTTATATACACGTAGCTCTACTCCAGGTATGATTTGTTGTTTCTACTACTGTATCGAAGCGTGTACACCAGAGCCCACAGTATGACAACATGAATGTTTGATTTGTGTAGTGAGACTCATGAATTCATTTTGCAATACCTGCAATCTACCTCTTGTTTTGAACAGATTGGATGGTCCCAACTTTGACATTGCGTTTTCTTTGATTTCTTTGGTTAAGAGCTAGCAGGGAATACCCAAGAATTCAGAGATAAACCTCTCCATGTAGAGACAGAGACGATCCACTAGAAGGGTCCATCTTTATACAACGATAGGTGCATCTAGGAATTCTTGGGTACGGGTATCCCCTCTTGTCAGCCTCAGAATCAAGTCATGCCAGCTCTTGTAGCAATATAACCGCAATATCGATTCGCTAAAAATACATTTGGTACGTGATGTCCACATGCAATGGTGAAATTGAAAGGGTATTATGGGGCGAATGTTAGACTTATCATTTTCTCATTTAGGACAAAAATCTATTTGCAACTTTATCTCTTTACAAATAAACATAATCCTTGACGTTCACTTCATTTCACTACTTATTGAAGATGATCAATCATATAGGATGGAAATGGGAAAGAGTTTTTGGAAAACATACATCTATTTTTGTGTGATTTTGCATTTAGTTTACCGAATTATTTGTTTAGAAATGGAGGAAGATCTTTATACATCTGTTGCCAAAATGACCTATTTTGTTCACCTAGAAAAGAACTTATTTGAGAGGGTGTAAGTATGATTTTACATTCACACGATATAGTACTAGCCACAACAGCCCTTGTGACCCCCACTACTCATTCCAACAACTGTGTGAGAAGGAGTGTCGTCAAGTAGATGGGGGTGGGTGTTCACAGGGGCTTGTAGCTATAATTTTTGTTCTCATCATCACGTTTTGATAAAAGTCTAACAGTTGGGACTTTATTTCAGAAACAATCCTTCGATTGTGATTTTTGTCCTTCGATTCCCTATCACAGAAGTTTTTTTTAGATAGCCATTGATTAGCAAGATTTCATTTTGAAGATCACACGTTACAAACTTAACATTCTTAGATCGAGCCAACAGGATGGAATGTCTTTAGCAGATGATATGAGAGCAATGATTGAAAGTGCTGGGCCAGTTGTTGAGGCAGTGCATCCTGAAGTATACATCAGTAATCCTTTAATGGCATACCGACTTCTAGGAAGACTCTGCAACCAATGGAATGCTAGTCTTCGCCATTACCAGGGTATATTGACTTTGACAGGCTATGTTTTGAAGCTTTTTATCATATTAATAGTTAATATTTAGATACCTGTGCTCGTCGCCATTTTCTCCTTCGAGAAAGGGTCGAAGAGATACATATATATTGACTTCAATGTAGATCTGCATAATGCGTATTTTCATTTGGTTTTCATGATGATTACAATTACGAATATTCAATAAAAGGAACATATTTCTAAAAAAAATTAGATGAATGCTTACATGTCATATATAGAATCCATAGTTCAAAATCAAAATGTTTCATAGTCTAGTGAATTAATATTCATGTACTTTTCTTTTTACTAAATTTGCCAGTGGAACTAACTCCTTTTAAAGGTCGGGTGAAGACGGAATAAAAGGAATTCCAAACCTTTGCACAGACATTCTGATATACACATCGCATCTAAAACCTGTCTGTGTTTAGTTGATGTAAGGAGAGAGGGCCATGGTATTCCATGATGTTGCAGAGATGGCTTAGAAAGTCATTCTTATAGTTTTGAAGAAGTTTTATAAGTCATATGTGAACGTGTTCAGTCATTTTATGATCTATGCATTTCAGAAGACGAACTTCGGATGTCTTGCTCTGTATTTCGTGAAGTTAAATACTCAATTCACGCGCTGTTACAGTTCTACGATCTACACAAATGTGATTTATTAAATGGAAATGTATTCGGGTTACCACTTTTAGAAAATGAATATGATGAAGTCGTACATATTGGTCAAATATTGAAGAAGCAAAAAGAAGAGGATGAGTCAGGCGATGAGTCAGCGAATTTTAGTAGAGCTGGGGATTTTAAATATATATGCAGAGAATCTCTCAACAGTCATGTAAGGTTTCGTGTTTCAAGTTTGCAAATAATGTCTTCTTCTCACTGCAAAAATCATATAGCATAATCCAGTGTACAATTCTATAAATCTACGATGTCATCGATGTTACAATTAAATGGTGGAGCTGCCAGTCTTACAGATTATTTTAATTGTTATATTGCAAATAGACGTTTTCCATATAGGTTTCGTCAAAAAGTTCTAAACTAGGACTGACATGCTACATGGAGTTCAATATAAATCTTGGTTGGTACGTAAAGATGGAAGACGTTCTCCTTGAACCACGCATTGTGTTGTATCACAACATAATCTCAGAAGCTGAGACAGAGGATTTGAAGACAAGATCTGTTCCTTGGGTAAGATATTTATCTCTGCATTTTACTTTCATTGCCTACATAATGAAAGAGTGCTACGGTACGTCCACTTTTCGGAGAGAAAGGGTCCAGCACTATTATTTGCATTCATTCAGGTTCTACTATTCCATATATATATATTGACTTGCGTTCTCATGTCGTGTGCCAACAGGCCATTGTTGTTGCTTCTCCCACCTTTTCATGAGGATATTTTCCAGCTACGCCGATCGCTCGTGCAATCATTGGGTGATGATGGCCGTCGAGGATACAGGACCAGTCAAAGCGCCTGGATGTCTCATCTTAAACACCCCGTTGTCGCTAAACTTGACAAGCGGGTTGAAGCACTGACTAGGCTCTCTGCCAAGAAACCTGGGTCTAACTTCTTCAACGAACCTTTCCAGGTTCTTAACTATGGGATAGGGGGACAGTACAAACCACACTTGGATAGCTTTGTATGTCATTCCTATATAACATTGTCATTAGTTGTCATTCCCAAATCAAATCAGACTTATTAAAATATTAAAACGATGGACTGCAATTTTGGTCACTCCGTTTTAGGAGGACCAATAGATACAATGGAGCGCACATTTTCACAAACATAGCTCAAACATTAATCATTCGAGATCGCCTCAAATCGGAACATTTCCTAAGACTAAAAAATAATATCCAATTTACAAGAAGTTGTATTCACCGACCATGGTACTGCTGTAAAAGATGTCCTTGTTCTTGCAGAGGCAGGGTGACCATTTAAACAACAACGATATGTTTCCACATGACAGGATTGCAACACTCATGTTCTATGTAGGTATCTCATCTCGCCTATTTTAATTGTTGCATTTTAATATCCGTATATGACGTATCGTGGCTCCAAGTGGCTAATTTCTGCTCTGATATTTTTGTTGTTTTATTTTCCATCGTTCCAAAGTTGGCGGATGTTCCAAAAGGTGGCGCGACAGTATTTACAAAATTGGGTGTTTTCGTTAACCCAATAAAGGTAGGTCTACATGCATTAATTTTCTCTTACACCAAACTGTACTTTACAAAACCAATTAACCTGTTAGTTAGAATATATATTTTTTATTTATTTTGAATATATAGGGTGTCCCAAAAATGAGACAGTTTTTGACAAGATTTTTCTCGGTAACTGATAAACCAAATTCACAGAAAATTCGTACATAGTAGCCCAAGAGTAATTAGGAAGGTACAAAAATATGAAAATATGTTATGTGAGCACTAAGAAATTCATGATAGCATGTCAATTAATCCGATACGGAAAAACGCAATGAGAAGTTCATAGCGTTTGTACCAAAGCATGGGAAGAAATTTGAAAATTTCTCAGTAATAGATGAGCCAAAATCCTTAAAAATTACATTAGGCACTTAGGTATCTTCTGCTAATGCTATGAATATGTAAAAGATTGGCCATGCATTATGTGTGTATTTTTGAATTAAAGACAGTATGTCAAAATAACCTATGTTACTTATTAATCCATTTCGAAGCAAAAATACTTTTCCGTATTATTCTAACAATATCACCCCAAATGGATTTTGAGAATGGATGATTTTGGATATTTGGGAAGAATGAAACGAATAAGACATGACACAAAGACAAGCTAATTTCAGTGACTGATTGACACATGTCATCACCTGATACAAACACTGTGGAGGTGTCATCGATGAGCTCTCACGGAATATTTACTTGATCTTTTTTATATATTTTAGAACTTGCTATAATGATACTCTTAGGTTACTTTGTACACATTTTCAGTAAATTGATTCATCAGTTGCCGAGAAAATACTTGTCAAATAGGGTCTCATTTTTGGGATACCCGATACATAATATATATAAATGGTTGGCTTGTAGATTCCCTCAGTAAAACATGTAAAAGACGTACTAGTATTGGACACAAAAGATTGGTATCGATATGGCGAACTAAATTCAACAATGTTTTTCTCTCAAACCAATTATCGAAAACATTCTTTTAAAAACACTGTGCTTTATGTTATGGTCACTGACAATTTAATTCGAAACTTATTTATATGTATTTTATATTATTGTTGTGAACAATTTTTGTTTTTTTGTACAATTGTTTTTGTTTGTTTGTTCCTTGATTTCTGAGAATGAAATAAAAGATCTTTCCGAACCGTGTTGGAATAAAATGGCATATACAACATTTTCTTAGACATCTCACTATTATAGTTATACAAAGGAAAGTTTGGTTCATTTTAAACTGCTAAGAATCTTTTGAGGTCAACAGATACATTTATTTTGACATTGTAGGGGTCTGCAGTCCTATGGTATAATTCCTACAAAAATGGAGATGTAGATGATCGACTTGAGCATGGTTCTTGTCCCATTATTATTGGATCAAAATGGGGTATGCGAATTTATAATCTGCACTATATTAATCACAACGGATAGTTATGAAACATTCAACTAAGTTATTTAATATAAGGAGAGTAAATATTCAAGTACAATAGCCAAAGATGGTAAATCTAGTTTTGCATCAATTTTCTACCCTGTGTATGTCTTCCATTCCAGTGGCAACGAAATGGTTCAGACATGGTAGTCAGTTGTCATTCAACCATCATAAATGTGGTCACAGACCTGAAGAATGAATAAGGACTGTAATAATGATAAATCTACTTCTCTGAGAATTAAGATACTACCTTAGAAAAAAAAAATGACTGATGGCAAAATACTACCTGCTTTATAAATTGCACACTAACCAGATAACTAGTAATAAATAGTTTATTTGCTCAGCAATTATATTTCATCACAGTAAATTCTGTTACACAAACTTTTGTGGCTGATGAGTCTCACTGGCAAAAATTAGGGAGGATTTCACAATACTATTTGAAACAACCGATTCCATTGTCTATCTTTGGGGTGAATTCAGATGAAAAGTCAGGCTCATTGATGTAAAAAATGTTTTCAGTCCATTGTAAAGTTATTTTTTATAAAAAAGTGATAAAAAATTGGAAGACCTAGAAACTTCTAGGCTTTTTCTTCTTTCGATGCTTCATCAAAATTTTCAACCAGATCGGGGACTTCATCATCATCGTCATCTATTTCCTCAGTTGCTGGTTTCATGGCCTCAGCGCCACTTGCTCCTGCAGCAGCTGAAAATAGACACAATCATACAAATAAAGTCTGTATGCTCCAAAATCTTATGACAGTGGCATATCACACATGGAGGTAATAATGAAGGACCCACGGTCCTATGCTCACACAGTTTGGAACCTTCAGAGGAATTTATATCCTGACTTTCAAACAAAAATATTGATTTGGATTTGTAGTCTCGAACTTTGAGAAACTTAGATAGCATAGTTGTGTGACCTAGTTTGATGACCTTTGACCTTGAAAATTTTTCTTATTCAGAGCTCAGTAAGGACTTTTGTGATTAAGCTTACCAAAATTTACATCCATAAATCAATTTGAAAAATCAACTTTTTTGACCTTTCGAAGGTCACTGAAGGTCAAGTAAAGGTCAAATCCTAAAACTAATGTCAGATTTGAACTCCTGGTAACTTGTAGATGATTTTCAAAAAAAATTTGGTCAAATTGAAGCAAGTTGAAAAATAACTTATTTTTACTGTTTTTTGACGTCAAAAATCTCAAAAACGGAAAAAATTTGATGCTGACATATATTAAGCCATATTTAGGGAATGCTTAAATCTAGTAATGATGTAATTTATTGCAGGAAATGATCAAGTATAAGGCAAACTTTAAGAATCTTGTCAATCACAAAACATGCCATTGACTTTATACATGAGAAAGTTTCCTGAAAATAAGTCCTACTTTTTTTCAAATTTTATGGAGTAAACACCAAAAACCGTTATTCCAAGAGCTTTGAAATCTTCAGAGGACATAAGTTGCATATACACCAACTACTAAAAGGTATTTGAAAGTTCTACTTCAACAAAGTGTCTAGTATTTACAGAAAATTTGACTTTTTGACGTCAAAATCCGCAATTTCTCCGAAACCGGGCGAACTTGGGAAATGGCGATGATAGGTCAAATAGGCATTATGGATATGCATAAAATGAATGTGGATAGGACTCAATCCGAATAGCAGTTTTAATTTGTGCGGCCAATGTTGACGGACGGACCAACGGACGGACGGACGCCTGGTCAATCCCATAGGCTCACTGTGTGAGCCAAAAAGAACTCTTCTGTCAAAACTTCAGCAAATTATGTACAACAGAAAAACAGATTTTGTTGTTTAGTTTCAGGTGACTCCGAATAATAGTAACAGACAACCTCAGTGTCTGTGTGCAAGCAGAATTGGGGCAACATGTTTGGCAGAAATTGAACAAATAAATGAATGAGAGCAAATCAAAAATGTATTCGGTATCCTACCATATATGACAGTATAATGGTCTTCAACTGTAACAATGCTCTTCTTGAGCTAAGTAAGTAGATCATTGTGAAACAAAATCATCATTCAGAGAAAAGCTATCAAGAGAAATGTTAGTCCAGGAGGCAGAGAATCGAGAAGGAAACAAGATACTTTTCATCTTCATGTCTCATTATTAATTAACACCTACCAGATGATGTGACGCTTGTTGCTAATTTTTTAAGGTTTGCAAGACTCTCCGCTCCAAGTTGGTTGAGAATTCCTGGCAGCATTTCAGTCATTTCTGAAAATTCCAAGATATTCAATATTACTAAGAGATAACTGAAGATTTTAATTCTATGATTTGTTCAATATGGATGATGTTTCTGTGCCATTGTAGCACAGTTAATTCAAATCAGTGTATACAGGTTTCAACAATGCTCCATTTGAGCTCAGTAGACCATCGTGATACAAAATCATCATTTCTGAAGTGAACTTTGCTATTTTGTAGTGTCAGAATCAAATCTGACCATCGAAATTTTTTAATGGCATTAAGCACAAACATTCATGGACTATTGAGATATCATAACATTAGGTGTTGTACTTACGTTTGATTTCACCATGGCCTGTGATGGCAAATGTGTTGGCAGCCAAAGAAGCCTGGACCTTTGGGTTGGTAAAATGAATAACTTGGCCATCTTCCTTAATCATGTTCACCTACAAAATGAATACATGAAAGGAGTTCATGTTGTTTTCAAAATTTCAAATAACTTGACGATAAAACCTTCTTTATCCTGAATAACAAACTCTTCTTTTGGGAAATATGAAACTAAGAAATCTCAAAAAGTGAATTCAATATATTTGAAAGTGTGCTTCAATCAGTGTATACAGACTTCAACAATGCTAGGCAAAGCTCAGTAGACCATCGTGATACAAAATCATCATATGAAGCAACATCTCTTCATGAAAAACTATCTGAAAAAAACTATCAAAATACTGTATGAATGCTCACCTCTTCAATACCAGGAATACTGTTCACTGCCAGTTTTTTCAGAGAGGACTGTAGTTTCTTGTCATCAGTTGTGGCAGTTCTGTGAACCACCTTCTTCTTTCTCCTTTGTGTACCCTGAAACAAAACATAGAATTACAATATGGCCAATACGATAACTTTCAATAGATGTAATAATAAATTCATATTACAAAAAGGCATTACAATAACAAAATTCTCCCATATTGTAATCATATGGACAACCTATTGAGATGCTCCAGGACAATTGTTCTGGCAAGGGATATGATATAATAACACAGGCCCGTAGCCAGAGGGGGAGCTGGGGGAGCGGAAGCTCCCCCCCCCTGGCCAGAAATTCTTTCAAAATCATGCAGTTTTTCACCATTCTGAGAATTTTTCGCATGATTTTTAGCCAAAATTGTGAAAAAGCTCCCCCCCCTGGTAAAAGCTGGCTACGGGCAAGTAACATATATAGATATAAATGTGATCAGATCTGTAAAACGTCATTGGGTTCAAGAGTCCAAATTTGGATTCCCTGTCACAAACAAACATGAGAGAGGTACTAAAGTACCAAGTATCTAACAAGAAAACCTTGGAAGAATCCAGCACACATAGCAACTCCTACTCACACAAGTAGGTGACAAAACCTCGGAGAATGGATTTACTTTTACATCATTTCACATTCTCTGATACAATTAAAAATACAATTAAAAATGTTATGGAGTAAAAATAAGCTAATGAAAACAAGGTTTAGACATACCTTTCCTCCTATGCGGACTTGATCCTTCAACTTGTTTAGTTTTTCTGGATTCATCTCTGTAAATATTGAAACAATGGAACAATCATTGAACAAATCTTACCAAGACAACAATTTTTCTTATTCTAAAGTCACAAATCAAAATATCATGGCTCCCTATTTCAGAAAGCTTATCAATATCACGAAAATGATCATCATTCACGTTCATAAACCCACGCATAAACCTCCCAGGACGTAAGCTTAGGCCTTATCGCATCCTACGACCCCTTTAGATTGTGGTCGTAGGCCCGTTTCATTAGTAAGCCTGTCTTTCTACAATGTCTGAGAATGAACTATGCATTGCACACATAAATGACCTACCTCGATACATTCCTGAGTATTTTAGAATTCTTTTCATATAGTTGAATCGCAAATTGTATGGGTTTATCGGCAGAACGAAGATATTTTCGTTTTTGATAGCAATATTTGCGTGTAATATTTAACTTATTTCAACCGTCAAATTCCTCCATTCAGTTCCCGGCATGCACCAGTCATAAGGGAAATCCCTGGGGAATTCCCCTTCCGACATTTTGGAAATTGCTAAGATATTTCCGATGTAAAAACTAAAATCTCTTCATTCTGCCGATAAACCCATACAATTGGCGATCTAACAACATAAAAATAATTTTGAAATACTCTGGAATGTATCGAGGTAGGTCATTTAATAGTGCGATGCGTAGTTCATTCTCCGACATTGTAGAAAGACAGGCTTACCAATGAAACCGGCCTACGACCACAATCTAAAGGGGTCGTAGGATGCGATAAGCTTACAGTTGGGGACATAAATAAATGACAGGTGGATTTGCTGAAGTGAGGATTTCCCATGTTAAAAACAAGAGGCCATAAATCAGTGGATGAGATTATACAAAATGTAAAATATACAAATTTTAAGGGATATGTATCTAGACAATATTGGAAATTATGGGCTTTCAGACCACCATAATTAGGAAATGGTGATCGAAAATCGACCTGTCATTTATTTTTGTCCCCAACTGTAGGCCTAGGCCTACTTGAATTTGAAGTTGGGAAACTTTTAGAAAATTTATTCAAACTTAGTTTTAGCTAAGCAGTGTGTAGTCCTCACATCACAATCGACAAATATCATGAACTAAACTATTTAAAAAAAGAATAATTGTAATTAACTTACTCTTGGAGTGATATAACTGCCGTTATTACTTGATTATTTTGAGAAATTGCAACCCACGAGGACCACGGGAAAATGGCTGAATGAAAAGGCTGTCTAGTGACGTCACATAAATACAGTCTGGAAGGTAAAAGTGTATTTTTTCCATGATTCATTTCTTAAATGATGAAAACACATATAAGACAAATTTAACATCAAAATAATAATTTTAAAATGATGCGGAATCAAACAATATATGGTTCACGGTTTTTCTGAACTTTTCTTAATTGATGTTTCGAGACTAGATTCTGACGTCACCTCTCACTTTGAAGAAGAAAGGCGCGAAAGCAGGACATCGAAATCTCTCCGCATTTCATTCACTATTTCACACGCTCTTTACCATGTCTGAAGAAGTTGCTGCCACCTCCACAACCCAGGATAGGTAACACATTTGATTATATGAAATACGTTTGCATTTTAGGACTGAATGATGAAAACAAGGCTTCAAAAATGGACAAAGAAAAATTGCCGGGAAAAAATTGCCTTTTCTTTGTTTTGACAGTTCTTTGTTTCTTGTTGATAAGCATAGGTAGTTTAATTTCAACACAACGTCATTTATCTAAAATTGTTAGTCACTATTTCAGTATTACATAGTAACAACATTTTGTAATTCTTTGTCGCTGACAACACTGTTTTATTGCGTAAGTAAAACCTAAAAAATAGACGAATCAAAATATCATCTATGCAATAATTTAGGCCGCGTCTGGAGAGCCTTAAAATTTAAGGCTCTCTAGCCAAAATGCTAAAGAGCCTTAAAATTTAAGGCTCTTTAGCATTTTGATAGCCAATTCTGCTAGAGAGCCTTAAAGGAATTACAGGCTACAGAAATGACGAAATATTGCTTCTGGGACAAGATCAAATGACTTTGACATATTCTATACCCAACCTATTTTGTAATTTAACAATCAGCACAAATATACATACCATATTAGCAGATATCGGACAAATTCAAAAAGAAAATTTTTTTGATCGATAAAATCACTGATTATTAAACCGGAAGTGTCTTCTCTGAGGTCCGCGAAGATGAAAAAGATAACATAAACATATAAAGATTTCAGTCATTTCAACTAACTTTGCCGTCGATTTGATTTACATGGTTTTAAATGATCTTCTAATGCTATGACGCATCGCAAAAAGCTCGCGCACGCATTGTTACACATTTTGTGGCGTAATCCAGAGGATCCTCGCTTTTAACATGATAGAATGTGACGTTTTTGAGAAAAATGTACACACATGAAAATTCTTTCGTCCTCCACATTTACCTCTATACCTCAAAACATTTTAGACGAATAATTCTGATATCACATATATATAGTTAATGGGCTAGGAGCATCATAAAACACGAATCAATTGATATTTTAGGTGAAATAAATGTACGTGTTGCTGTGCTTGAAAATAGGCGAATGGCGTAAATTAGCCCTATTTTAATGAATTTTGAAAACCTTTCGTCCTCCACTTTTCCACATACAACAGAAAACACATACTTTTGTGAACAAAATCAACTATTTATTAATAAACTAGAGTTTAGGAGCAAAATAATCATGTATGATTTATTAAAAATTGATCTAGTATTTTTTGTTTAATGTACACCTGAAAAGTTGAAGGTACCAAAAAATGAGCAAAAAAGGTCGCTGTCAACAGATTCTATTTTTCAGACTCTATGACGTCACAATATGGGACGCTTACTAAAATTCATCCTTTGAAATAAAACTTCCATCTACCTTTATCGCGACGAAAAATAAGTATAATAGTCATATATTGTTTGAGTTATGAGCGTTTAAAGACGAAAAATAATTCAAAATGTAACGTGTCAACATGGGATATTTGCCAGATGTTTTGGTAAAAATCTCTTTTTTAAAAACGAACGCGCAAAAAATGTGAACGGGGTGTAGTTGATCTAAAATCTTCATCGAAACAGCTTTAAAATGATATATAACTTTAATTAGAATATTATCTTATAATCCGGGGAATCAAAGTTACATTCACGCGGTACCCTTAAAAAACAAATGCGCCACCTTTTTGCGACACGTCTATACTATTCTTCTATTAGTACTGTTTTGACATCCCCACTTCATAAAAAAACATTATCACTTTTTGCTCGACTCATAAATTTACCTCCGGTCTACCGAGAGAAATAAAAGAATGTTTTCAATCCTCAGTCTAAATTTGGCTTTTTAAAGGTTCAAACATCGATTTTGAAAAGTAAATGTTTGATTGTTTCATGTTCATGCATATATCGAAAATATAATGTCTCTGGTTCACCAGAGAAGGTGTAAGACAAGGCAATCACCTATAGCCAGAAAAATTTTATCCACTATAAATCGCAACGTCCGTTTAGTAAAGATTTTGATGTATAGACATTTATTGATGGATTGGAGGCTAGGATAAAAATGTTGTTGTTGTGTTGCATAAGCCGCTGTTTCCTCGACAGTTCACCTCTTGTACTGTAAATTTTCTTTGTGCTCTCTCATGTTCTTTTAAAAATTCTCACTTGTGAGGAAAATATTATGCAAAAATAGCAAAGCCAATTCAAGTGATTAATTTCATTAAACATTGACGATTGAGCGATGGAGCAAGCCCAAGAATTCTAGAAAAAAATGTGTACATAATTTCCGGGCCTCAGAGAACAAACTTCCGGCTTGTTATTCAAAATAAAAAGTGCTGCGTCAGGGAATCGAACCCACGCCGCAGAAGTGGAAAGCGAGCACCCTAACCACTATACCAGAGTGTTTTACCATGATATGCCAAATCTTTTTGCAACTCTATAGTGATATACATGTGTGAAATTTTTAAGTGGCATTCTGGGTTGAAAAACTTTCGAGAGTGTTGTTTTATTGTTTAGATGACGAAAACTTCAATAAAAAACAATATAAACACGGATTATAAACACAAAGGCTCTCTAGCCAAAACACTATGTTCACAGCTAAATAGCCTTAAATTTTAAGGCTCTTTAGCATTTTGGCTAAAGAGCCTTAAATTTTAAGGTACTCCAGACACTTCGAATAATTTAATATATGGGCCTATATATGGAAAAATAGATTCCTATTGTACATTAATGACATTTGTATATCTTGGTTTATACGAGTTACCTGAAGATTAGGAGTCTTACTTACCCTCAAGAGGTTAGAACACACATTTCAATGAAACCCGATCACCTTTGTTGCGTCTACCATAGAGCATTTAGCACAATATCCAAGAGGTAAAATATTATTCCGTGCCAGGACTATAGTCCTGCATCGAGCGCAATCATTTGCCTGTACGAGTTAAATATTACACGCAAATATTGCCATCAAAAACGAAAATTTCTTTGTTCTGCCGATAAACCCAGACAATTGTGGATTCAACTACATGAAAAGAATGCTAAAATACCAAGGAATCTATTGAAATAAATAGGTATCTCGAATGTAAGAAGCGTAGAAAATTCTCCCATGTTGTAATCATACAGGCAAAAGAAAAAGACTTTGGTCTAAATTATAAAGCATCACGAACAGGTCCTACTGTATGGATAGACTAATACAGCAGATGACCCATTCATACTGTCTGTGCAGCATTTCATTCAGACCAATAGTTCAACTGTAGATCATGCCGTTTCTTCCATCTCAGAGTCCATTTCACTGCTTCAGTTCGTCAGTAGAACGGCAAAAATAAGAAATTGGGAGACCATTGTGCAATAATATATGGAAAAGTATATTCATAATGTACATGAATGACATTTGTATATTTCAGATTTTTAAGTTTTTTGTGCAATAAGCCTGTGCCGTCTTGTAATTTGAAGAATTTCAGCCATGTTAATCTTATTGAAAATAGCATGGCAGAGAAACATCCAAATATAAGAGGCCACACACTTTATAAGCCAAACTAGAAGCAATCCAAGATATACAAATGTCATTCATGTACATTATGAATATACTTTTCCATATATTATTGCACAATGGTCTCCCAATTTCTTATTTTTGCCGTTCTACTGACGAACTGAAGCAGTGAAATGGACTCTAGAGCAGGCCATCCTCCTCTGCCCTGTCCTAAACTCGTCTGCAAACGACAGCCAAACATTCTTTCCTAATATTCTAATTTTACTTGAGTCTCTTTATAATCATTTTAAAAACACACCCAGGTAAAAACGTATACTTGAAACTTGTATGTCAGTCTAAGTATCAGTATATTGCAATAGGCCATCTATTTTGTGGCATTTAGACACAATGAACCATGTAACTTGCAAACCAAAGTGTTATTCTCCGCATCCTGTTAATGAAAATCTTTCACTGATTGAATACTATTAATTAATTTTCATCATATAACGTGGCTGATAATGCTTATGCCCAGCTACAAGCACATGTGCACTTGTTTAATGTATTCTTTGTATAAATATATAAATAAATAAATAAGTTTTTTTTCACTTTTCTACCTATTATTCAGTTTTCATTTCACATGTTTGTCTTTCTGTTTTGCAGTTCTCCCACTCCAGAGGTCGATGTTGTTGCAGATGCCCAGAATCAACTAGCTGCTGGAAAGCGTAATTTGGTTTGTGGCGACTTCCCAGCAGCTGTATCATGTCTTCAAGAAGCAGCCAAGTTGATGTAAGACTATTGAATTTTCCATGCTTGACTATATAAATATGTGATAGGTTTTGTAAAATTAGTTACATTACAAACATTCTGAATCAAGATTAAAGTATCTGTATCACATCAGGGATACTTCATACTGGGGCTAACCCCTCCTAAGTATCTCTTTCAGTAATTAAGTAGATAGGGTGAAAATTGACAAAGAGATTTAGTTATTCAAAGTACTTGTAGTCAATTTGATAACTGACAATCTGGATCAAATGTTAAGTCAATCTTGTCGAATGACAACTAAAACGTGCTGAATGGGATGTGCCTAAATAGCAATCATTCCAAATATGTATAGCAAGTAAATGAAACCTCTAAATGTTTAATTTTTCATTGGCGAGTGTGAAAAAACACAAGCCGATTGCCACTTGTCGAGTGACAGAAAATCCTTAGACTCACACTGTACTAAAGACCATAATACATGTTGGAGAATAGATTGGTAATAGCTCTAGTTCTCTAGAGAACACATTTTGTTGTTAATTGTATTGTCTGTAAGCAATTAGTTATTTCTTTATTATCAGTTGGTTGCTATTATATTCAATAGTGACAATGACAACTACATTGTAATATTGTATTATAAGTATGAGATTACTCTATGTAATATCTTGTGCCATTTGACACCAAAACAGAAACATAACTCAATACCAACATAACTCAAGTTCGGAGAGATATACTCAAGGGAACGCCTCTGCCCCTCTAACCGTATGTACGTACGCACATCCAGTTTGTCCATCTGGGCAATAACTCAAATACTGTTGGCCTGATTTTGTTCATATTTTGCACACATATATCCTATGTGGGTAGAAGTTCTGCTCAAAAGCAGATTTTCAAAATGGCCGATCATTTAAAAATTGCGGCCATTTTAGTGCCGATTTTACAGTAATTTAGGAACAAAATGTAAAACTGTAATATCAATATGTTTTAAATATAAAAAAATATTATAGGACATTAATAGAGCTAGAAATGTAGATTTCGAAGAAGCACATGGCAGCCATCTTGAAAAATGGCGGCCTTTACACACTATTTTACGATTTTTGCTGTAACTTGAAAAATAGTTTTGAAAAATGGCCACCATTGACATGTATGTGTGTGTGCTTTTGAAATATTACATACCGGTATACACTTTCTGATATAACATTATTCTTTCTGATGACAATTTGGCTTTAATGGTAGCCATTTTTTGTGTGTTATCTTATGATTTTTGCTATATATTTGATTTTTAAAAATGCCAGCCATGGATAGTTATGCCTTCATGTCAAATGTCTCTGATTCTCATCCAATAACTATGTCCAAACTAGATAAGTATTCACTGGTTAATGAAAACACCGAATGAAATCCTGTTCTTAGGGCTGATGTGAAAAAGTGAGCCATGTATCAAAATTATAGACAGTAATTCCAATACATCAAGACTTAACATAATTGCTATTTGTTATTGTTAATGCAGGAGTGAGAAGTATGGCGAGACGGCTGATGAATGTGGGGAGCCATACTTTTATTATGGAAAAGCTCTTCTTGAATTAGCCAGGATGGAGAATGGAGTACTCGGGAATGCTTTAGATGGAGGTAGGTAGTCATGTTTAGTCTAACAACTACAATTTACATTCCTCAAGCTTTTTGACTTGAAATTGATTACCAATATTTTTTTTCGATGTATTAACGCATTTACAATCATGATTCTAAAGGAATTTCACAGAAATGAAATATATGGAGAACTACTTTATTTTAGTCGAACCAGTTACTGCAAAAGAGGAGAAAGAGACTGAAGCTTCTACAAGCTCAGAAGACAAACAAGTAGAGAACCCCGATACATGTGTAGGTAGGTGGATCATATTTCTAATTTGCCGTATTATTAATATAAAAGGTGGTTGCATTTGTGGATTGTGGTTATTAACAATGAGTGAGAAAATGCAGGATTGAGGTATTGTATTTCTGCAAGGACTGTTTTTGTGGAATGACTTGATGAGGTTTGAAAGTGGTCATTTCGGGCAACTAGTACCTCTGAAATTGAAGCAAATGCAGTCCATGTTATGCTGTAATACCTCCTTACTTACCTAGCAGATTTGAGCAAAGCTATATGCTGTCTAATGAATTAATACTAATAAGTGTATTTGAGAGGAATTCAAATTAATATTGATAATAGCTTTAGCCTGAATTGATTCATTATATTCTCTAAGTTGTCATCCACAACCGTGCATGGTTGCATTTTTCTTAGAGGAAAACTGCATGTTGCGGTGGTGGTTAAGAAATATAAAAAATATATGAAATTAACTCTGCACCTTACCATATCAGTGATCTCCCCAGCATTGAAACAAGAGGGTGCTGCAAACACTTGAGATTTTTAATGTAGCTATCTACCCACTTGAGAACTCATGTGCACCCACTCTCTGCTAGTATACGAGAAAATAGACCAACTTTGGTGAGAATTATGAAATTGAGAATTTTGCATCCATTTTAGAAAAAATCCTGAGGAGAACATTGCATGAATTTCACTCTTTAAATCAGATTGAGTGTTTCATCTAGGGATAACCTCAATTTGACATCTGAGATATGATTGAACTTTGACCTTTGTCTTACCTATTAGGTGAGGAAAGAGAAAAGATTTCTGATGATGTAATCGATGCAATGACGGAAGAAAGGCAGACAGAGAAAAAATCAGGTGAGAATAAGGATGCTGAAGTAAAGCCAGCTGAAGAAAGCAAGGATGAAGAAATGAAAGATGAGAGTGCTGAAAAGAAAGAAGAAACTACTGAACAGAAAAAAGAAACTGTGGAAAAGAAAGAAGAAACTGAGGATAAGGAAAAAACAACAGAAAAGAAAGAAGAAACTACAGAAAAGAAAGAAGAAACTACAGAAAAGAAAGAAGAAACTGAGGAAAAGGAAAAAACAACAGAAAAGAAAGAAGAAACTACAGAAAAGAAAGAAGAAACTGTAGAAAAGAAGGAAGAAATTGTTGAAAAGAAGGAAGAAACTGTAGAAAAGAAGGAAGAAACTGTAGAAAAGAAAGAAGAAACTGTAGAAAAGAAGGAAGAAACATCTGTCGAAATGAAAGATGAGGAAAGTAAAGCTGAAGTTGATGACAAGACAGACGAAACAAAGGAAGGTGATGATGAAGAAAAGATGGAGACTGAGGGTGAAGGTAGATGATACATTATAGGCATGCTAATATACATTATTATAGGTGTGCTAATATTGCTAACACCCATGTGCTTCCAGCATGCTGTTACATTATCATTTAACCTAACATAAACTTAAGATTTTTGTAATGATATCCCAAGAAATTATCTGTCTGGTCACCTAAAGATTTAGATAGACCATCATTTTGTCTTGACAAGGCTTGCAATATGGCTTGCTGTAAAGCTTCCATGCTGTATTAGCTTCCAATATGGCTTGCTGTAAAGCTTCCAATATGGCTTGCTGTAAAGCTTGCAATATTGCTTGCTGTAAAGCTTCCATGCTGTATTAGCTTCCAATATGGCTTGCTATAAAGCTTGCAATATGGCTTGCTGTAAAGTCATGTGCCCACTATGCAGGGATGTCAGCCTAGATTTGTATTCTTGTGCTGACTGCTGTAAATCTGATATTAGATTGCATGTTGTGCTAATACAGTGTATATTTAAAAGCATGCTAATTGTCAGGCTCTAATATTGGAATGTGCTTGTGCGTATTATATAAAGTTTCATATTAGTGTTATATGTTCTTGTTACTTGTATCGTTATTAATGAGAAAATGGTATTCAGAAAAAAAATATTCGGGGTCTTGCCTTGGTCACTACATTAGCTAGATTGCCTTACAGAATTTAAAAATTGTACATTGTGGGACCCGTACTAATGTATGTATTTTTTTGTATTTATACTGTATAAACCCTTATATATATTATCCCATCGAACAGAGTTTGTAGGGATATAGAGAAGTCACTCATCCATCCGTAATGTTTCCGAGCGATAACTCAAGTATCGGTTGACAGATAAGTTCATATTTTAAACCTTATGACTTATGGTTGTAGGGCCTTCTTGGGAAGGAATTTTCAATATGGCTGCTCAATTCAAAATGGCCACTATTTTTGGTAAAAAATGTCATCTTTGTAAACTCAAATACTAGTTATTAACGGATTTGGTTCGAATGTTATATACTGATGCCTAGAGTTAAAGGAGCTTCGGAGGAGATTTTCAAGATAGCCACTGAAATTCAAAATGGCCACCATTTTTTGAATACCAGTGGACGGATCTGGTTCAAATTTTATATACTGATGCCTGGGGACAAAGGACCTCTGCTCAAGAAGAAATTTTAAAGAATATTGCGGAGTTTTAAAATGGCCCTCATTTTTCGTAAAAAATATAATTTTAGATAACTCAAATACCAGTGGATGGATTTGTTTCAAAAATTATCTACTGATACCCAGTAAGAAGAAATTTATATCAAAGTGTGTTTTGTTAGGTGGGATTTTCTACTATTTGTGGAGTTGCTGTTTTCTAGTTTACATATTGCATGTGTTTAAACTGATTTTGTTAATAATATAAGGGGAGGACAACCCCTTATGTTAATATTTAAATACCATTCAGGGTTCTCACTAGGTTTTTTAGACTCCGGAGTCTTGTCTTTAGACCCTCTTGCTCCAGAGTCTAATAGCCTTTCCGGAGTCTAAAGTGTTTTTTCCAGAGTCTAATTTTACATTTCTGTCACATTATTTGTGGCAAAACTCTTGAGAAAATACATAAAACTGGATAAAAAGAAGGAATAGGAAGTCAGAAACCTTTTAGAAATGTATATTGTGATTAAAATAGGAAAATAATCTTTTAAGTAGTATTTTGAAAAGTAAACTAATAAGATATCTCTGATCACACATGGGGGAGGATTTAGTCACAATACCGCGAAACATCCGGTGTTTAAAAATTTCCTGGTGAGAACCCTGCATATGTAACAAAATGCTCATGTATACGCATGTATGTTATTTACATACTATATATTTTTTTTTAATATAATGCAAAAATAAGTTGACAGTGTAGCATTCAGTAGAGGATACATTTTCTGGAATATCACAAACATGTAGTTTATGTCATATGAGACAGAAGTCTTGCTAGTTCTTTCAGTAAAGTATATGAACTCTATCTCCATTAAAATGTCTGGGCCAAAAAGTGGGCCAAAAAACATCCATATTTTTGGGAGATACAATTTTTTTATTTTAATATTTTTGCTGGAAATACATGGATCACAATTGCAATTGTTTCTGAAATGTGAAAATGAACCTTAAGCAGTTTCCGAAGAAGACTAATGGACACTAGGGGTCTACTCCAAAATTTACAACTGTAAGGATAATATATACAACAACTTCATACAGATATTGGTCATGCCTCAAATGATTGTACCAGATTGACATCTTATACAGTCACTATAATTTGTGTCATGACTAATATCTGTGTAAAATTGTTGCTTCGTATATCATCATCCTGAAGTCTGTATATTTTCAAATAGATCCCTAGTGTCGTTTACCTTATTATTGAGAAACCACTGAAGATTTATTTATCCCATTTCAGGAACAATTGCAATGTGATTCCTGCATGCCCTTCAAAATACATATATTTTCAAATAATATGGCATTTTGGACCATCCGTAGATATATTGTTAACATAAGGCACCAGTGCATTTTTGCTGTAAGGGGCATATTCTTGATGTCTGTACAATAAAAAATAGGAGTGAAATCAATGGATATTTATTGAAAGGGTGTACATGTATTAATTTATTAGTAATGCTCTTCTGCTAAAGATATGACGTATGATAAGTTGTTATTGTGTTAAATAACATCCTTTAGCCTAGAATAAGGACTTAATTTTGCTATTTCTATATGCTCTATCTTAATATTAATTTCACTGTATTCGGAATATAATAAGAATATTGTATTACAAGATAGAATAAAGCAAATTATCAACCTTAGAATACCATATCACACCAAGAGACAGAGTTCTACATTCTCAAGGGTTGATATATATAATATTCCACAACAAAATAATGATTGGTTGATTACACATATATAGTTATGCATGGTATTCTGCAATCATAATTAATCACATCTAATGAGCATTCTATGAGAACTCTACCATTTATCTGCCCTATGTTACAGGTGAGACTGAAGAGAAAGATGATGCTGAGGAAGATGAAGATGCAGGTGATGCAGAAGAAGATGAGGCCGAGGAGAAGAAGGAAGATGAAGAAGACGTTACTAACCTACAGCTAGCTTGGGAAATGTTGGAACTCGCCAAAGTCATATTTAAAAAGTAGGAACTGAGCTTTGTCAGATATTATTACTAATTATAACTTCTGCAACCCTTTTCATTAATTCTATACATGCTGTTACTTCTCATAGCCTTATTAGACTACATGTATTGTCTCAGGAGGTGTTCGAAGTGCCCTTCCTTGTGTTTAGTGAAGTCACTGGCATTCAACTCATTGATTATATTGTGTTCTGAAGCCTTCAGGGGAACTTGTTCGAAGGGCCATTTGGACTGCCGTTGAGGTTCTTGCATTGTTTCATACTGTACATGTTTTAACCCATCCTTCATCCTGTTGAAAACAGCAAAATCAATAATGGTAAATTGTGTGACGTAAAGTGCCCCGCCTACCTAAAAGTCTAGTCACCATAGTAACCGTCATTTCTGACAAATCAAACTAGAGATGCTGATATTTTGAAAATCGATAAATATACATTTCTAGATGTTATGTGAAAATTTCACGAAAAAATATAAAAAACCTTTGAAATGACAGCATTTTTCCGCGAACTTATTGAACAACCTAATGGCATAATTACATATTATCCATAGATGTTTGAACTGTCCAGATTAATTTTTTCCAAGGAGGTCACTATTGAACATGCTTCTTTCCTGCACATTTCCAGACAGGCCACCAAGGACATGCAACTAAAGGCTGCCCAGGCTCATCTAAAGCTAGGAGAGGTTGGACTGGAAACAGGTAAACAATACAGCATTTAATCCTGAGATACTCTCAAGACTCTCGAGTCAAAAATTCTCAAAAGTTCATAAAATAAATTAGGTAAGATTTAACCCATCAATGAGAAAGCATGGCCTTCGTATTTCTCGTTGAAGGCAGAATGTGATGAGTATCAGAATGGATTTAACCAATCACTGTGCTCATGTGGGGCTATGTAGCATATTAGTCCCGTTTGAAACTTTAACAAGGACGGGATGTCTAGTAGGAGCAAAATCATTTCGACTTCAGTTATTGCAAACAATTTAGGTGGTTATATCTTGGATTATAAGGCTATTCTGACCGCGAAGATAGGCATATCTTTAAGATCCATTCATTATCTTAAGGAAATATATATACAATGATAATAAAGTCAATTACTGATTATTGCGCGAGGTGCAAATCTGCATGTAAATTTAACAAAAAGAGAACCAGACTTGAGAAATCCTGGCTACAGGCCTGCAGACAAGTGGTTGATTATAATACCTCATACCAAGAGAGCTAAGCCCATCTGAAAAATTACAGGCCCCTCCTGATAAAACCTTTCTATGAGTCTGATCTGTCCAATCCCTAGTCAGGTAGAAACATTCTAGTTACTGAGAAATTGCCAACACAATCTATTCACCGGCGCATCTGAGGGGGGGGGGGTTCTGACCTGCAATTTGGGCCCCCCTTTGTTGGTTCCCAGATCCGCCCCTGCTATTGATTGTATTGGATCATTCCTACAAACTGTACTTTGGGGCCTAGCCATCTCATGGTATGTTATTTATTATGATACTTTTTCAGAACAATATGAACAAAGTATTGGAGATTTTGAAGAATGCTTAACAATCCAGAAGGTGCACTTAGAGCCCTGTGACAGACTCCTAGCTGAGACCCACTACCAACTAGGCCTAGCCTACTCCTTTAACAAACAATATGAACAGTCCCTACAGTCATACAAGAACGCCTCCTCAGTCATACAAGATAAAGTCACTCAACTCAACAAAATAATAGCAGATACAGAAAATAAAGAAGGTATGGTTGTGGGTGATATTTAAATAAATGTTCATACTTAAATATATGCAACTGGAGTTTATGCATGTTAGTTTAATTTTTGTAAATATTGTGATCATGAATATGAAATCCTACATAATAATCACCTAATAGTTTTCTTATTTCTTAACAAGGTGCACAATCCTAATTAAACCTATTTTGATCAAAGTGTGTCGATGATCATCTTGGACTGTCTGAGGTACTTATATTTTTCTTTTAAAATAAATTATGTTTTTACAGATGAGGTGGTTAAAAATGCCAAACAAGAAGTTGAAGATCTGAGTGAGTTGATCCCTGAGATGCAGGCTAAGATTGAAGACACTGAGGAAGAACTGAAGAATCAGGAGAAGCTCAAAGAGATGGTGAAGGCTGGAGCTGACTCTGCTTCTTCCAGTGGATTCTCAGAGTCCAAGACAGCTGAACCTGCAGTCACTATTGGCATCAGGAAGAAGGTGGGTTGACATTCTGAAATGAAAAAAACATCTTTTTTCTAGCAACACAAAATGCTCTGATTTCATTGCGACCATTTCCTTAATGTATCATCTTATTAGAGAAGTTACAATGTCCTTACTGTCATCATGATGGCATTTTTCCAGTTACCTCACATAGTTGTCATCCTATTTTATGGTCACTATTTATGTATTTGATTGCATGTTAAAACAACTAAGCTAAGGTAAATCAGCTTGATGAGAATTTTTATGGAATTATCATGATTATAATTCTGAAATTGATTATGATATAATGAAATAAGTATTTTTGTGATCAAAAGTACCTGTTAAGCCCTGTCTTGATAGGATTATTAGGTCGGACTTCACAGGACTTTTGCCAGTCTTAATCGGTCTTTTTAAAAAATCTGATGGAATCCTGTTGAGTCTGGTGAAGTCCAATGGAGACCGTTACAAAAAGACCGCCAGTCATATATTGGAATGAGCAGTTTCATTCTTTAATCGGTCTTCATCGGTCTTTTTTTTGTTAAAATCTGATTACGTGATACTTCCATGGTAACTGAGGCCTTCATACACGGTTAGAGGGGACTTTGGTCATCGCCGGTCTCTAGACTGCTAGAAGACTTATAAAGTCTGTTGAAAAGTCTGTGTCAGTGTAAACGGGGCTTCGTGGTTGATTGGATATTTGAAATGACATTTCCTCAATTTCAAAATCAAAATTCAGGAAAACTGCTTATCTGTTCAACTTGAAAATTTTAGAATCAAGAACAGACTAATGCCAAGGTCTTATGATTAGGTTTTGGGCATGCTTAGGAAATTTATTCCAGAAGTTGTGTCCTCTATCGACTGATAATGTGGACTCCATGGGCAACTTATTTGTGCATTAGATTATTAGAAGCTCAACCTACATGACCTATGACTACATTTTGAATTATTTGATAAAAAATGTGATATTTATTACTGTGTGTCTCGTTTATTTTTATTAAGTTCTTTAGTTGTGTAATAGGATGACAAGTCTAATCTGAGAAAAAATGTATTTACATTGCAATGATTTGATTCAACAGAGGAAACCTGAGGAAGAGGCTGAGCCTGAAGCTAAAAAGGCCAAGTCTGATGATGAATCTAAGATTGACTCTACTAATGGAGATCATCCTATGGAAGATGCCAATGGTGATACCAATGGTGATGCTAATGGTGATACTAATGGAAAAGCCAATGGTGATGCTAATGGAAAAGCCAATGGTGATGCTAATGGAAAAACCAATGGAACTCCAAATGAAAGTGGCGATGCTCAGGTAACTTGTACACAACATATTATAACGGCTGGTATATCGATGCCCTATCATAGAGGCCTAAAAAGTTTATTTTGCAACAACACAACACAACAGCAACACAAGAATAATATTGACAAAAACAAGAAAAAATTACATGAACTACAGTTTATTTTGTGTGGCCATAGGCACAATAAGAATGAATGCCTTAAATATTTAGTCCACTCTACTTCTATGTAAATGTTTTTAAAATGTTCTATTGACATTGATATCAGATGCCTAATAATAATAATGATTTAAGTCACAGATGCTTCATAGCTGAACCCCCTCTTGTCATAAGGCAGTATCAGTTTTTATGTCACCACCTGTCCTTATGTCACCACCACAAATTATGATATATTGTTATAGTCTTTAACTTTTTTGTGGTCAGTGTTTGGCGACTGGCATTCAGCCTCTGTCACAAATGACAGGTGGTGATATTTTGCATGTTAATGCGTTGTTTAGTTATAGAAATGTTCTGATCATCATATTATTATATGTGTACATCATTTCAGATCAAAGTGAAGACTGTTGAGGATGTTTTGAAGGCCAAAGAGGCTGCAGATGCTTCTACAGCATAATGGATAACAATGGTAACTGTTTAGTGAATAGTGAAAAGTGGACGATACAGTGAATGTGTGTGTGCGGCATAGTGTCAGAACAATTTGACATCAGGGAGAACACTATGGCGTAATACTGTGACTGTGGTGTAACTTAGTTGACTATGGAGTTCTACAGTGTAAATAGGATAGCTTTGGGCCCAACTGGAGTTTACGCAATCTCATTAGAACTCCAGCAAAATTGGAATAGAAGACCAACATTGTGATTTATGTATTTTCTTAAAGTACCGTAGGATATATTTGGATGAAAGACATCATGTAGTAGCTTTCCTAAGATGAGAAATGCCAAACAAAATTGTGACATATTTGATTATGAACACTCAAATGCGATTGCTCCATGTGTATTTTTATAGCTAAAATGGACGTGTGTCCAACAGATTGTGGGACCACTTGTATTGAGCTATCTGAAAGCTATTGGAAGATATTTATTTAGTCATGATCGATCTAGCTTGTCTGATAAAGGCACTTAAGAAAGTTTTAAGATATTTTTAAGTGTCCCTGTACAGTACTTAGTATTAACAATTAGACAATTCTATACAAACTTACTTTTTGATGAAACTACATAAAAGCTGTTGGTTTAAGTTATTAAATATATAGAATACAGGTATATCATATACATTCCTGAATAATTTAAGATGTTGCTGATTGTTGCTATGGATTATGTGATGTAATACTACATGCTGAAAGTTCAAGTGTGAATTGTGGATGGAATGTGGAGATTTCTGTTGTATTGCCAAAAAAAATCTGTTCAGTAATTGATTTGTGCATAATTTAATCTGAAGTTTATCTGTTGTAAATTGATTGTTGTTACATCATGTTAAAAATCACCCTTCAAATTATGTAAACAATATTGCCAATATTTTGAACATGCCAATCCTTATATTTCAGAAGAATAATTTGTAGTTAATATTGAGGTTAAAATTATTTTACAATAAACCTACATTTATATTTATGAACAATACACTGTTTGATGTTTCATAAACTTATTGGATGAGATTGAGTTAATTTAAATGCAACAATTCAATCTGTCTTGCAAAGATATTTTTTAATGATCCCACTCCCCTAATATGTTCATTGTTCACCAATCAATTTAAGTTAACTTAATTTAATATTACAAACAAGAGTCCAGCTTATGCCTCGGTCACATTTGCTCCGATTTATCGGCTGGCGCCCGGCTGATTGAGTATTTTGTTCAAAAATGAATGCAATTCTGAACAAAATACTCAATCGGCAGGCGCCAGCAGATGAATCCGAGCAAATGTGACCCAGGCATTACTGGCCTAAATTCATTCAGCTTGAACAATCCATGACACATAGCAAGGTGTATACAGTGTACACAATACATTGATGGTACCTTGATGAATTAATATGGAATATTGTTCAATGTATTCATGGGATCTATTTCATGATTTTTTGATTTTACGATCGATAAAAGAATCACATTTTAGGAAGACATCTAAGTACTAATACATTCTTTGTTTGCCCTATTTATAGTACCAAATTACTTGCATGTACCCAACATGGTTTCTCAATAATCTCGTACACTTTAAGTGTATCAACTAGAAAAACAGTGACTCCAAGGAGTTGCAAAGTCCAATGAACAAACGATATTTTATCAAATCAATTATGCATTTGAACATTTTTTGCCATAAATTTTGAATTCAGCAGCAATCTTTCTTCTCGGGTAAAGTCCTTTGTTCCTAGGGCACCAGCATACAAAATTTGTCAACCATTATGTGAGGTAACAGATTACATTTTCATGAATTAAGGCAGACATTTTGAATAAAGCAGCCATCTTGAGCAAAAACCAAATATGTCAACTGGTATATGAGTTATCACATATTACTTTTTTATGAGAAAACCGTACAGCCATCTTCAAAATTTCTTCAACAGAGTCCCATTTCCTGGGGCCATCAGCATATGCTATTTGAACCAAATCTGTTGACTGGTATTTGAGCTATCAAAGATTACATTTCTTAATTTTAAATACGATGGCCATCTTAAAATCCATTTTTGTCCCTACAGTCTTCTGGGGCATCGGCTTACAAAATTTGAACCAAATCCGTTGACTTGTATTTGAGTTATCAAATATTACATTTTTTTGGAAAATTGGTGGCCATTTTGAATTTAGCAGTCATATTGAAAATTCCTTTTCAAGCAGAAGTACTATTCCCATAAGGCTTTTCTTTTTGGTGGGATAAACACAACAAGACCTTTGATATGACAACTGAATTTTTATTTCTGACCAGCCAATATACATAACTTTTCCCATTTTTCTGAGTGATCTTTTGATGTCTTGGAAAAATTGCTTTTAGCGATTTGAAGTGGAAAATCTTTTCCACAAAGAAAGACACGATTTACCAATGACTCAATTTTAAAATCTGCCATTATAGTTTTAGCTGAAATGTCCTTCGTCTCATATTTTCCACATTTAGTAATAAACGTTGCCATTGCAAAGCCAGTCATAAAGGCATCGAAGCCAGCACGATGCCCACCATTTTGTCCCCTGGTTAAATGTGAAGTGGCACTGGTAATGACGGTGCCAGTACTGTTTCTATCTGGGGCATCGTCAACACTTTTTGTCTCTGAAGAATGAATTTTGACACCTGATTCAGCAGGGGTACCAATTACAGCCGAAGCTAAACCATTAGTTGTCATATCAAGTTCCTTATTAAGCACATTGGTTTCAGGTCTACTCATTGATGATTCTTCATTTTCTATGTCCTCAGTCTCAGTATTATTAGACTGTTTCCTTTTTCTTTTCCTACGGTTTTTCTTTTTCTCTGCTTTCTTGTCTAGGACTGAATTTTCATGATCGAGAATATCATCCAAATTGTGGGATTTTGGGCATGTGCTACCTAGACTGCACCAGCCAAAGTTCTGAAAGGATAAATGACAATTTTGATGTATAACCTACTCAACTTTGATGATGACCCCAAAATAAACACTTTTTGGGCAATACCCCATGAATACTATTTTCACCAAATTTTCAAAATGTATGAAAAAACTAAACAACTTATTATGCATGTAGTTGGTTTTGACACATTCCAAGCTAAGAAATTGGATACATTTCCACAGGCACTGGGTCGAACAATCTAGGAAAAAAATTATTTTATCACCATTATACATGGACTATTTTTTGTTATTGATTTAAGTATTTCAATACCTTATTTGACATTGCATTAAAACTTACTGCATAGTTTTCACAGACTTGCATAGCATCAATAGAAGCTTGCACCTCTTCAGGTACACACTGAGTTAGCACCACATTTAGGAAGCTATCTGGGTACTTGATAAAGTCTAACTTGACGAATCTTTTGCCGGTTGTGGCATTTACATTATTATCTCTCTGGCTAAAATAAAAATAATGAAACAATATTATAATTTGGATTGATATTACAGGAGCAATTAGTAATAAGCTACTTAATGATGAAATTTAATTAAGGATTAATGCCCTAACTCAGTGCAATGTGGACTGGACCATTGTGTTATTTCTACATTTGAACGAGATGTGCAACATCGAGTTTGAAGCTTAGACAATAACACCTGAGGGGAATAAATCAGCCACAATGCATCATGTATTGGGCTTAAATTCTTTTCACACATCGCAAAATATTTTCTACGAAATCACCAAAAAGATATGGAATCACTGACAGAACATATTTTCAATGCAACTTTTTACAACGGTCAAGTTGGCAAAGCATCAATTTCAATCCATAGAGGCAAGTTGTCAACTTGACAACCATTCGACCAATGACCTTGGGTGAGTTATTTGTTATATAATGCAGTGCATTTATATAAAATACTGTGTTCGGATTGGCTGGAACAGGACATACCTTGCATAGCTATTTGTGATTTATCATCATTTATTCTGATTCAATTATAAAAATGAAGGAGCTGTTTGTCAAAGAATCGACAAGCTGTCCTTCTTGTGTCACCAATCCGTAACACTAAACAGGGACATTACACAAGATAAAGACTGATTAAATGAATGGTCGATTCATGTATGGAGAAATGGAGAGCTATGCTTCAATCTGATTGGCTCAGTTTTTGATCATAGCTAGTTCATCTTATCATCTTAAAATTGCGTTCAACTCACCTTTTCTTGAAGACATACTCCAAATATGTAGCTTGCATTCGAGATTCAAACTCCACAATATATTTTGTATCATAAACACCAGCAGAAAACATTTCACTGAGATCAGAAATGAAAGTGGAAAGTTTCCCAGGAAGTTCTGCGTAGAGATTCTGACGTAAGTACACCAGATCGACTAGTCCATTGTGGCAAACTATAGGGACTTGGGCAATTAATAGTTCAGAGAATAATTGACGCATCATTTTCTGGTCTTTCTTTGCATCTTTCTGTAATAATAAAGAAAAGTAAAGGGCTAAATGAATTTACAATTCTTACTTAAGTATAACTAGACAACAATGCAGCAAATCCCATCGAACAGAACTTCTACCTCCATAGGGTATATATGTACAAAATATGAACAAAATTGGGCCAACGGTATTTGAGTTATTGCCCGGACAGATGGACGGATGTACGTACGGACAGACGGATGGAGGCGTTCCCTATATCCCTCTGAACTTCATTCGATGGGATAATTATTCTTTTCTATATAATTTGATAGGGCGAGTTTATCACCATAATAACTATCAGGCTGACAAACTAAGAGTATTTGTTTCAGGTTTTCCTCTTTAAATATTTAGGAGTAAGAGTAACTTTAAGAGTGGCTTTGCAACATAAAATGATATTATTAGAAATTTCGCGGCTACTAATTTTTGCGAATTAGATCTTTTGGAATTTTGCAGCTTTTATGTTTCGCAAAGTTTCCAAAACTTGCGAAAACTGCAAAATATAGTAGCACGCGACAATTACCAGGAGTAGAGTACTATAAGTTACCATTATGTACCTTATCATTCCCTCTGTAATAGTGTATTCCTTTAGCATACTGCTTGTTGAAGTCAAAGCCATGATTAACTAGGAACTCTAGAGACATGGGTTCCACAATGTAATCCTGACAACATAGCAACACCAGGTTAAAAGTCTGTACCAGAAATGTCAATGACTTGTCCATATTTTCAGATTTCTCTGATTCTGGGCTACGAGGTGGCTGAATCTTGAAGCATGAAAGTCCAATTGACAGAATGGATCTAGTTCTGGCCACCTCTGACATTAAACTATATCTCTCTTCAACATCTCTATAAGATAAAATGGTGAATACTTTTAATAAGATATGTAACTGAGTAAATTCACATATTTATGAAAGAAACCACCAAGCGTTGATGTCTAAAATCACTTCAAATCAGACCACCATATACTGTAGTAGATGTACCATATTCTTACCTTTAAATTTCAATAGCCTGAATAGGTAGCATCTATACATTTTTATATATTCTGCACCAATATTAGGCTAAAAATCATTAAGTTTCAATATGTGACAATGAAGTCATTGTAAATTTACGATTACTGTATGGCTATTCAAGATGAACATTCTGGGTTTTACCAACTGAGATTACATGTACTTACTTGGAATTTAGTTTTTTCCTCTCTCCCAACCCACTCAATTCCTGGAAGTAAAAACATAGAAATTTAGAAGAAAATGATTCATTTTATGTATACCTTGTATTTATTCATTTTTCTCATAACAGATGTACATGCATGCATATGAACATGTACTGGTAAGACATAGCACATGTAATTTGAAATCAATTTATATTACAAACAGTATGCTGTTTCCTTTATATTAAAGATCAACAAACAAACTGTAAATATTCACTTACTGCATCAATAGAGATGAATGTAGAAGTTTTCATGGCCAGTAGAATTTGTGGCCACATCTCAGTGAAATTATCTTTGTCAACTTCGATAATCGGAACATGCTGGAATTGTGATGTCATCCTTAGATGTGTTGTATTGCACGCTGAAACCAGAAACCATTCCAAGTAATAAATAAAATACATAGTTGTCAAGGATACTATGGGTGTGCTCAATACACCAAGTATGACAAATATAGACAATAATTTTATTTGGGTCAGTTCCAGTTCTGCACTTCTGGTTTGAAAATCTCGAAAAAATTCTGAGAAGATGACATCTGAGTTTTTATTAATTGCGAGTTTTGGTCATATTACCTTACCAAAAATTCCAAAACACACATGAAGTGATCAAGTCTTTTTATAAAAACCTCCTACCTCATACCCACCTACCCACTTCGTGGGACATTATACAGTTTTTGAAAGGTTCAATTTTAAAGATCTTAGTTTATTAAATCTTAGTTTATGATGAATTATAAATGCATTTGTAACGACCCTTGATAGCAAGTTGCTACTACATCCCAGCTGGGTTTGATTCCCACTCGGAGTATCAAATTTAGCACTCTTTCTTTCAATTTCTTTATCTGGCTTGTTGGACCTATGCTCGCGGCTGTTAGTTATTTATTCCCCTGGGGCGTCTTCGGGTCATTACACATTAAAATGCATCCATATGCCTTTATTTATGGATCTGTCATCTGTCTAGTCATTAAATAAAGCCAGAGTTGTAGAAATGTTAATAATTTGAGCTATTTTGAAATTCAATAATCTTTAAATTGAACCCTTCAATGACTGTATCATGTTCCACGTAGGTGGGTAGGTGGGTATGAGGTAGGAGGTTTTTTATACAAAGACTTGATCACTTCATGAGTGTTTTGGAATTGTTGGTGAGGTAATACGACCAAAACTCCCAAATCAAATTGTGAAGTGGAAAAATGGCGAACATTTGATTTCAAATTTTATGATTACGATATGACCCGTATACAGGAGTAAAAAACATGTAGGGATTTATCTTTGGACGAAGGCCACGATATAGTGGCCTTAGAAGAAGCCAAAGTGGTGAACATAAATAATTACTAACATGATGAAAAAGACATTTTGTCACATATGTCATAAATTCTTACCTCAGTGAATGGAGTGCTCTATTTTCTCAGTCCCGAACATACAAATATAGTGGAATTTGTGTCCATAATGACAAATAGGAATTTAAAAATAATTTGAAGTGATATTCACATGTTAATGCCGACTCTTCCAATGTTGAGGTGATTTTAGAGCCCGATTACGCCACAATAAGGATTGGCTTCCAGAATGGAACATGACACGTGCAAATAAGGTTAACTGATGTTGCATTCTGCTGGGAGTCAATCCTCCCTTGGCTCACAAACATGGCGATTCACGAAAACATTCGAACTCCCATGCAGTGTCTCGGTATAGACACTGCGGCAGGCAGATGAAGAAAATCCCCAAAATTTGGGGAAAATAGTTCCCCTTTTCATCATATATGTGGTCAATTTTCACACAACTTATAAAATATGTATTCATGAATGTTCCCCAAACATTATTTTGTCAAAATATTTCAAAATTATTGAAATATGAGAAGAAATCACCAAGAAGGAAATCTGAGTAAAAGTTGTGTTGATAATAGTTTACCGCACGTGTTGTTTATTACATGTAGTATATTTATTTGTTTATTATACGCGCAATTCAACCAATGAAATTGTCTAAATTTTACAATCACGCGACCTGAGCATGAGACTAGAACCAATCACATCAGTTGTTTATTACGAAGTTACCATGCTTACTGTGAGATACCTGCCCGCCGCAGTGATATATCACTGCACAGGAGTTCGGAAAACATTCGTTCGATTTGGTAGGAATTTATCCATCATTTGCAGGTATGAAGCCTTGGATTCATTTATTTAGCTACTTAGAGTGAACAGGAATTATTTTTCTACCGCTTGGGAGAGTTTGAGGCATGAAACCATAGATCCCGGCCAGATTTTTTTGTAGTAAGATCAGTAGCTCAATAAATATTCCTCAAGATGAGACACCTCAGAAAATTTCAAATTTTAAAATGACGATTATGGAGCCATTTCTGAAAAATATGAGACAAATCATACCTCATTCGAAGCATCTTGTTATTCTTTAACTTTTTTATCACCAATGACCGTTATTCAAGCAAGTCTGCTTGCCAAAACAGTGATATTTTATCCCCGGACTCTTGTCTGTCCAAATCTGAATGGTGCTCCAGTGGTTCCAGAAATGTGACGTCATCAGTACAATGATATTTGGACACACAAGAGTCCGGATCTCGTGAAAAATATTCGCCGTATTAAAAGTCAGATAACTGCATCCATAGGTTATTTACTCGAACCAAACAAGTAGAAATAGAAAGATGAAGATCTCAGCTATAAAATGAGTGCAAAATCTGTCATGGGGAAGCAGGTACCATTTTGTATAAGAAACATTTTTAAAAGGTGGTCATATTTTTTTGAAATTTTCCAATTTAGTGTCGTATCTTGTGAATTATTCTTTGAGCCTATGAGATCCTACTACAAATTAATCTGGCCTATATCTGTGCATGAAACTAAGAATTTATCTCATTGTGACAACTTGATGGTTGGTTTATCTCCGACTGTAAAGGCCTACTGTCTTAGGACGGGAAGTTCTATAACAAAGATCGATGATCTCTAAAAATCTATTTCACAATCGAATAATCATATGATTTATGGATCTAATTAATTACAAAATGCACCGTAATATAAATATTTACCAGTTATAAAAGCCTGTAAAACGTCTAAATGCGTTGAAATTTTTTGTTCAGTATGAAAACTTTTTCTCCTCTAATTTAGAGAACTCCAGTTTCATGAACCGCCCCATATATAAAATGGCCATGAGTATGGTTGTAGGAAATGTCTCAAAAACAATCAGATTTTACAAAACATTGACATCTAAAAGTAATGATCAAGTGTGTAAAAGGTTCATTGCGCCAGTGGTCAAATGTTACTCATCCGACTCAAAGGAACCAGTCGTCATTCACGATGAACTTGACACTGATGAAAATATAGAACTTGAAAATCGTAAAGAAAATGAACAAGTCAAAGATATTTCAGGATTGCTTCCACGTAAGCGTAATATGATGAAGCATGTTAATCAAACGAATGAAATAGATGAGACTCGTCCTTGGGAAAAATTAGTTCGGGAACAACGACGTCGATTTGCTAAATATGGTTTCTCATCTGAAGTGCATCCAGGTTATTGCTGGCCTTCCAAAGAAACATTTGTTGAACTCAAAGAAATTGACAAGATATTTGAGCCTCCCATAGAAGAACGTATATCTCAGATGAAAGCGGCCAAAAAAGCTAAGCAAGATAAATATGATGAAAAGTATGTGCATACACGATATACTTGTATTACTGAATTCTGCAGCCAATAAGTGTAGAGTATGGTAATACGTCTCCCCATATATTTATTACAGATCGTGATTTAGGCAACATATTACAGTCAAAAATAGAATACCTATAAAATTTCTTTAATATTTATATCACCTGACCAGTGACCACCAAATGTGGTTACCATTTGGTGTTGACATGTTATGGTCTCCAACTTTTTGTGACAGCAGTAAGTGTCTGCCATTCAGCATCTGTAACAAATGGCAGGTGGTGACATTTTGCATGTTTATGCCTTATTATGACTTGTTTGGTGGGATGATTTCATTATATTGAAAAGGGTTGAACCAAATAGTGTTATAGATACCAAAAGGGGATGTAGCAAAAATAAATTCTACTTGATACAAGAGGAGGGAAAACCCCATGATTCAATTGATGACATACGATTTCCTCCTTCGCACACCTCCTTTTGTCGAAAACGTACCCTCCATCTTGGTTTTCAAAGTTTTCAAATTGACCTAGTTTTAAACCAATCAACGATTGACTCGCTTAACCAATCAGCGACGATGTCATCTCAATACAGATTTACATTATAAGCGTATGTCATCTTTGAACCCTGGGGTTTCTCCCCCTCTTACTTGATACCTACATTGTACTTCCTGTCGGCCATTTTGAAGTCAAATGCTAAAATCCTTATCTGCAAACTTTGAAAGGAAAACGCAGAAGTGAGAATTCTTTGGTATTGGCTTAGTATTCTTGAAAATATTTTATTAAAACCATGCCCATCAGTATGTGATGTCCAATCAAATTGCATGAACAATCATGAGCACATGTTTTCTCAAAGCCGCGCATGAGCAAAGTAAAATTTGAAAATGGCTTGAGTTTCAGTTGAACATAATCATTTCTAAACTATGGTAACACAATTTAAGTTACTCTATAGAAACTTGTAGAGAATAATCATAAGACAACAGAGAACATTCTGAGATCAGTTTCAATGGCAAATAAGGCCTGTTTATAAAATTGGTAATTGAATGTGCCAGTACCTATGCTTATATTTGGGAAATCTTCCCCTGAGGAAACCAGCTTCACAATTACATCTTCTTTAAATTACCCCATTCTTTATCTGGTTAGATTTTGGACATGTTGGCTCAGTCATGACAGCCATTTTTAATGTCTCAAGAAAAGTATACCAACTCTAAATACAGCCCTCATCCATGTCCATGTAGTTTAACAATATTATACTGTGTTTATGTTCTACATGTATGCTACAATTAGACTATATCAACAATTGCTTTTATTTGGGTCATGAGATTTGGTATTAATCATACTGTATGATATTTTATTAAAAATCTTCAATTCAAAAATCTTTTCTGAAAAAGAACAAATTCCAGAGGATTTATATTTTATAGAAAGAAGTTATTTGGAAATTGTTTCAAAAAACATTTACCAAAATAACGAGTGCCAAATTAACTCACGTAACAGTCATGAACCTTATAGTTTAGGAACTCCTTTACCTAATCTCAATAAACCCATCCTCCCAAAATTCATTCTTGAAAATTTATTAATATATCATTGTATATAACTTTGTTTCAGAATGGCTGATATTGAGAAGAAAATGGCAGAGATGCCAAAGCATATTGAAAAGTATCGCCAAAAGTTACAGAAACAGGGAGAAGAAAAAATAAAACAAGCTGAAAAGAGACAGAAACTTTTGGATGAAGCCAGGGAATTTTATGGTTATGAAGTTAGTGCTAGTGACGCTAAATTCAAACTTATGCTTGAAACTAAAGAAGCAGAGGAGAAAGCAAGAAGAAAGAAGATGAGAAAGGAAAAGAAAGAACAAATGTTTTTGAAAAGTTTGGAAGGAATGAATAAGACCAAAGAGTCAAAGGATAACCAAGAGGAATCTTGATATAGGATTGATGGAAAACTATAAAGTTGTGTGTCAAGCGTCAGTTAATTGAAGTGTCATAGACACGGCCTTAATGAGTTTGATTGATCTGAAAACCTTTTCAAACCTTATGAACAGATCTTTTGAATGTTTTGATGGGAGCTTCTACATGTCTGTTTGTTTGATGTAATAAATGGAACCAGGAGATACTTTGTTAAAAAACTGATTAATACATTTAGGGAGGGGGTAAAAGTCTATTGCATTTTGCTAAGAAAGATTAATTTTAAAAAAGAAGTAAATTTTAAATTGAGAAAAATCAGTGAATACACTGAATAGTCACCAATCTAAATGTGATTGTTTACACTTTGATACACCATTGAAACATTTATTTGAGAGTGCTCCTCAAATATTATTTGAATTGTATGAGGTAACATTTAATTTGGCCTACATTTTCTTAATAAAAAACAAATACACATGAATTGAATAATAAACATAATTGATTTGTTATTAAAAATAACAGGTGTTTACCGTATTCTATTATCCCTAATGAGCGCACAGTGCAGGTTCCAAATTGAAATTTAAAAGTGCAAGATATTGAGATTCCAATAAGTACACATACAAAATATTTAGAAAAGAAAAATCTCATTGGAACTCTGTGGTCATTAGAGAGAATACGGAATAATTATTTTTTGAGACCGAGCCACATTTTATAAACAGTGTGACACAAACATGCAACCCTTTAATTTTTAAAATCTCATTTATGATGGAATCATAAAAAAATAGTAGTACATTTTAATATGCTTTTCTAGCATATCCAAAATAAATATCCAATTTTTCTAAAATACAATGAAACTTGTATATGAAAACTGTATAGAGATATTATGAACACCCTGTCTGAAATAGTTCCACTATCATCATTAATAAAAATGAACTTGAGACCAAACAAAAAACTAGTAAGTTCCATTTCTTTAATTTCTAATTATTTTTATTTGGCAAAAACAAATTTTCAATCAACAAAACACTGGATTAATTATATTTTTTTTGGGCATACACTGTATATAATGTTTCCAGTTCTCAAAAGAAACTGCTTATAATGTATTAGAGAGCTCTGAATGTATTGTTTTTTATCACACCATCGGTGGGAAATAGTCGTCATACTGGTCGTGGTCGTGATCGTCCCGCTTTTTGTCATCGCCGTTTAAGGAAAACTGCTCATCAGATTTTCTCCAAATTCGCAGAGATGATAGAGCATATGAAGTACTAGAGCTGATTAACTTTTGGGTGGCCATCTTGTTTTCTGGCGGCTATTTTGAAGGTTTTTCGAAAAATCTTGTCATCGCCATTTCAGGAAAACTGCTCATCGGATTTCCTTCAAATTTACACACATGATAGAGGATATCAAGTACTAGAGCTGATTAACTTTTTGGCGGCCATCTTGTTTTCTGGTGGCCATTTTGAAGTTTTTTTGAAAAATCTTGTTTCTTGTTCTTGAAATTTGTAAACATAATAGGAGAACAGTTTTCCTGGTTCATAGTGTCTGCCTATTTGATGGTGTGATCTCGTTCACGTCCTGTGCCTTGTTTAATTTTTTATAAAAAAATAATGTTTAATGTTTTTATCTTTCGCTGTGATAGCAATTCAAAAGATTTGAACTAATACATTGATCACATTGTGTGCGTTTTAAAAGTTTTTGTGAGGTAATAAGACCAAAACTTGCAATTCAAATTGTGAAGTGAAAAAATGGCGGCTGGTTGATTTCAAATATTATGATTGCGATATGCCTCATATAAGGCAGAATAAAACATAATAGGGATTTATGATTGGCATAACACTAACAAGCTAGGTTATATACTCGTATATACAGATAAGACTACAATATAGTGGAAGCCTTAGAAGATGGTAATATAAACGGTACAATAAAACTATTATGTGGTGAGCTATTTCATATTCTTTCAACACTATGAAAAACACATTTTTTGTCAAATGGAAATGGATGCTAATATAACATGTATAAGGGTTTATTGTAAACATTCTATTTATTTACCCTAGCCTAATGTCCCCTAATATGGCATATGCCTTTTTGGCGATATCTTGAAATGTATCTGCAGCTTCAGGAGGATGGATCTTTTTGTTTACACCATGGCTTGCATCCCAGGAGTGACTATGTAACTAGTAACTTTAAAACAGTATTAAGATATGGTAACTCAACATTGAATACTTTATATTTAATGTTTCTGGGAGTGAACCCCTGTACCCCTCTTTTTGGACTCGCAGTAATGCACCTCTCTTAGCATTTGTTGGCTACTCCCCTGCACTGTGGTGATATTGTCACATGTAAGCCCTACAGCTAAACATAGATCAATCTTCTCAGACCCAGCAACCTTGATCAAAGGACGATTCTCGGTTTGGAGAACAGCCTCCTGGGCTAAAAAGTTTTTCATGAAAAATATAGAAATATTACCCAAATTAAACTATGAATATTCAAAAGAGGACAATTAAATCTACAATATGTAAAAATAACAAATTGGTCGGAAGCAGGGATAATGCTCAAATAGACCGATTCAATAAAATACAAGTCTCGATTTGGGGAAAGAAGTTCATCAGTGTACTGCAGTAATATTTTTTTGCGAAAAATCTAGAAATATTACCCAAATTATGACTATTCAAAAGAAGACATTCAAATCAATTTTGTCCGATGCAGGGATAATGCTCATTTAGATTGATGAACTTTGTTCTCCAAACCGAGAATCGTCATTTTGCACTTTCATGAATCAGACAGATGTTGATGAGTATATGCACAAACAGGCTCTTTAAAAAAGAATGCTTCTACATCAAGTTTTTGATCTTTAAATGAGTTTGCTTCAACCTAGTTTTCACTCGTGAGATTATCTAAAAGTATTGGACCTTCTGGAATATTCTCTCAGCTATAGTGAGATTTACCTGTGAGGTTTATCTGCCATTTGTTACAGACACTGACTGCCTCACATCATCCACAAAAAAAGTTGGAGACTATAACAATATGCCAGCACTTTTGGTGGTGACATAAAAAAAATCACTTCACTATTTTTCAGGTTACAGCAAAAAAGTAAAAGAACTAGTGGCAACGTTTTTTCAATAGGACTTATATTTGAAAAATTGGATTTTGAACTAAAACAAATACCGTAAGAAACTAAAATACTAACGACACTAAAATGGCAGCCATTTTGGAACAGACTTTCAACTCTCAAGCAGAACTCACACAGAACACATATTAAACAGCGTACAATAAAACGGTATTTGAGTTATTGGTCAGACAGATTGATTTCCAGATAGACAGATGGATGAACGGAAGTGTTCCATATATCCCTATGTCCAATGAGATGATCAATGTAAAATAACAGTTTAATTTTTTTCAAAGGTTTATTTGCATACATATGTTTTGTACATACTGTGATTAGCTTTTATTAAGACCTGTTTCCATTGGATCATTTATTGAGAGATATTTAGAAACATTTTTGTTGACGTTTAAACAAGTTTCCATCTTTGCAATTTTAACATATTGTATATACAACTTAACACACTTGTACTACATAAAGTAAAACAAATACTGGATGACCATGAGGTGGATATGCCAGAATACCTATCCGAGGAAAAAAATACTAGGGGAGGCGAAGCCTTAAATATTTGCAGTTATGTATTTATCTTTTTATTTATCTTATTTTTCATTGTATATTTATATTTTTTAGGATCTATTCCAAATGCTTTCAGTCTCTCATCAGTCATGGTAAGATTTGTCTTTTTCTTGTTCTTCTTCTTTTTGTGTTTTTTAGAAACATTTGTATTATCTGGAACATCAGTCTTATTTTCACTTTTAGGCATTTGTGAAGATGTCCCATTCTTAGAGTTAGATTCATCCGAGTTGATTCTGTTTTCTCCAAGTTCATTTTTATTTATAGTCTCGGCACTTTTTGTACCTGTTTCAGACTGAACTTTAGATTTTTTGTTTCGTTTCCGTTTCTTCTTTGGCATTTCATCAGTTTGTTTTGATTCTTTACCTTTAATTTCACTGTTATTACCACTTTTTATTGGAGCATCTGATTCAGTCTTTTTAACACTTTCACTTTCATTGTGTTTTCTCTTCTTAGATTTGGTTTTCTTAGATTCTGAGGGTTCCTTTGTTATAGTAGCTCTCTCATCATCCTCTCTCCTGAAAAACAAAACCATGTACTGTAATATAATATGTATAAACTTTTCACCATTCATTCATAAACTTTAAACAGTCTGCAACACTTTTCTGATTTTCAAACATGCAAATGAGTGGTATCGATATGGTGAACTTTTTGAACACACGTTTCTCTTAAACCAATCATCAAAACATTCTGAAAATTTTACACATCGTCAATTTAATGGTCATCTTTTGGATGGTAACATTAATTTGAAATATATATATATACTTTTCTCTATATTGTTTTAGAAAACACATCAGACACTTCTTTCGTTCTTGGTATCATATGTTCGGAATGAAATGAAACATCTATCCGAACCTCATTGGAACAAAACGACATAAACACAACGTGTTTAGGTCTCTCAATATTGTAATTGTACAAAGGAAAGTTTGGTTAATTTTAAAAAAGTATCTTGTTGATGAAATAAAAGGTATAACTTAATTTTTATCTATTTTGGGGGTTTTGTTTTTAAGTCTTTGCATGCTTTTTGTTAAATCAACCAAAATTTCCCAAATTTCCTTTGTATAACTATAATATTGAGAGGTCTCAGAAAATGTTGTATATGCTATTTTGTTCCAACAAGGTTTGGAAAGACATTTTATTTCATTCTCAAGAATTGGTAGAAAGGAACAAAAAACAATGCACTAAAAACAAAACAAAAATGTTAACAAAAACAGTTATATAAAATATATATAAATAATTTTTGCATTGAATTGTTGCCAATCAGTCAATGTTGGTCTAATAGAAAAACATTGTTGAATTCAGTTCACCATATCGATACCTATCCTTTGTCCTTTTTATTGGAACATTTGATTCAGTCTTTTTTAGTAAAGAGCCCCTGAGGGTTTGGTTGACATGTTATATTGCTTATTTGTAGATTAGACTGATCAAATATCATTTTAGTAAATGATTAATAATGTCTTAACTGCTGATATACTATGCAATTCTATTTAAGTTCTAGTGGAAGTTGACTGGGTCAGATAATCCTTGGATCAGCAACCACACTTTGTGATTTTTTTCTCCCTAAAACATCTGTGGAAGGTTGTCATGTTAGAATTCTCAAACTATTTTTCCATAAGTTAACATAATTTTTGTTAACTCAGCATTATCAGAATTTAAAATTATTTCACTTACTTTGCTTTAAGAGATGACAGGATATTCAATTTCTTTTTCATATTAGTGGCCTTCATCTGGAAGACCTTCTTATCATGCATCTCTTCATCATCGCCCCTGTTGTAAAACACATTATGTAAAAAATGTCAAACGATTATAATGAATACAAGTTGTGTGTAACTTTAGAAATATTAATTGTGGTTTTATACTAATGTTTTCTAAAATTTTACACTTTTTACATTCACAATCTGGACATTTTGAGGCACCAAACGCATATAAATAACAAAAATACAGTTATTGATTTTCCATATGGTTGAATCAAATAAAGATGATGTATCTCACCTGTATTGACTCATCTTCTTCACTGACACCCAGGAATTCAATTCCTTATCCTTAGCTGACAAAACCTGAAATGTACAGAGGTAAATCCTTTATTCTTTGTAATGGGTGGTTTAGGTCAAGGTCATCTATGAGGTAAATTCTTCATCTTCTTACTATAAAGCACAGTGGTCTGTCTGTAATTCTGTCTGTACGGACATCTCCTAGTCATTTGACCTTGGGGCCTCATACTTGGTAAACATCTTTCTAAGTGTGTCGGTGTGCATTCTACAGAGGCCAGAGGTCAAGGTCATTCCAAGGTAAAGGGTCAATATCAAGGTGTTTGGCTTTTTAAGACCCTCGGTTTGTGCTGTGACCCTTGATGACCTATGATTAGGTGACCTGAGGCCAAGGTCAACTCTGTAGGTCAAGGTCATTTCAAAATAAAAGGTCAATATCTAGCGATAAGGTCCTGGGGCTGCTGTCACCCTTGGCGACCAATGATTAGGTAACCTGAGGTCAAGGTCAATGTTTTTGGGTCAAGGTCATCTCAAGGTTAAAGGTCAATATAGAAGTATTTGGGATTTTAAGGACCATGGGAGCTGCTGTGACCCTTGGTGATCCATGATTAGGTGACCTGAGGCCAAAGTCATTTCAGGGTCAATATCTAGGTATTTGAGCATTAAGGTGCTGCTGGGTCCCTTGGCGACCCATGTTTAAGTCAAGGTCATATCAGGGACAAAGGTCAATATCTAAGTATTTGGTGTTTTCAAGAACCTAAGGGCTGTTTTGACCCTTGGTGACCCATGATTAAGTGGCCTGAGGTCAAGGTCAATGTTATATTGGTCAAGGTTATCTCAAAGCCAAAGGTCAATATCTAAGTATTTGACATTTTAAGGCACTTGAAGGATACTGTGACCCTTGGCGACTCATGATTAGGTGACCTGAAGTCAAAGTCAATGCTTTTGGTCCAAGGTCATCTCAAAGTCAAAGGTACAAGGTCAAACGATCAATATTCAAATATTTGGCCATTTATGGGGGCTGCTGCCATGTGGGGGTTGCTGTTACCCTTGGTTACCCACTCAAATGGGTACATTGCTAGTTCTTTATAATGGGTGGTTTAGGTCATGGTCAGCTTTAAGGTTAAAGATCAATATCTGAGAATTCATCTCACTTACTGTGTGTCTTTGTTTGGTGCCATGGGTCAAAAACACATTCACTGGTCAAGTTCACATAAAATATCAATATATTCATCATGCAAAAACTATTGGACCAATTTGTTCATTATTCAGAATGTGGCAAAAGTAATTGCTATCATGTAAGAGAATATATTGCAAAACATAGCAATATCTTTCACAAATAGAAAAATAAATCAAGAGAACAAATAAAATCTTGAACACTATTGATTTATTTTGAATCTTTGCAATACCCAAAATACCCATACTCACCTCTTCCACAGAGAGTCCAAAGTCATTGGGGACTACACTTCTGTACTTAAACCTGACAGGCATATCAGCAACTATATCTTCATAGTCAAGCTTATAGTACTCGTTAAAATATTGTTCAAAGGTTTTCTCATCTAGAAATAAACAAAACAACCAAAGTTTGAAATATAGGTGATTCATAATGTAGATACTGATCACCTATCAAGATTTGATAGAATTACTTTGTGGTTTAAATGAAAATCACAGATTTTAGGGAAAAATCAAGGGCGTTTTGGATGTTATGGCCATTTTTAAATATTTTCTATTACTCTATTACAACATTTAAACAATACAAGTACATGGATGGATGGATGGATGGATGAATGAATTAATGGATGGATGGATTGATCAGTGGGTGGGTGGATGGAAGGAAGAATAGAGGAAAGGGTGGGTGGTGGATGGGTAAATAGGAGAGATGGATGGATGGACAATTGGTTGGCATCATAATTAGAATACAATATAGAGCACTTAGACATATGATAACATCTTCAGTCACTCTTACTTGGGTCAAAGACTGGTTTCTTTTTATTCAAAGCTTTTGCAAACTTTGACATTCTCTTCTTTTGTTTCTTTGATGTGCCGTCCAAGCCAAATGTTCGATCTTGTTGAGGGTCATAATCAGCATCCATCTGGAATCGCACAGAATATGTATTGACAGAGAAAATAGTGATACCTTTTGGACCATTATTCAGTTATATTGTCATTACTTATTTCAACATATATGGTTTATATAGGAATATTTTGTTATTTTTAGATATTACGTCAAACAATCAACTAACATTAAAGTTGGGATCTTCACAATTGGGGGCGTTATAATCGTCACCATCTCCACCCTCATAGCTATAGTCCTCACCCTGCTCAGCATTTCCATGCCAGTCATCCCAATTTTCTGTAAATAAAATATATCAAAAGGACTTATGTAATAAAAGAGATATAAAGACTCATTCAGTAGTACATAATTGATAAAGCCTGATTATACATTGTTAATATGATTATACATGCAATTAAAGGATTTATTTCAGGCCAAAACCTATATTTGACATAATTGAGGATTAACAATAGTTTATGAAGCTTTCATTACCATCATATGCCCCAGTCTCATCATCACTGAACACTGGCTTAGTCTCTTCATCAGCATCATCGTTGTAGTATTGGTTGTCAAACAGCTCCTAAATTATAAGAAGTTTGATAATAATAAACAGTTCATGAATCAGATTGTCAAAGACTGTTTTATTTAGCAGTTCTTAATCATAGTTTGAGTCCTCTAAATTATAGTCAGAGAAAATAAGCATGATTTTTTGTATTATTTCTGAATCAACCATGCACAAAATGGAAAATGTATTGAAACGGTCATATGAATGATTAACATATATTGTGGGTTTCACAGCCTCTGGAAGAAATCAGAGAAGTGAGGGATTTTTGCATGGATTATTCAAAAGATGTCACTAAAGCCTAGACTATTCTGTTTCTATGTAACAAAATATAACAATGTTCTTTTTCTTGGCTGCAAGGATCCATGACAAACAGACAAGATAAATAAGAAATAAATGACTACACACCTGCATGCGTTTATCATGTTCAGCAGGGTCAAAGTCACCTTCCATGTCATCAATACTAAAGCCAAGTTCCTGATTCCCAGTGATCTCCTTCAAGTGTTCTATCTTCGTCAAGATCTCCTTCTTCTTTAAATTCTTCAGTTGGCGAATCTCTTCCTTCTTTTTCTCCTTTTCCTAATAAAAAACATATGTGTTCCTTTATAGCATTGGCAGTCAAACATTTAGGACAATCGTAATACAAAAACAACATGGGACATTAGGATGCATTCATAGCTGCCATCTTTACTATATTCATTCAAATAATAACACAATACAATGCTGTAGACGTAGTTCAAAACTGATATTTTCCATGGTTAGCTTCAGCATTTATTTCATGGAACTAAAACTGGCAACTGTAATTATATATACATGTAGTAGGAATTACATTATACGTGTAATTAGAATTTTGAGAAAATTAATTCGGAAAACATTAAAAAATACAATGTTAACCTCTTGAATCCCAGGCTCTAAAATCAGTTGAAACCAGAGTTTTTTTTCATTTTTGCCACCTTATGACACTATACTACATACCTATACAATTTCAGATGCTCAACTTAGTAAAATTGGACGGCAGAGATCATTTCTACACATTTTAAAACAATTTTTGTGTAAATTGGATGACAATTGTTCAAATAAGAGCAATTTTAGTGAAAAATTTTGTGACGGATTTTCTCGTCACTCTGGGTTTCAAGGTCATTTCTGAGGTGACGAGAAATCTCGTCGCTCCAGGTAGTCAAGAGGTTAAAAGTGCAATGTTAGCCAAGCTAAAAAGTGAAAATAAATTTTGTTGCTTTCTGATTATGACATCATGATTTCTATAGTAATAACAATTGATTTAGGAATGTTCTCAATAGTAAAAAATCTACCTCTTGCTTTCTTTGTTTCACTTCCACTCTTTTTGTTGACCTTTTGTTATCCTTTCTTCTCATGGAGTCGTCAATAGTTCGGGGATACTTTTTAATCTGGAAAAGATTATTCATCGATCTGATTAAAAATTGCATTTAAAGGGGCAATAAGGCTTGTAGAGAGAAAATAGGAAAATTTCAACTTTTTCTGAGCTATCAAGGCAACAGTTGGCTTAAAATCTTCTTCGACATACCTATTTTCTTAAAATGTATGGATAAACTATCAATTTCGGCATTAAAAAGTGTAAATTCAGTTCAAAGCTTCAAAAAGGGGACGTCCACTTTTATATTTTTAAGATCCACCATGTTTCAAGAGGAATATAAGCTGAAATAATGATTATCTAGGGGGTTTCTTTGTAGAAAATAAAAATAGATGTTAGTCTTGATGAAATATCCAAACTTAAATATAGTTTGACACTGGTACATGATCGTTGAATGGCCCCTCTGCACTACTTGTTGCACCTTTAAGTATGGTACATATCCATGTTTTATTTGGATTTGTTGAATGGTAAGTTAATGAACATGGTAGTCAATTCAAAAATTTCAAACAGTAATATTCCTTGATAAGAAAATCTTTACAATATTTGCAATCTAATATAAAATGCCTTTCATTTTGGTATAATGAAGGCATACTTCAGAGATATCTGAAATTAATAAGTTCCTGTAACGTTTCAAAGACAATAGTACACAACAGCACCTGGAGGTCAGGCAAAAAACATGGAATATATGTAATACAGTTTACATTTATGAATAAATTACCAAAATGTCAAAACAGTAATTGACATTCTGGGACTGATATAGGTGTACCTTTACAGAAAACTTTGTATACTTAAAGGAGCAATAATTAGTGCAGAGGGGTCATTCAACGATCATGGACCAGTGTCAAAATATATTTAAGTTTGGATATTTCATCAAGACTAACATCTATTTATTATCTACAAAGATAACCCCTAGATAAACATTATTTTAGCTGATATTCCTCTTGAAACATAGTGGATCTTAAAAATATAAAAGTGGAGGTCCCCTTTTTCAAGCTTTGAACTGAATTTACACTTCTTAATGCTGAAATTGATAATTTATTCATACATTTTAAGAAAATAGGTATGTCAAAGAAGATGTTAACCCCGTCAATGCGAGAGCCGATTAAATCGGCTCTGACGTCACATTTGTGTTTGCGAGAGCCGATTAAATCGGCTCTGAAAAACCTTTGCTTCAGTGCTAAAGCCGATGAGATCGGCTTTACGTCATTCCCATGTAAAAGGGGATTCCCCTCAGTAATTATGTAAGACATGCAGATCTTCACAAATAAACATGATATTGTATGTCTAAAACAATAAATATTTCGAAACACTGTGCTTGTTTGTTCATTTTTCTCAACTTGATCGAGTTTTTAAAAACAGGAAAAATAAAAACAAATTTTCAAACAAATATTTGGCGGGAAAAATGGCGGCACTAAATGACGATGGCAGTGATTTTTATTGAGAGCCTATTTGATAGTGATTCTGATCTCTCTGGTGTCCGAAGCAAGTCAGATGATGATGGGAATATTCCCATACCTTGTAATCAGTGAAGATGTGTCCCTGGACCTCAGCAATCAAAGGAAAGATTACAATTTGATAAGGTAAATAGCCCGGGAGGACTAGAAAAATGCCAGTCAAGATTTTTTTTGAGTTGTGTCAATTATAATCGACATTGTAAGTTATCAGCTGAATTTTTTGAACTGAATTATTTTCATCTAACTATTAGATGAATTCTATTATCGAACATATTTTATTTAGAGTGGAAATAGAGCAAATAACATACTTAGAAAACTAAGTCACATGACTTGATCATGGTGATCATGTGACATTCAAAATGGCGCCATCCAGGTTAAAAATGAACAAATTTGCTCTTCAATATATCGCATATTCTTGAGGGATCATTGTCTTTTGGCAATGTAATGACACAGAGAAAGGTACTGTATGTATATCTGATAACAAATATTTATTGATTTTATGATATTTATGGCTCTATAGTGTCTAAACCACTAATGAACTGCAGAATTCATGAATTTTTTTTCAATTTTATTTTTGATTTTCTTATTGTTTCTTTATCATTTCATTGTACTATTTCATTGCACTGTTTCATTGCCATGGACAATGCAATACATATACTAGTATACCGAATACTCCTTTACATTGACGTGTATGGCTATGTACAATATCCATGCATCTAGAGCTGATAGCAAACTTTTTCAAAGACAAATACAGTTGGGAATTACCTTCTTCTAAGGCCACTACATGTATATCGTGAGAATTGGCTTGAGACTCGAGTGGACAGGTGGATTTTCTATCACAAACCATGGCCATCTGAAAGCCCATACTTTCCAACATTTTTAACATTGGAAATCCTCACTTCAGCAAATCCACCTGTCATTTATTTATGTTCCAATCTGTGTCAGATGTTTTTTAATTGAATTACAGTAATGTTGTATTTCAGTCCAGTTTTGCCTTAGTTGTCCCACCTCAATTTATTTTTTTAATCCCTGCTTTGACTACAACATAGTCAGTCACTGAATAAAGTGAAGAGCTATACTTTTGTGATATTGATTATAATTAATGTAGTATAGTACAATACAATGTACTGTTTTACAATACATAACAACATGTACAAAAGTGTTTAACAGTACGTGTTCAGCATGAAGGTCATATTTGTATATCAAAAGGGATGTACCAATAATTTTTTATCTACTGTATTCATACAGGTAGTTATACAGTACCTGTACCCATAACATGGGTGAAGCCAAACTTGAGACAGGTGAGGCTTTTGCCTCACCACCATTTTTCAGGAAAACATTTATTTGGACAATATGTGTATATTAAGTCTGTGAAAATAAAGGAAAGCACATTATTCTAGTATTGCCCCAATAAAATCAATTTGATCTCTGGAAGAGGCAGATTTAAAAGGTACACTCTACTTCAGCTTCAGTATGAATATTTTTTTGAAATTTCCCTCATTTCCATTATGGCTACTTCCTTGTATATAATAAATGTTATGTTATATAGAGATTATTTAATGGGAGAGATGGTATATGAATTTTATTCTGTGGGAAAATATAATATTGGCCAAGGAAAATATCATATTGACCGAGGGCAATAGCCCAAGTGTCAAAGTGATATTCTTCAAGATCAATATCATATTTTCTCAGGGAAAATATTAATACTCCAACACAACTGAAACTTATTTATAAGTTTTGAATGTCATCACCCAATGATGGTGTGATATAAAATGATACAATTGAATTCTTCTGATATCGGATCCAATATGGGATCTGATACAGGATTTTGCCTGATGCGAAATCTCATTTATTTCCCAGGGAAAACATGCTATTATAATTATGGAATAAATATTTATATACAATGATCTTTCCTTTACAGCACAAAGAGAAGAGGAGTTTCTCAAAGATTGCAGTAGGCTATACAGTGGAAAAATACAGTACATCCATCTCTGAATGAAAGCCTTCATTGAGATGCTGCTAAATATGTGTTTGATTCAGAAAGCAACACTGGAGTCATATTGGACAAAAACAAGGTAATGTTTGTTTTATCACTGATGGCCAAGGGGAAAGGCAGATGTTATTCTCGGCCTTTTTTGAAAAAAGTGGACCCAAAGCTCATTTATTTAAATTCAAGTCCCGCAAGTCAATTTCCAGAGCCAACCCTGAACATATGTGTATTGCCATTATTGTGACACTATAACCTTTTCATAAGATTAATTAGACTAATCAGAAGACTGATTATAGAGTATTTTATAGGTCATGTACAGAAACAGGTCACTAAATAAAAAAATAAAAACATTTTGTAATGTATGAATTCAAATCATGAAGTAAAATGATATAAAGTACTGTGTATGAAAAAATGAAAATTCGGCCTAAAATGAAAAATTTGGCCCAAAATGAAGATTTTTGAAGGAAAAAGAATTTAATTTTAGAAAAGAAAATTCGAAAAATGAAAAATCATGATCCTAGGGAAATAAACCCCACGTTCAATCCCTCCAAGTAAATAACCTCTATGCATTTTCTCATTATAGATGGAATCAGGCAACCCCCAGTTAGGAAAAAACTTTACGAGAGACCGATTTCAGCTACTTTTGCGGTTCTGGCACATGAACAATAATGAGGTTGCATTAGTTGAAGACAAGCCTGGCTGCAACCCCTATATCAAGGTCAGGTGCTTGATTTCTGCGTTCAACGGGAACTCTGCCATAATACTCTCCATGAAAACATTGCTCTGATTGCGGGACTGGTCTCTATGAGCAAGAGGTAAAATTTTTACCTTGATAACTTTCTGTGAAAATGTAATACAAGACCCTATTTTTACACTTTATATTTTGCTTTCACATTTAAAACATATTCACACCACAGGAACAGTGCATAACTTTCCTGGTTAATGCCATATATCTTTAGACAAGTTACATGAAATAACTTTATTTTATTTATTTTTTCTTTGTTCCTCTCAGACATTTGATTTAGTTTACCCTGAAAACAGAAGAATGGTACTACTGAAATTAAATCAACAAAAATAACAAGCAATATTCATCTGTCATAACTTAGTCCAGTGTAATTTTGATTGTATATATTCGGGGGTACATTGTTATGATTAATTAGACATCAATAGTTTGTCATTCCATATATGTCACTGCCCCCAGGATTCCGTGTTTGCAGAGCGCGGACGGAACTTGCCTCTGCCCGCGGAATTGCAGAATCAACTATTTTGGTCAATTTCCGCGGAATTTTCCGCAGAATCCATATATTTTCCAAAAGTTTAAAAAGTCAGTCTTACCTGTAACAATTTGACACGTTTTCAGTCAAATCCCTTGCAGAAATAACCCAAATTATGCGAAGTGAAAATTCTAAACGCCATCGTTTGATTTCTGCCGTTAGATGGCAGCATGTATGTAGTGACTGACTACCTGACTATCACGATATTTTCCCGTTTACTGGTTCGAAAACCATTAATATCCGCGGAATTTATGCAGAATTAGCCCTTTCTTCTTGCAGAATTCACTAATTTCACTTGCAGAATTGAGCATTTTAACTTGCAGAAAACTGGGGGGAGTGATATGTGAGTGAGGAATATAACAGTGAATAATAAAATAAATATTTAATTCTATTTTTGGTGAATGCTTGACACTTGACGCTTTCACAAGATATTCCACTTGCACTTCGGGCTTCGTGAAATATCACTAGTGAAAGATGCACAGGTATTCAACCTCAATAGAAATAAATATTTGTATGTTATTTCTGACTGGTGTATATTGTAACTACTAAACAGTAGAAAGAACACATTGAACAGACTCAGTGAAATACATGTCTCAAGAAAGGAATCCTGGTACATAGATTTGTACAAAATATTTATTGAACATATACAGTAGCGCATTTTCTGAAATCCGTTCATATGATAAGTAAAACTAATATTTGTTATACAAATGAACATCAGATAGCCTAATCATTTACATATTGCAGGATAACAACCGATGGGGACAGTGGATAGCACAGATCAAATGATCACACAGTGATGGATGAACTCCAATACTGGCATAAAGTGGGCGTTGCAATACTCAGTTGAATGCTGCTTAACTCTTACATTGTATATGGAGCACACAGATACAGAAAAGACAATGCAAAGGTATGTAGTTTAAGAAAACTCATGTCAGCATGAGCTACAGGTATGGTCGAAGCTGATCATTGAGAGGGTACTTTTGGTACATACATGTACATATACTAGCTAATGTTTTCACTACAGTAGGTGTCGAGTTTGCAACTGTTCTCAACAGCTGCTCATATCATTAGCTAGCCCCTTGACTGTCAAGTCTGATTATGAATTTCCATAACCCTCATATGGCAGTGTAATCATGTAACAAATGTATTGTATCTTTTTTAAAGAAACTGATATAAAATGATATTTTCTTTAATTTTCTTTTAATATCAATTACAATTTTGAATATACATCACAATACAGGGCGTCAAATAAGTCTGTTCTCCCCCCTTAACTTTTTTAATTCAGAGATAACATAGGGTTGGTATATATCATCTTAAAGGGAATTTAATTTGCTGATCACACACCAAATTTCAGAGTGATTGGTTAAATTCCATTTTTTTAGAGTATTTTTAGTGATCTCCATATTCCACTTTTTTAATAGTCTGTATGTCTCCCCAAGCAGCCCGGAGGGCCTCAATTCTAAGAGGATATGATCCTGTATAAATCATTCAGAACGTTTAATTTTAGGTGTTGTCAACTATTTTGAGTGAGAGAAGCCCCTGCTTCAAAGGCTCCCCTGAATGTAACACATTTTACTCTGTAATGATATTGAGAAACATCGAAATCACCCAATGTTGGCATTGTCACTGCAGTATCAACTTTTCACTTTTCATTCACTTTACCTGGTAATTTTACTTGTTTTTCCGTAATCAAAGGTCAACTACAACCTTACAAGAAACATTGTAGCAATTTTATTAGGAGGAGTTTATGATTGACTTTTTGAGGGTGATCAGCATTTTCCATGAGCTTCAAAATCATATATGGGAAAGTATGATAAATGTAAAGTTAAAAAAGTTAAGTGGGGAGAACAGACTTATTTGACACCCTGTATATATATCGATTTCAATGTAAGTGAACATTTATAAATAATATTACTGATGTTTGTTTTCAGATACTCATTTATGATTGACCTGATTGAGGGCCTTGCAACTGCCTCCTGTCCTGCACTTTAGTTAATGCACTAAGCCATTGGCCAGGGATATTACCTGACAACAAGAAAAGCAGTATGTTCTGTGTAGCCAGCTAGGGACCTGTCACCATTCCAGGACAGAATGTGGAAAGGGTTTCATTTGAAATGTTTCTTCTCAACGGCAAGAGGAGAGGATATGAATTTGGGCAACTCCTGCTGGCAGACACATTGAACATGAATACTGTAAAACGGGTATTGTTAGCGAGGGGTAATTGTTAGCGATTGTTAGCGATCGCTATAGTTTCGCTAAAAATTCAATTCGCTAAAATAAACAGGGGTTAAAATAAACCGGGCGCTAAAATTTGTAAATTCCCGGGAAACTACATGAATACTTTAAGGAGCTTTTCGTTCAGTGCTCGACTTCCGGTTTGTAATTTGAAAAAGGTAAATATTTTTAAATCGTATGTTTCTTTCAATATCTGAAGGATAAATAGCCATCCATCCAGTTTGGACCAATATCATGTGCGTTAGAAGTCTTACATTTTGATAATTCCTCTGTCATGTCCGTTATTCATTCTTCGGCCATAAATGATAAAATTTCTAATGCATTTCGCTAATTTGATTTTTTAATGATTAATCTTCATTTCGCTAAAATTTCCCGCGCTAAAACCCCCTAAAATTGAAAAATCGCTAAAATTTCCCGGTGTCAAAATTACCCGTTTTACAGTATATAGAAATACTATAGCACAGAATATATCTCATTCAATACCTTCTTCAACCAACAATCTATAGGTTGAAATGTAAAAACGATGGGAAAAAATTAAAGGAAAATACAAGGGGCATAAATCAATCAATCTAAATGTCCAATTTATACGACTGTAACTTTTCAATATAAATAATGAATAAAACAAACAAACAAACAAACTAAGCATGACTTGTCAAGTTAAACCATAATCTGTTGCCATGGTAACATATATTCATTGCCATATGCCAACAATAAGTTAAAACTTTGAGCAGATTTTTTTTGAGGATAGAATTGAAATCAATCTGGACGCTAGTGAATTAATTGTACTGTAAATTCTTACAAAATGTTACATCCACTTACCCGTTGTCATGGTAACAGATATTGATATATGTATGTGTGAAATTCTCTTATCTTCTATACATGTATTGATCCAGAATGATTTAATTAACTTCATATTTATATTATGTATTGATATCAGTAGACAAAATAAGATACAAATGTAATAATTAATTGTTTTTGTAATACCATCAATATTTTGGTAAAAAATCAAGGATTTTAATAGAAAATGAGCTTTGATAAGATTATAAACGTTATGGGCGGCCGAGGGTGCTATGTATTGTTCCAGATATCATCTGCAAATGACAAATTCATGGGCAATTATATTTTTGTCTAGTTTTTTGTCCTATTTTATAATTTATATTTGATTGGATGTGATGTAGGGGCAAATGGATTAATTCATGATTACCTATGAATTGTATTTTACAGCGTTATTTTTCTAATAAGTAAAATGGCGGCCATATTGATGACGTCATATCTAATTTGCATATTTGAATAATTTATTCATCAAGATAATCATTTTAGCTTTCCAACGATGTATCATACATGGTTCCATCGGAAATAATGACTAAGTTATGAAGTCAGATATACCGAGGCCTAATTTTCTCTATTTTACCATGAAAAGTCTAGCACTGAGGCAAAAGCTCTTCATTCTTGAGTTAGCAGCAAAATGAAATATTTGCCTTTTTTTGTAGCATTGATAGGGTTAAACCAAATGTTGCCTTGATAGCTCAGAAAAAATGAAAAAACTTTCCTATTTTCTCTACAGTCCTTGTTGCCCCTTTAATAAACAATCAATATAAAGTTATGTTAAGTTAAGATTCCAGGAAAAGAAACCAACCTAAAAAGCATTTAACAAAATCTAAAAAATTCACTGAGTTCTGCCTAAGGACAAATGTAAATCTTACAAACTCTGAATCAGGTTCTTCAAATCTGAAGTTATATTTGCGCTCAAAGTCTTCTTGTTTTGTGAGTAGCTCCTCTTCCTCAGACATGTCATCATCAGCAACAATCTCATCGTATGTAGGAACACTGCAATCATAAACATGTACATTACATGTACTTATACATTTATAAGGTTATTCACCTGGGAGGGATTGAAAATGGAGGGATTGAAAATGGCTCTTTATCTGATATATTGTGTATTATACATAATACATTTACATAGAAAAGATCTAGATTTTCTCATTCTAATACTGCACTAAATATTAATTAAATAATTAAATTGTTAATTTCTATTACGTGAGGATTAATCCATGGCAGTATGAAGTCACAGTGGCATGCATATTGTTCAAGGGTTATAGTGATCTAAAGAAATTATTGGTATAGACACCATTGTCTCTAATACTGACACAGGTCAGGTGCGTGTTAACAGCTACACGTTTACGTCAGCAAATATTCCTTTTAAGAACATTACTTATTAGCTAAGAATGTGAGAAAACTAACATTACAATGTGTTTTTGAATAGAGGCAGAATTCAGAGACAATTAGAAGAGTTGAAAGAGTTTGTTAAGTGAAGGGTCTCAGTAGTCTTGCTTCAAGACCCTGGACTCCCCATATTCTTTTCATTATCATGACGTTGAAGAAGTAGAAGCAAGACTAGGGTCTCAGAATAACTTTTGACTTGTGACTATGATACATACCTTCTTTCAGTATATACCTAAGTTTTACTTAATTGCACTTAATTTGCACCTCTAATACTTGCACCCATGATGGCACTTTATTGGTTTTTCAAACTAATTGGTATTTTCAGGAAGAAGCTCTAAGTCTACTGATTCCGTAAATTGTAGACTACTACTAATTTTCGAAACTGTTGGTATTTCAGAGACAGAGCACTTTTAAGGCCAATGAGCCTCATCAGCATACAGACACAGTTTCCTCTAGAACATGATGTTGTTAACAGCCGGTTGTTAGGACATCCTGATTTACTTAGAAGTCAAGGCACCTTACTTAGAGATACTCGTGTAATAATTCTAGCAACTGGCTCTAACCCAAAGTAACAGGAAGATTATAACTGCATTAATAATAGAATCAAATACTTTAAAAATGTGGTCCTTTCAAAAAGTATTTCCCTTGGTATTGTAATGTTCTTGTAATGATTTCACAAAATGGTAAAAAGTTGCAGATTATGCTAAAATACGTCCAAGGGTATTTCACTTCTATTTCAGATTTTCAGATTTTCTAAAGATGTTCGCAGTGATAAACAGGTGTTGTGTTCACTAAGGAGTTTATTGCCCGAGTCTGCATGTATTCTTTGTTAAGAATCCAATTTATAAGTAATTTACATCTCATTAGGGGTCATAAACAGAGGGAGGACAAAACACCCCCATTATGATTGGAGAACACATTTTCTGTGTTGACCACTAGGAAACTCAGCTTATTTATTACCCCTAAAATGAAACTACCTGGCCTTGCATGAAAGGCTGAATTGAGTAATAAATGAAGTCCTTTGAATGGAGGATGACTAAAATATGATATAACTATATCGAGCCATTATTGTTGAAGTAATTCATATCCTAAGAACATAAGGGTTTATCGTTTCAAGTCAAAACTACTGACAATATGGGTATTTTGGTAACTTTGACCAGCTCCAACTTTTCTCCTAGGGGGTTAGAGTTATAGAAAGTTAAAAGGCCAAAGCATTTAAACTGGCAACTGGACTGACAAATGCAGAATTTAGATTGACAAATGCAGACTTCAGGACTGAAAAATGCAGGGTTCAGGACTGACATATACAGAGTTCAGGACTGTCAAATGCAGAGTTCAGGACTGGCAAATGCAGAGTTCAGGACTGACAAATGCAGAGTTCAGGAGTGACAAATGCAGAGTTCAGGACTGACAAATGCAGAGTTCAGGACTGAAAAATACAGATTTCAGGACTGACAAATACAGAGTTCAGGACTGACAAATGCAGAGTTCAGGACTGGCAAATGCAGAGTTCAGGACTGACAAATACAGAATTCAGGACTGACAAATGTAGAGTTGACAAATGCAGAGTTCAGGACTGACAAATACAGAATTCAGGACTGACAAATGCAGAGTTCAGGACTGACAAATACAGAGTTCAGGACTGACAAAAGCAGAGTTCAGGAGTGACAAATGCAGAGTTCAGGACTGACAAATACAGAGTTCAGGACTGACAAATGCAGAGTTCAGGACTGACAAATGCAGAGTTCAGGACTGACAAATGCAGAGTTCAGGACTGGCAAATGCAGAGTTCAGGACTGACAAATACAAAATTCAGGACTGACAAATGCAGAGTTCAGGACTGACAAATACAGAATTCAGGACTGGCAAATGCAGAGTTCAGGACTGACAAATGCAGAATTCAGGACTGACAAATGCAGAGTTCAGGACTGACAAATACAGAATTCAGGACTGACAAAAGCAGAGTTCAGGAGTGACAAATGCAGAGTTCAGGACTGACAAATACAGAATTCAGGACTGACAAATACAGAGTTCAGGACTGACAAATGCAGAGTTCAGGACTGACAAATGCAGAGTTCAGGACTGGCAAATGCAGAGTTCAGGACTGACAAATACAAAATTCAGGACTGGCAAATGCAGAGTTCAGGACTGACAAATACAGAATTCAGGACTGACAAATGCAGAGTTCAGGACTGACAAATACAGAATTCAGGACTGACAAAAGCAGAGTTCAGGAGTGACAAATGCAGAGTTCAGGACTGACAAATACAGAATTCAGGACTGACAAATACAGAGTTCAGGACTGACAAATGCAGAGTTCAGGACTGACAAATGCAGAGTTCAGGACTGGCAAATGCAGAGTTCAGGACTGACAAATACAAAATTCAGGACTGACAAATGCAGAGTTCAGGACTGACAAATACAGAATTCAGGACTAACAAATGTAGAGTTCAGGACTGACAAATACAGAGTTCAAGGTTCTGGGTTCTGGTACAACAATGCAGGGTCAAATTAAGGTAAAAAACAACAACAAGACAATAAATACCTAAATACACAGTTGGATCTGGGATGAATATACTTAATGCAACAAGCATTGCATTGATTCATTTAAATGTTTTAAATATGAGGTAATATATTACTCTGACGCAATTTGGTGAATAATTCACATTTTTAAGACAAGTTAAGTTGTCTTGCATTTAGTTCATGAAGATAAATAGTTTGTAAAATAACATTCTTTCACTGGAACACTTATCAGCTGTAACAAGTTCAAAACCATAGAAATTGTATATTTAGCAACCACTGAAACTATCCAGTATAGTCTAAAGAATACAGGCTAAGTTGTTTACTTGATAAAATGACAAGCGCTAGACAAAATAAGGCATGCGCAGTATTTAAAAGTTGATATAATCTCATGATATTCTGAAATACATTGACAATGGTATACTTTTGACCTTGAAGCTTATCTTTAAATTAATGATCAATTCCTTCCAATATCTGTAAATTTTTTTGTAAGACCTGTTCATACACTTCTGGTGTAAGTTTTTCACTAATTAAGACAGCTAATGCTTGTTATGTAAGGAATTTGCTTTTAAAATGCCCTTCATTCCCTGATGGTAACATTTTTTTTTTACACTGACAACATGTCTAACCTTTACGCTAAAAATGTTTTACCTTCCATCGTCATCTTTTTCTATGTATCTCTTGTTGAGAAAGTAGTCCCTCAAAAACTTTTCACCGTGATCTAGTTCAGGGTCATTCCAATATTCTTTCAGAGTCACCTACAAGCAAACGGAGTATACAGCTTTAAACAAGTAATATAAACACATTAACATATAAATTACAGTGAAAGGTCCTCCATAAAGTTTGAAAATATTTTTATTTATCATTCAAATGTTATATCCTATGACATTCATTATAAAAAGGTAAGATTTAGACTTTTCTAAAAAATCTAATTTTCATGTCTACTTTGCTTTTGAAATTTTTATGAATAAATTGTAAAACTACATCGTAAAATACATTATTTTCTCAACAAGATTGTAGATCGACAAGGCATCAACTGCGGATTGCCAACATCCGATCCCCAACTGTTGATCGCCGTCACAAAAAATGGAGACCATAACAATATGTCACCACTTCTTGATGGTGACATAAAATCATCTAATAAAGTCTATTATTTATTTAATAAAATCAACAAAAAACATGCCTGAAACCTATTGAACCAGTAAATTTTAAATCCATCTCTCATTGAGCAGTTTGTTTTTAAATATGCAGCCAAGAAACAAGAGACAAACTTTCCTCGGGGCATCTACAAAACATAGCAGCTAAAGACTATCTGTTCTATCTGAGCAATCATGTCTTAATCTAATGAGATGACAGATTAAAGGGGTTGCAGGTATTCCCCATCCCCCTTATAAATGTAGAATAGTATAGGGCTTAAATGGTACTTCAAAGATATATACCAACACCAAAAATCTCATTCTACATTGCATTTTTTCATATTTTTTCTTATATCATTGAGCACGAAATACATGTACTACCTAGGGCAGCCAATGACATATCTTTAACAGTCAATGACATTTATACTTGGTACATGACAGTCGTGGACATACCAAGCACAGTCAAGGACATACTTAGGAGTTAGGACAGTAAAGGACATAACTAGAAGAGTCAAGAACATACCAAGCACAGTCAAGGACATACCTAGGACAGCCAAGGACATACTAAGGGCAGTCATGGACATACTTAGGGCAGTAAAGGACATATCTAGAATAAGGAAGTTACCTTAACAAAAGTATTTTATGTTGACAATTGAGTTCCTCTCTGATGGATTTGCTTCGTCTACTATGAAATTCCTTGATACTTATTTTAGTTACATAACTGACAGAATGTACATATTTCATTTTCATAATCATGTAGAAACTATTAAGCCATCAATTAAATGGGAATTCTTGTTTTGTTTTGTCATTTATGATTGAACGTAACATATGAACATAGTGGAATACATTATTATCTGTCAGTTTATTGCGTGTGGTTTATTAACTTTAAAGAGCCCTAGAGATAACTCTTGCGTAACAAGGTTTATGGGAAAGAATATATAGGTCTACAAACTTCTGTTAACTACAACAATTTACCCTTAACCAGAATATTGTTTAGAAAAATATTAAACCCAGAATTTTAATCCCTTCAATCAAGCAAGAAACCATTTTGAATCTACAACCTACTACACTATGATATGTGTCAGTCTCCTAGAACGGTCACATTTTACCATAAACATGTTCATTCTCTTTGCCAGTATGCCAGACCATAACTATTACAACGTCTACAAGACCGTATTTATAAGAGTCTGACAGTAAAACTGGTAGCAGTGGAGTCAGAATGTGGGTTTCGGTGTGCGTTCAGAGGGATTTTATGGGACATAATTTTTCATGTTGCCAGCATGATTTTATATATTTGTATGGATTATTAGGGTATGAGTACCGTAATCCAACACCAAATTCGAAAATTCAGAACAATACCATTTCCTCAATTCTGAGATGACGGGCAAATGCGTAGTAAACATGCTCACGTCAGAACTATTTTGACCTACATCGCTATTTTCCTAATTCAAATGGAAGTTGAACTCCTCCTCTTTATTTTGATACCAAATAGTGGCATACTAGGTACCTTAGAAGCCAACTATGGCGTTATTTAGAACAAAACCACAAGTTTTTAAATGGACTATATAGGGGTCATACCTTTTGGCGGATGGATATGGAACCTCATACCTTAAATCTTAGTTTTTCAGCTTTTAGATTTTGTGGCCATTTTACCCCCCCTGGGCTATAATTTGGACCCCTACTATAAAATTGGGTAAGAACTAAAAAAAACTCATTGGAATTTTTCCAAATGACTAAGATTGGTATAGGGTAACTGAATATATGATAAAAATTTCATGTCACATGGTTAAGTGGTTGCCTTCAGGTGTCAATTTTCAGGCCAATTTTTCAGGCCTGACATAGTCATTTCATACATATTTTGTCACCAATGTGTAAGGAAGGGTTAAATATAAATAGAAAACTTCTATAATATATTAGCACAATTCAACTTTGGATTTTATGGTATCAGGAATTCCTATATTGTTTCCTATTGAAGAAAACAACTTTAAGAATTGTTTGTCTTCTGTTTCAGTTGATCCTGTGAAGTAATTTTTCTTCAGAATCAAAATTGAAAATATAACATTTTTCATTAAAACGTTCAATGCCAATTACTTGTCATATGATACACGGTCCTCCATGCATTCTAAGCTGACCTTACAAAAACCCTATCGATTTTCTCTTCAGAGCCCTGGACAATAGTATAATTTCCATCAGCTGACGTAATTATATAAAATGTACTTATAACAACTGGTTGTTGAAGAGCCAATCAAAACTGCTTTGTCATACTAACCTAATATAAGACACATGCACCAGTCTGCTACGTGTATTAACATGTTTAAGAGAGAACAATTATGACCCAGCTTTTCACCTCATGTAGTTAAAACAATTAAAAAGAAATGAATCATGTTTTTTGAAAAATGGCAATTTTGATGCCAAGTATTTCTTAGTGTACCCTAAAAGTCAGTTTAATTACTGGGAGATGAAGCAATAGATATTTTAAACAGGTGCCTATACCATTCTATATTCTTTTGATGTTTTCCTATTGATTCTTATATTTTTGAAAGTGTTATATTTTCCTAATACGAATAAAAGAAGTAAAGCCTTCACAGAACTCTAGGTTAGACCAGGATAAAAAGCCAGGCTTTCAAACTTAGATCCATTTGCCAATTCATCGCATCAAAATTGCTCATTCCAGTAGTGCGATTGTGTCACTAGATCTTTAAAGTCCCCATATAAAGTTTAAACCACTTTAGCTTATATTGTAGTCTTACCCAATGTTATCAAAGTGTGATATGTGAGACTTTTTTTTAAATTTCAAAAGGTGATTTTTGATAGATTTTTTGTTCCAAAATTTGTGAATTTATTTACTAACTTTTAGAGGTCACACATATCTTTTAATTGGCCACAATTCATACCAATGCATAGCATTCATCCTCGCATGTTTTTTGCCGAGAAATTAAGAAAATTGGTTCCTAAATAAGCGAGAAATGAACTTATAAGTGCATGAAAATGCTCTTCAAAATTTTAGTTCTCATAGAAACCAATGGTACAATGATATCTGAATATTTGAGAAATGAAATGCTCACAACATTTTCTAAAATAACTTTTTAAGTCATGACAAACAGTAAATGAATGATAAAAAAATATTTTTAAACTTTAGACGGGGACTTTAAAGGCAGTGCAGTGCAGATTTCATATAATTTGAAAAATTGATTTTTCAGCATCAAAACTAGTTCTGTTTCTAAACCAGTTTTCTAAACCAGTACCAATGCTATGTTGCACAAAACAACATACTAACAATCTGACTTCAATTCATTTTATTCATATCATTAAGCATAACAGTATAATATTTTGCAAGTTTGGGGATAATTTCAAATGGTGGTTAGTTGGGGAAGGGGATGGTTTTGTTTTCAAATATACTAATTAATTAAAATGTAAAAATATTCTGACATGAATATACTAATTTGAATGTATATGTTACAACTGTTAGATTTGAAGCTTCTCTGGGAATAAATCTTAATAGTGGCCTTAGTAGGTGTATGCCTACTTCTAAACTATAGAATGGCTTATTTTGGACAGTCCTAAAACCTAGAACATTTATCTAGTTTGCAATATAGTATATATACAGGGTGGGCCAAAAAAACGCCACTTTTTTTTCAAGACACTATAAAATTTTTGTTTTCCAACCTATACCCCAAATTTTGCAGTTATATAGTGCCAAGGGTTCTTAGTAATAATATAATGTAACAAGTCCTTCAACTGGGATTATATTTGATCTAAAAGAGGAGTTCAATTGGTCCGCCACCCTATTTGATGATAAATTTTAGTTTTAGTCGCCTTGCTGATATAGCAGTATTAATGAAATGTTAGCTATATTTTTTTCAACGTGTCTTAATTGCCAGCTTTAGTTGAGCAATTATTTAGATTGGGTGCCTTCATACCATCTCCTGGAGACCTCCCCATACCCTATACTCACTTGGGTTTGCATTAGGGCTATTAGCTTGGCGGTCATCAGGGCGTATCAGTTTAGGAACATTTTGCAAATTATGCTTATTTCTCATGGCACACCACACGTTTAAGTGAGACGCTGGTGATATATTTTATTCAAGTAAAAGTGTATAATTCATGATCCATGGCTAGATAACAACCTCAAGTTTCATTTGGTATGCAAATTATGATTTTGTATCAAAAATTAAAAAATTATAGCATTTTGAAAAAAAGTGGCGTTTTTTTTTGGCCCACCCTGTAATAGTAACCATGTTTCAAGTTTAACATTCTATCCATAGTATGTATATTATGTAACCATTTTTGTATGTTTCAGTCTACAAAAAAGATGCAGAAAATTTGTACCATTATATAAATAACATTGTGAAATAATGATTTTTATACCTTTATATATAATTGATGACTTTGTCTACTTTTAAACTTGTATATAAAACGCATGTAAAAAATTGTGTAGTGATATATATGTTGAAGAGACAAACATGGTTAGGAGTCGAGATAAAAATAATAATTGAAAGAAAATAAATACTCTTTAATACTAGATTGTTTTTGTTTTGTAAATTGTTTGAAAATTCCAAATGAAAAATAATGAAAACACTCCACAGATACTGCTAGTTGTTAGATAGTACTGGGTAAGAGGC